CATATATATATGTATATATATATATATATGAATTACCAACTTAACCGTCAAACGGTTAGTGACCAAAAAAGAAAACACAGTAAAGACAAATGTTAACGGACGCACTTCCCAATTTCCCAAATGATAAAAAAAATAACACCGAACACTAACACTCACTACACCACGACACCTACGTATACTCTTCTTAAGCAAAAATATTTAAATACTTATATCATACACAACTTATATGATAAGTGTCTACTCTTTTCCTTTTTCGTCTCTTTTTACGCTCTGACATTTCATTTTCCGATAACAACAACCAACCAACCAACCAAAATGCGCATTTAACCAACACACAACGCACACCACAATTGTAATGTGAACTACCCACCAAAAAAAACAACACCACCCACTCAACAACCACAACACCACAACCAACAACAACAACCCCCCCGATAAAAAAACACCACCAAAAATCAGAGCGTTCCGGTACTTCGAACATTTGGCGGTCATCACATCGCGTAGCGCGAACGGGAACGGGATGTGGGCGTGGCCAGCTCGCCATCGACCACGATAGCCACGCCCACCGGTACACCGCCTCTGCTGCCACCGCTGCCCAATGCGTTTGTGGCCATCAAGACGAAGTCCGATTGCAGCAGCAGCAACAACAGCAACAGCAACAACAGTAACAGCAACAACAGCCTGACCCTGCACAGCGGCAACAATAGCTTCAAGTCCAGTGGCCATAGAAAGTCCCCTCAGCCGCCACCGTTGCCCTTGAAAAACGGGGCCAAACAGCAGCAACAGCAACAGGAGTCACACTACCAACATCTGACGTACCAGCAACATCCCGGCAACAACACACGCAACACCCTGGACCGCAAGCAAAAGAACAACAGCGGTGGTGACTATTGCACCCAGATCAATCCCCACTATCTGCAGACCTTCGATAGTTTGGATCACTACAGTGTGGCCACCATGCAACAGCAACCGCTGCGCAGTCAGTCCAAATCGCAAATCTACAGCTACGGCAGCAGTGGCACTGCCAGCGACAACAGCAACCACAACCAGCAACATTTGCCACACCAGCAGCACCAGCACTACCACAGCAGCAGCAATATTGCCCACATCGAGCACCACTACCATCCGCAACACGGCAGCGATCGCTACAGCCACCCGCATGTGCAACAGCAACAGGTTCACCAGCAACATCAACAGCAGCAGCAACACCACAGCCTGAAGCACACCAAACACGGCAAGGGGCACAAGAATGGCAAGCACGGTTCCAAGGGTAGCAGCAGCAAGTCTCAGGACGACTTCAAAGTCCTCCACAAACAGCAGCAGCAACAGCAAAAATGCAGCGGCAACGGCAAGTCGGCAAAGCGCAATGGTTGCAGCAATCAAGTGTTGCCACTGCCACCACAGCAACAGCAGCAGCACTACTCCAGCTCCAGTGATAGCCTACCATTTGATAATAACTATTATTAGACACCAGCACACATTTAGGCACACACATACACTTATTAACATGGAAGGTTAAGGGTGTCCCAAAAAGAATAGGAGTTTTTTATTTTAATAAGTTTTAGAATGATTACAGTCAAACTTGAGTTTTCTTTCATATAATTTGATGCCCTGAGCTATGAAAACTATACTATATTGCCAAAAATGTCTTAATATTGTCTTATTATTTGATATGTTTATAATCACATTAAAATAATAATGCAGAAGAATGTTATGTATCTCAAGTTCAAAGTCATTCTATCAATAATTACTTTTGAAATTCCTGAAATAATTCATTGTGGCATTCTTGTAGATTTGATATATTCATTACAAATGAAATATTCATACACATTAAATTATTTATGTTAATTGGTTAAGGGCACAGTATCTGATACTTAAAAACATCATTAAACAATAACAGTAAACAAAGTTCCAATGGAAACCCAAACCCACCCAATATTATTAACATTCACATTAAGAGCTATTTTAATAGGATTCAAGTTTCATATGAACTGCACTTATTTAACATACTAGTCGGCGAATATTAATTAAAATTATAAATACAATATTTATATATTTACCAATTTTGGGACACCCCTTGAATACCTGCATTTGAAGAACGCACACACTAACATACTCACACACACACATTTGTGTTCGCCAAATGGTTGAAAGTTTTCATTTGATTGAGAGAATTTGCAAACAGAATTTGGAGCTGCAAGATGCAAGATGCATTCCAGATTGCAATGCAAATTTGATTTTGCGGCTGCCGGAGGACGATTCCTGCCATTTTTACAGCTGCCGCATATATAGAGAAGAGGCTTGGAAGGAGTTAAGTGTTTTGAATGCCAACTGTTTGGGCAGCTTGTTGTTTTCGAATGGAGATGATAGCCTCTAAATGAATTGAATATTTACCTAGTCTATAAACTAATTTAGTTCGTAGCAAATGTCAAAGGGCAATTGAAAGACCATTTAAATGGCATATATATGCAGCTTATTGTTAATTGTGTACATAGAATGGATAAGCGTATGAAACTAGTTACTTATATATTGTAGACCTAAGCCAGGCCCACCACCACCACCACTCCCTCGCCCCATGACCCCAGAATCCGAAAAAAAAGAGAAGAAAACCCCCAAAAAAAAGCTCACCAGCCACCAAATTTAGCACCACAAAAAAAAAAGCAGACCGTGTTTTGTCCCCAACTCGGCTAATAAGATTTTGTTTATTTGTTTCATTAACGAATTGCTTGAAATATCTGCCAACTGAACTCAACTCAAACCACACAACAACATCTACAACAACAACATCGACACACAACAAAAACCACACTGCTTACAACAACACCTCCAGTCGAGTACCCAGGCCAGATGCAGCGGTCACGACGAACTGGGCAATCTGCTCTGGCAGCAGGATTCCTGTGAGTTTCTCGAGCAATATCCCCCCGATACCAGTTGTCCAGTGCCGCCCCTGCGCCACTGCCACGCCCCCGGTCATGGCCATGCCACCAAGTCGTTGACCAGACGTAATGCCGATCTTTTTAGCGGAGATCTGGGCATACCAGAGATCAATACTCATGTGGGCAGTGTGGTTCACACATTCGAAACGTTGGCCCTGCAACGTCGCTTGGCGGAGGAGGAGGATCGCCATCCGGACCGGGAGCTGAGTAAGTATGAGACCACCGGCGGCACCACCCAGAGCAAGTACAGCCAGCTGAAGCGCCGCTCGCAGGAGATGCGCCAGCGGCTGGTGCAACAATTGCACCGCCAGCGTTTGCAGCAGCAGCAACATCTGCAGCAGCAACACCTGCAACATCAGCAAAAAGCACGCTCACGAACACAGTCGCAGCCACAAAAGCAGCAATCCTTGCACGAGGGGGTTTTGACCAACAGTTGCAGCACCCAAACACTGGCCTCCAGCTTTTGGCAGCCATCGCAGCGAGTGGATCGCTCCCGGGAGCAACTACAGCAGTCCACCTTTGAGGACTATCGCAAGAATTTATTCGGTACCCTGCGCAAGCATGCCAGCCTCGAGGATAACGAGGAGCTGCAGGACGAGTCATTTATAGTGAATGCGGCTTTTGATGAGATTTTCTCCTGCTATGATGACGAGAACGAGGATGACAAGGGGACGCAAACGCAGACCAATACCGATGATCTCTTCGAGGACGAGCACATGCTGGTTAGCCTAAGCGAACTGGATGACGAGGTTTTCGCCAGTCGGGCGCAAACAGCCTCGACCACGCCCACGGCCAGCGCGGGTGTCGGAGCTGGCCGAACGCCCAAGCACAGCACGCCCCAATTGAACCTTAATAAGTATCCCGCCCCCTCGCCACCTCGCTCCAGAACTCTCACCAATCTCTTCGAGCGTTTAAAGTCGCAGGACAACAAGACGCTGCAGAAATATTCTGGCGATGTGGCGCTCAATAAGACGGAGGACTTCAACAGAGGCTCCACCGTTAGTAAGTCCTTTGTTCAGCAACTGAGAAAGCCATCCCACAAGCAGAAAAGAGCGCCGAGGCCACCGCCCAAGCCACAATCTCGCTCCCAGGTGGCCATAGCCCATGTAACGCCTCTTCGCAAGGCCCTTATATTCCCCAAACGATCCAAGTCCTCCAGTGAACTACTTCTTGACGATCTGAGCGTACAGGCGCGTAAGTATCAGCGACGGATAGAGCAGGGATCAGCGCTGTAAGAAAGGATCACTGGGCACCCAGTTATGCACCTGTTTCTCACCTGTTGACCAGTTTTTTGCCCCCACCTAGATATTAAATCGATTTGTTTTTCGTATTTCTGTTTACCCAGAGGCGACGCTTTTGTAGACTAAATGACCCCAAAAATCAAAAAAACCAAAAAACGACCTGACCCCCCTATTCCTTCGAATATGATCAAGACCCTAATACCGAACCCGAACACGAATCCGATGTAGATGTGGATCAAGTGCAGCTATCCCGCCGCCATAATGGAAGACAAAGATATGACCCGAAGCAAACCCAAAGAGAATTGAGCCATACGAGAAAGACAGAGGAATAGCATCCGATGAACTAAACTAATTTCGTAATTTATCCGTAATTAAATTAAGACAAGTACATTAATCGAAAATGCATGAAAATCAAATCAAAAGATGACTAACCATATTTATATATACAACCATATATATATAAATATTCATATACATTATTGTACAAATAGGATCGAAGATGCCCCGAGAGCGGGCTTAGATATGAAATGAAAATCAAACGGCAAATCGTGCTCTCTCAGCCTAGTTATTACCGAGTACAAGTTTGTTTGTCTCTTCAATTATAATTTAACTTCATCAAAGAATATACCATACAATCCCGATATACATCTAAACATTATTCGGAAATATATATATATATATATATAGCATATAACTGCGTCACTTGTTGTAACTTTTAGGATAATTGCAAGTCAAAGCAAATGTAAACCAATTACAAGAAGAAACATTACTAACTCTTACCTGCATGCAATAAAGTATTTGAAAAGGCAAAACCAAGATTAAATGACTTATTTGGGTCGGGTATTTAATGGAATATTAACTTATTTTAAAGATCAAATCAGTTTTGTAGGAAAAATAAGACCGATTCATTAATCACGTCATGGGTTTCGAACAGTCCAGTAGGCATTGGATGGGCGGAGAAGAAGCTTAAATAGTCGAATAGCAGGACGTCCCATTATTGGGCTACTGTTCGGTATAGCGAAGTTCCACTTTAGAAGGAAAACCATGCTAGAAAATGAGATTATTTTTTATCATTTAGAATATGTAAAAAATCAGTGCACTCACAATTTCTCCGGGCCACACAAATCTGAGGAACAGCTCTGCGATGACTCCCACTGCCATGATTTTCCTTCCGGCAAGCGAGCGGTCTCCTGCTGCCACAAGGACCAACTATAACGGGGGGTGTCCTGCTCCTTTTCCCAAGATAAATGAGCCATGGGGTTCTGCAAAACGAACCGTTGTGCCTGGTAAGTAAGAGTGCTCCTGTCTACAAACTCCATAACGAAGAGCAGCTCGTGGTCTCGTGAGTGAGTTAACGCGTATAACTTGTCGGTGCCCAGGAAGTACTCGCCATCCACAATGCTATTGTACCCTTCACGGAATTCTTTTGCGGAGCGATGAGTGCCATTGAATCGCTGCAGAACCAAAGTCCATCCACCCTGGTCAAGAGCCTGTTCGCAAAAGACGTCGAATGGTCGGCTGCCTTCCTCCAGTTGAATGCGAGTATAGCCATGGATGTCAGTCAAGGCACAATTACGTAGGAAGATGCCCGATTTTTCTGACAGCTTCTCCGTGGCATTGGCTAGGCGATTTAGAACCTCCGTCTGCTGCTCTATCTTCTCCTTCAAATTACGCACTGCTCCGGAAACGGCAGCAGCACCGGCACTGCTGAAAAATAATACAATAATTCGCTGTTTACTTTAATAATGTTATTTAATTTCTTACCTCGGCAATTTTACATGTACTCCTCGAGTGTCCCGATGTGCTGACAGACTGTCCTCCGCCAAAAGCCCCACTAGAATTATTACAACCGCCACTCCATGTCTGAACATCTTTTCGCTTTGATGACTTGTACAGTTATGGTCGGAAAGAATCACCTTGGCTTTCAATGATGCTTCCGAAACCACTGATAAGGCTGCTGATAGCTTTTACCTTGACCGCACCAGAGTGCACTGGCCAAAATCGACGCCTGCAGATTATCATTGTCCGGTTTCGTGACGAATCTCGTGCTTTCGGAGTTGTCCCGCCCTTGTAAAGGTTTTTTCGCACACTTGGCAGCGGTGTAGCCGTTCGCCGGTGTGAATCCTCTCGTGGCTTTTAAGGACTCCTAACTGGGCAAACCTTTTGTCGCAATAGTCACATGCGTAGGGTCGCTCACCAGTGTGCGTCCGAAGGTGCAATTCAAGTAGATAGACTCTGGAGAAGCTACGCTGGCAGATGGTACATGGATGTGGACGTTCGTCCGTGTGCCGAGACATTATATGACGCCGCAAGTTGCTGGACTCTCCAAAGGCACGGCCACAATGGGGGCACTCATGTTGCAGCAGCTGCTGGTGTCGCTTTCGGTGGGCTAACAGGGATCCATTTGTCCTAAAGCTCTTGGGACACAAGTCGCAGGTGAAGGGCCTCTCATCGCTATGCAGGCGCATGTGGACAGCTAAACTGGAGGCAGACTTTAGGCGCTTACCGCACTCCCTGCACCTGTGCTGGACGTTCTTCTTGGATCCAGTTGAGCAATTGTGGTTCTGATAGCTAGCATGCTCAGTGTAGAATCCGCCACATTTCTCACAATCGTATATGGTAACTGAGGCATGGACTTTTTCTACGTGCCGACGTAGTGCTGCGGATTGCCGAAAAACTGCACCACAATAATGACAGTTGCAGCCGGAAGCATCAGCGGGTATTATTTCATCCTCCCCAGCGGATTCCATATAGTCGCTCGGATCGAAAATTATGATTTCCTTCGAAACCACAGGTTCCATATTCATCTTGGTAGTCTTATCGAGTAACTTTTTCTCGGCCTCCGCGCACTTCTTGCGAAACTTGGCTGCGATAAGTAGCTCGTTGGTGCACTCCTGGCACAGATACTTAAGATGTATGTCCCTGTGATCCACCTAGCGGGGATAAATTATGAAAATAGCAGGGGATATATAAAACTAGCACATAAAAACTCACTTTGATGTCGCCACAAGTCTCTAGCAAAGTGCACAGATCCATTTGCAGTTCCTCCACAGTTTCGTAGATGTCCACTAGTAGTTCATCCTGCTGAAGGCAAACTCGGCAGAGAAAATCGTCTAATCGCACCGACATATTTAATAATTAACTTGCGAAAATGTAAATCCTTAAACAGATGATTCTTTCGGAACCATCAGCATTGTCAATAACCATTCACCCCGAAAAGCAGCCAAACAGCTGATTACACTGAGTTACAATTTATGGCTTATATAATTATTTTAAAACCATTTATTTAGAAAACATATATCGTAGTTGACTAAAACCCCTATATTGCTTATAATTTTATAATACGCTATATGTAGTTTAGATTGTTACTTACCACTTTCTTTAAATAAAAAATACCAATGTATTTTTAAATTTCCCGGCAAAAGTAATAAATACCTTTTGGGATACCGGTTTAGAACGCTGTAAACTTGTAAGTGGGAAATCCCGCATTCACCAGCCGGTAACACTTTCGAGTTGTGTATTTCGTTTTTCGAGCTTTGACGTTAGGAAACTTATCCTTTTGGTGACTAAATCGGAAATGGAGTGCCAAAAAATGCTAGCTCAAAAAGCAGACAGCGCTCCCCAGGTGAGTCTCAAGTCTGCAATAGCTTTTAGGAAAACCCATAGGAAACGCCAAAATTTTGAAATAATACAGATTCCGGAAGGAAAAGGAAAATGCGTCCTTTGCGCAATCGCAGCGGAGCGAATCTGCCAGCGCTGCGGGGATTTCTACTGCTCCAAGAACTGCCAGCTCCAGGATTGGCCACGTCATCGTTACATCTGCTTCCCGCTCCCCGCTTTAGTTCATCCCAATTCATTTTCGATCTACCAGAACAACGAGCAGTTATCGTCGAATAAGGGAGCAAGTTCTGTTAATACTGATGAAATTGAAGTTGAAACAGCTTCCGCTACATTTCCAAAGATCATTCCGGATATAAAAAAAATATGCAATAACAGCAATGTTCCATCAAAAACTCCTATTGAGGCTCCGATTCCAATCGTCTCGGATAACATTGGCAATAAAGATAAAATGAAAAACGCTTCTACGCCAAAAGCGGTAGTGCCGCCGAACAATAGTCTGGTGTACATCACGGGATTCCGATCTGCCAATCGGTTGTATGTACGCGATGCCAGCGAAACTGCTGACAAGGCATTTAACCAAGTCTGCGAAAAGGTTTTGTATACGTTTGAATTTTTAAACTTTTTCAAGTAGATTTTTCCTTACACAAAAAATATACAAAATACGTGCTTTTTATAAAGCTTTCAAAATCAAAATAAATTATGGATATTTATTATCCTAAATAATATTTATTTTCTTAATGAACATTGTTGTTAATTTTTTTGCAATAATTTTGAGTCATTCTTATTGAAAATCTACATTTTATTCATTTTTATAAAGAACTATTAAATTTTTAAATAATCTTTAATATAAATGAAAAGTAAATTAAATATGAAATTTATTAAATTAGTTATTGACATGAAACTTCTTTTTTTAAATTTGACAATGAATTTCCAAGTATAACCCATTTAAAAATACTTGCAATCTCCACAGATTAATGCCATGGGATCTGAGCTGCCCAGACTGTCAAAGCCAAGGCCATATTCCGTCTGCCTGGCTCGCTCCAATGGGATGTACCACCGTGCCAAGGTGATGAGTACCTACGGCAATAACTCAATCCGCTTAGTATTTCCGGATCATGGGATCATAAAGTCGGGAACTTTTTCGGATATGAGAGAGATCAATGAGGAGCTTATATTGCTACCCTGTTTTAGTCTGCAGGTGCAGCTCAAGGATGTGCAGAACTACGCTGTCACTGAGGATGTCACCACGTTCATCTCTCAATTCGAGGGCCTGAAGTATGTGGCAATCTTTGAAAAAAACCATGGAGCCATTTATGTGGAACTACTTCATCCGACAACGAAAATGTCATTAAATAAACAAATTCGTGAGTTCTGCACCAACAAAAATGTTTTACGGAACCCAATTGAATATAAACCGAATGAGACGCCTCATCCAAGTCACTCACCTAATCAACAAATTCTCAAAAATAATCAAGCTGTAATAGTTCCTAAGGCCAACAATACTCAACTTGAGGCTAAAGAAAAAAAGATAGAACAAATACAGACTAAAATTAAGAGTCAGAGCGATCCCAAGGACCCCCTGTCTGTCACAGACAAAATTAAAGAGACAACAAATCAGAGTCGACCAACCGAACAGGAAACTACCAAAGTCACTCAGTCTGAAAAGAAATCAGAAATAAGTAAAACTGAACAACCAAAATCAGAGGCTCCAAAAGCAGAAAATGGAACACAAGAATCCATAAAAGTTGTCGATGCAAACGTAAAGGAAAAGAACGATCAGGTTGAAGGAGAAAAAACTCCCAACGCTAATAATAATTTTCAAAAAATAATCCCCAATGATTTTTTTGCTGACTTTTTACGTGCTTACAATAAGACTGTCAATGAAGAAGATGCTAAGAAATTAAATCCAAGAGAAATGTTGAATGAATTTCTACATTTACACGGATTTATGCAGAATAATATAGATTCGCCTGCCGTCGAGCTTCCTAAAGAACTTTCACCAGGTTCTCAAAATGAAAAGAAAATATCAGCCAATCAGGAATCGAAAGAAACCAGTCAACCTGTAGAAGAAATATGCAAAACTTTAACTGAACAACCTACCAAAGAGGATAAAACTAAAGAAGTTGATGTAAGAAATAACTTTAATTCTAAACCAGGTTTAATAGATGACGTACCAAAAAGAGATCAACTTCCAACTCTTACTGATCAGGAGATCAAAAGAATTCCTGAAACTTTATCAAAACCAAAAGATGAAGAAGTAAAAGAATTTCTAAAACAATGCTTAGCTTCAAGAACTCCTTCGCCAGCTGCGAGTACCAAAAGTGATCGAGCACATCCATTGGAGTTACCAAAACATAATGAGAATTTGAATTCGATGCCTTTTTCTAAAACAAATCTCCAAGTAAATGGGATTGTAATGCCGGAAAACGAACCTGTCCTAAAACCTGTGAGTTTATTATGTAGTGTGAATATCATTATACGATATATTTTATAATTTTTAATAGCCCTTTGAGCTGCGACGATTCTCCATTGAAAATAAGAATGGCATCGATGTATTCGTTGTGGACAGTACAAAAAAGGAACGCGGCGTTTTTGGAGCATTTGACAGCGGATACGCCTCGGAGTTTTCCCAATTGCACACTCGTCTGTCAAAAATGACCGATTCAAATCCCTATAAACCTGTGTAAATATGAAGCTTCAGCTTTCTCTTCTAATAATTTATAATAATCCCCTTTCGACAGCATTAAGGAATATGTGCTCGCCCGATTTGAGGGTTTGTGGCATCGTGGACGAGTGGAGCAAATTATAACCACAGCACAGCAGGAGACTAAGTACAGGGTACTGTACCTGGATTACACCAATGTTGAGAACATAACTGAGTCGGATATTCGACGCTATCCATTAGACTTCACCACTTCTTGTAACACAAGTCTGTGTGTGATTGACGGTTCGGATTATTATACATTTTATTTTCATACATTTATCACATTTATTGACTTCATTCATTTGCAGAATTTCCACATAAACTGAATGCAGCTCAGATCACTTACTTATCAGAGGCTTTAAAAGTCCATCAATCAATTCATGTTGATAGCGTCAACTATCTGAACAATATAGCCATGATTAAATCGCGAGCCCTGATTGAGAAACTTATGTCCTTGTAATCCGAATTTATATACTCCACGTGAACCGCATGATATGATGGGAAATCCGATTTTTTAGATTTTAAGAGCTCCAACATGATAAACTACTCTGGAATCATTATATTGCTGATGCAAAGCATTTCAAAATTCCGACCAGACTAAATAAGCATTACGTTTTATCATTTTAAAAACATTTATATATAAATAAAATTCAATTATATAACAACGTTAAAAGCTGTTAATACACAATTAATATGTTCCCTAGCTATAGCTGCCGTTGATTCACGATCTTTATGTTAGAAATTACACACAACAAGGTTACAACAGATTGAAAAGACATGCACAAAAGGTTTTAGTTTGTTTTGTTTTTGTTTCTCGAATGTTAAAAAATGGTAGCGGAAGCTGGTATACAACGACAAAGGCACTGTTTGGTGTGGATTCAAGGCACGGTCCCTCCCAGACAATTAAATGTTCTTTTTCATTGTCATTTCGTGGGCGGTGCGCAGGCGTCGCCGCAGCTCGTTCGGGAATCGCTCATAGCACTTTTTGCACACCGGCTTCTCGTCATACTCATAGAACTTCGACTTCTGTGTCATCTTTGTGTCGCACACGGAGCAGGCAAAATGATGCACACACCAGGCCTTGTTCAGGGCAGTGAAAACTGTTGATATGAAACTGCATTACAAACACCCATCAATGTGATTAGCAATCTTCTTACCATCGCCTCCAATAACCTGGTTGCAAACGAAGCACAGGTTGCCGAAGAGCTGATGATAGTGGGTCTCACAGTAGGCCAAACCCCGCTTCTCGTAGTGCCGGTGGCCCAGGAAAGGTTTCTCACACTTGGCGCACACGAAATGCTCCACATGCCAGTGCTTTCCCAGCGCGGTGACCACTCTTTCTTCAATTGGCCGACGACAAGCACCGCATATAGGAATACCCATTTTATCATGGCAACGCAGACAATACAGTTCGTTCTGTTAAGAAATATATAAATGTTATACAGTATTACATTATTTTTGAACAAAAAAAGGCCTACCATATCGTTTGCGGCCAGTCCTGGGCGACTCTTGACCTCTCGAGCTGTGGAATCCAATTCCGTTCCGCAGGCCGTGCAACTGAAGTGATACCCGTGGTAAACTTCACCTCGGAAACGCAAAGGCTCCTCGTCGATGAGGCCACTGAATAGTACAGAAATTTAAGATCATATTTATATTAAAGGATTTCAAAACTTACTGGCATTTTTGGCATACATAGCGGCCGGTGATCTCTGCCTTCACCTTGGCATTGCACTCGTGGCACAAGGCGCGATTCTGGTTCTTAATGAAACCACAGTCGGCCAACTCCTTGGCGCACAATTGACAGCGGAAGCACTGAGGATGCCAGCTGGCTGACATGGCCTTAATGACGCGACCGATGACAAACTCCCCGCACTTGTTGCAGCAGGGCGCGAAGAGAACATGGAAGTCACGTTCGCAATACTTGCGACCCTCGAATTCGTAAAAGATGCCATCCTGGAATGGTCGAAAGCACTGAGCACATCTGGAAATCAAATTAAAATAATTAAAAGAAATTCTATAAAACCCAAAAAGCCTGATAAATAAATATAAGAAGTATAGCCTTATTCATTATGTTTGTTAAGCTTGGGTGGGGAATACTTATCGCTGATCGACTTCTTTCGTCATACAAATGGTTTAATGTTTAATTTTGTTATTTCTTCCTATTATTAAAGTCTTTTTAAACAAATGGTTTTTGAAAACATTATTTCAAAATGGGAATCCTTATAAAAAAATCCCGACATATATAGCTTCTACTTACACAAAGCACTGCGTGTGCCATAGTTCTCCATTGGAGTTGACGATCTTTTCGGTGGGTTCGAATCCATCGGCACATCTCGTGCAATGCATTGCACCCAGCGACATGTTTGTTGCCTGGACTCTGTAAATTCAGGAGAAGACATCTGAATTAGTTTTCTGGTAAAAATGTGCCATTTTCGAGGCCTGTACATCTTTGCCTTGGAGTACATCATGGTTATAGCTTGAGCACGAAGGAAAACGACTTTAGGGTAGGGCGTGAAGTCAGAAACTGGACAAAACAATGAGACTTATCGCTCTGCCGGCTCTGTTGACGCTGACTGAATCATATTTCCATCGAATGCCCAGCCGAAAAGCTCTCTGGCATTCCTTGGACTTTTAGCTTTTATTACAGTGAGTGTCGCATGGCAGTTGGATATCAAGCATTAAACGGTGCGGATGTGATGACTCCGGTGATGGGTAAGATATCATTGCTGAACAGGTAGAATGCAGTGATCATATATGCACTGAAGATTACATATCTAGCTGATAACAAAAGGTGATTCGAGTACACGGATTTTATAAAGTAATCGGGGCAACGCATATTCTGTGTTATAGATATCATGATATCAGAAGAAGAGTCTGTTTTTATATGTCAACATTCAACTTAATTCTTATGTGAAAATATTCAAAACTATACTAAAAAAAACAATATTTAATTTATTCTAAGGGTCTGGATCTAAGAAAATTTAAAATTGTGGTTTATGATTCATAGCTTGAGTTTGACAAAAATTTCCAAATTTTTTTTCAAATTCTTTATCTCCGAATTCTTTTTCATCTGGAATACATATTACTTTACAAATTAAAGAATTTAACAACACAATTATTAAATAATGCATTTCATAATAAGATCCTTATATTTTCTTGGCATACATAGTTAACCAGCATTGTGTCTCCGCGTCACTAATTTAATCAATGAACATTCTTTTACCCCTTAAATGGGTTAGAAATTCAAACATCGAATTCGATTTGGATTTAGATTTGCCGCCAACACGAAAGGCGCCCACTCATCAAAAACCGACAGACACAGACCCACAAACAAATAGTAAACAATACACAGACACTCGCACACAAGCACACACACACTGACTCAAGTGGCGGTGTTTTAAAAATAAATTTGAATGTTCCATGACGTCATCGATGGGGTAAACATCTGGCAGGAAAATTGCATTCCATAGGGGCCCAAATCGCCCGCATGGGATTGCAGAGGGTTAAGAATGGATGAGGGCATAAATGATTGCCATTGTCAGCCTTAGTTAGATTTTCTAGTTTTAAACGGAATGCGAAGATATGCGAATTATGGGTCACAATGATTTTTAGGGCTGCCAAATGATGCAATAAATGGGCGTTTTTAAGCCAAGGACGTTTGGAAAGTGGGGCGGAACATTCTGCTTACTGCACGGGCGGCATTTCTTTTCTTTTGCTGTTGGCTTTCACTTGCGATTTGCACCTGTTGCAACTGGTCTACGACTTTTTCAGATCACGCCGAGCGAAACACTGCAAAACATATAAAAATGATCAATCTGTGTCTTCTGGCTTTCGGATATGTCGGTTTAGCGGGTTCCTAGCCAGATCCGGTTGATTTCCAGCCAATAGGACAGAAGGCGCAGCACTTTCAAGAGCACAAAAACAACAACAACGGGTTTTGCCAAAATAGGCAAAACTTAGGAATTTCACTAACTTTCACATATTCCACCAACACACTTCTTTTCACAAGGAAAACACATTTTTACCTTCTGACAACCCTTTTTAATTAAAGCCACTTTTTGTGGACAATTAATTTTACTTCATTTAATTAACAGCTTCCGTGGAAACAGACGCAGAAAAAAACTATATTTTGACACTAAAAAATACCTGGCTATCGATAACGCCATCAGTTTCTGGGCCAGGTAGCCCTGGGAAATCAATCGATAGCTTACCGTTGAGCGCCAATTTGAAAATTACTTTCTCCTAAACACTTTGCGATTAGTCTTAGTTATCAAAATACATTTGCTAAAAAGAATTTTACGATTTAAGGCGCCATGCTTATCACTGTGTGGCATTTTTTCTTCTTTGTCTCAACTTCTTATCAACTGCTTGCTAACTGTTGTTCTTAGAAAAGGTTTCGTAATGCCCTCTTATCAGCAAAACTGCCTCGAGCATATACATCCATAAACTATTTGTTTATAAACAAGATTCGTTCACATGCTAATTTGTACTGCAGGCAGGAAACCCCCTTTGACATTGAATTTGATTGATTTTCTTGCAGTGTTTCATTGCATTTGGGAAAATAAATAAATATGCAGGGGCACACGCAAGAATTCAATGTCATATTCTTTACAATATAAAACCATATCAATGTCACTGCGTGTCAGTAGTAGGTACTGGGTATTGTTGATAAGAAAAATAAGAGTTACGAGCTTTATATGTATGAATAAAGTAATTGTTATCTGTTGTTAGTCTTATAATTATAATAAAAATTATAAAGGTATAAAATGGCATAAACAGTTATGATAAATGATATTAAACAGCTATAAGATTTTTTTTTATCCGCTTACAGGTAAGTAATCAATAATTTGAATTATTTTTTAGTGTAGATACACCGTTAATGCATGTAAATGCATTATTTGTTTGTTTTATTTGTTTTTTCGAGTGGCTGTTTGCGGCAAACTTCCGCCTTGTGGGTGTGAGGGTCATATTTTCGTAACACCCCTCGCCGACTTCCGGAATGTACAAAAGAGAGAGATAAAACCGCCAGCTGCAGTTTCGAATTTTGCTTTATTTGTATCGCTTTATTTTTATGGAGCGTTGTCCCGTTAAAACGGTTTGCCTGGCGAATCGATCAGCGCTCTTTGTTTATCAATCTCACTCTTTTGTCAGTCGCCTTTATTTATTATTATTAAATGAGTTTTTTTCCAGCAAAGACAAAAAACAAACAAGGTGGCCGGCAAGGCCGCAGAGTGTGCGAGCGAGATGGCAGAAAAACAATCGCCATAAGAACAACATGGAATCCACACGTCATCATATCATTTCCATACCATCCACATCAAGCACTGAAAAATAAGCAGCAAAATATTTGGTTTAACAATTATACCAATTTGATTTGTGAAAAATGTTGCACATTAAAAAAAAATAATAACAAGTTAGAAAATTTCTAACATACGAATTTGTACTATAAAATGGTCAAATTGATTTATCAAATCAAATACAGTTATTTCTTTCGGTGCACACTGTCACATGTTTGGTAAAAGGTGGTGGAAATGGAGTGGGTTGCTGGCTGTGGCAGTGGAACCTGGAAACCGGAGGAACTGCGAGACTTTCGGCACGTAGCAACGCCCAGCTGTAAGTTTATTACGCATGATTTTATGCTGTTGTTTACCAAAAAAATTCGCCAAGGCAAGCCCCCTCATTCCACAGGCCCTCGAAATTCTGACTCGGAGACTCGGGCGTATGAGCAACATGTTAAAACATATGGAAAGCGGTATGGAATGTGGAAGACTACTACAGCGGATGCAGATGCAGTTGCAGTGGGTGTCTAAAAATAAATTAAATTATGCTCTCTATTATTGCAGCTGGGTTCCAAAGCCGGCAAACCAGATGGACAACTAGTACGGCTGACTGCCAGTGGTGCAAGTTTACAGATTTCAAGGGGTTTTTAAAACTTTTGATCTGAAATGTCTTAATAAATAAGGAGATTTTAGTATATAAATTAGAATCACATCATCCGACCTTACTCATTAAATACATAACTACTACTTTGATTATTTTATGACATCAAGTCTATTTGGAATGCATTATAACGATGTTTTGAAACTGATAGCAATATGAGATTTCTAAACCAGAAATTTCTAATCTTCTTTATAATCTGTAGAGTGATTTTCTTGTCATATGTCTGACAAGCTAATCGGCTTTATTGAAATCGAACTGATAGTAAACAAATTTTCCGCGGTTTTCCGGATTTACAACTTTTAAGGGGGGTTATTTAAGACGCCCCTGTACAAACGTGGGTTTCTCTTGGATTGCAACTCAAAGCAATTGCAGCTGCATAAAAGCTTTGAGTTTGAGCTTCCAAGCTCGTCCATTCATCGTTTTTTGTTTGTTTGTTGATTTCTTGGCATAAAAATTCCAAATATGCGGCGCGGTGGCATTGCATAAAAACGCAATTATAGCTCTGACCGCGTCCGCATTGCATTTAGGCCCTGTCTTATCGCCATTTGTTGTTTATCGTTATTGCTCGGACAAGCTTATCAAGAAATTTCGAAACCGAAACAGAAATCCACCTTGCGGGGGGAATTTTACTTGAACTGAAACGGTTTACCTCGGCACGTGAATACAATCAAAAAATTCCGCTGCCCCAAGAAAATACAGTCTGACCTCCATAACCCGAGACACTTGACTAAAACATAAACATTTCTAAGTGCTTTGTATTAAAATGATCTTTAGTCTTGGCTTCTTTATGAAACCACTTATGATTAGAAAAAACTAGTTTTGTCTCCTATTCTAAGTTTTAACTCATATTTAGTTTAACATAAATCTTTTTGTATTTAAATAAATAAAATTTTTCAAACTCATTTCCAAGATATAAGTTTCAATGTCTTAAAACATTAATATTAAAATAATTTTGTATGATTTTAACAAAGGCTAGTTATATAAATTTAAATATTTAAAAGAGCTAGCAAAGCTCTAAAGATCACCAAAAAATCATTTTTTTAAGACATTGGTTTTCCGAGGCCAGACTGTGAATAATTCAATTTGATGTGCGTGGGCGCCGGAAAAGAGGGAAAAACCGGGGGAGAGCGTGCAATCCGGTTCCCGTGGGCAGCGTATTTAGAGCGTTGGCACCGGCAGGGGAAAATACATACATACATATATAAAAAACGAAATGCGCTCGAAAGCAATTTTCCCGCCTGCCAAAGTTTGCATTTTATATGCAGGCCGAAGCCAAAAGCCAAATAAATACATTCAATTGTTGGCAACGCGTCACCATTTCGGCGCTTGGCAACAGCGAACTTCAGACAAAGGCAGACGGCGAAAATGTTTGACCATTAAAACCGAAAGCCAGCACAAAATCTGTGTGCATATATATAGCGAGTGGTATCCCCACACACAAATGCAGTGCCGGCGACCTGTTGTCGCCAAGGTGCGATCGTTAAGTACTATCTTTCGGACCTATTACAAAGTTCATTACCGCGGGGGGGCACAAACTCAGAATAGCCTGCCCAGACAGTCTAGACATTTCCGCTGCTCTCTATTTTTGGCGGCCAATCTAGCATAGTCGCTATAAAAACTGAAAGCTTTTTGATATTATTTTAAAGCGGACAAATTTTGTACTAAAACTTTTCTACCGCTAAACAGTTGACCAAGAACATTCCAAACTGTTGCTAAGCAGATAAGAAAATGACCCCAAAAACTAAAAATAATCGTAAAAATTATAAAATATAGTCTGGGATATTGCATAGCAAATCTTCAAACTAGAATTTATGTAGGACAAAGATAGGTTTAAAAAGAAGTCTCCTAAAACTCCATGATATTATAATGACAGCAAATATAATTAGAAGTTCAAAACGCTAAGAATTATATAAACAAGTTTTGAATCAAAAACAGGTGTTTAAATTACTGGTAATACTTAAGAAAAACAAACAAACATTTTTTTGTAAAAGGGAAGTTAGCTATTCTTAGCTCTATTCAAGTAGAATAATTTTACATAACTTGTTTACCTGATAGATGAACATTAAAGAACTGGTATATAGTGGGTTATCAATTTTATAGAGTCATAAACCCGAGTAAAATATATAAACCACCCCATCTGAACTCCTCAGGCCACCCACTCACGTGAAGGCAACGAAAAGCGTGTACAGCTGTCCATTTGTTTTGCACTATGACAATGTCATTAGCACTCGAAAGAAAGAATCGGGCACAAAGCAAAACAGCAGATAACAACAAATAATAAAAAATAATATTAAATGTATATACGTTCGTTATGTGCTTAGTTAAAAATAAAACTATTTAGCCTCTACGATGTCGTTGCCATAGTGACGTTAATTCGCAATGGAATGAACTAAAATGCCAGCTGAAATGCGAGAAAAAAACTGCAATCTAAACGGAGTGCGCAAATAGTAACAGAGATTAGCTGAAAGAACATACATATATATACTATAGTCATCTGGGAGAGTCGTCAGCTGTGTTGAGATCGAGAATACTAATCGCATGTTAATTGATAACAGCCACAACAAACTGCCAGGTAAGCAGGTGCAGCGCAACACTCTCGACTCTGACGTACATTATACAATACCAGATTGAGTGATAGAATACGAATACGAAATGCCAGGCAGAACGATAAAGTATGCAAAATGAAAACAAACGATAACCAGTTTAAAGCGGTGGAAAAACCCTTTGGGGGGAGTGTTTAATAAACACTTTATCTCGTTTCTCATATAGGTAAGTCACATGACCTCAGGCCTTTCAGTAAAGTGCCTAGATATCAGATCCAACATATAAATAGCGATCTTCTTCATCTTTTGCCAAGGGTATCTTTAGGTCACATACTATCTATATATACAGTCAACAAGTGACACGCCTCTTTGGACAGAAAGTAAACATTTTGATTAGTGTCTTGATTAACAATTGCTTTTATTCATTTTTTATATGTATAAATTTACTTAGTCTCATATTGTTTAGCGTACTTTTAATGTATACTCGAATTGATATTCTCATATTTAGGCATAATTTAGCAATTTCAAAACCAATAAATAAGCAACAGCGACCAACGATTAAAGATAAAAGAAAAACACTAGCTGTTCTTTTCAACTTCCCGACAGTACCAACTAAGTTAGGATAGATATATTTCGTTATGCTTCAAGTCTTTCGATTAGTTTCGCTTCTTTTTCGATTAGTAGTTATGCATTTGCATAGATCGAACAGTTCGTCATCTGGCTTTTCATTTTTTTGTTTGGTTTTTCTCACTTACAACAGAAATAAACCTTTTAGCTTTCTGATTAATTGCTGTTATCTATAGTTATTTATTTATATACATGATTTTTTATATTTCACTTACAAGCAGGCGAAAGGCACTTGAACAAAGAAACAAACAAACAAACAAGCGACGAGTACGCCCAACTTACTACCATATGCAAAAGCTATATAGCCATATATATATATATATATGCATATGCATGTGGTACTTATTCATGTATTTGTGTCTAGGGTCTAAACTGCTGCATCGGAAACTTTGAAACGTGACATGAGCTCTCTACTCCTATATACAACTTAGACGGACCTAGAGCCTACATAAGCCTATATATAGTATTTACATAGTGGGTAATATCAAATAGCAGCCTATCAACTCAACTTAACACAATGACATACATATATAAATAGTGGGGCGGGTCCATTATTTAGTTGACAATCTTTGGACAATTTTAAGCAAGAGCTTAAGTAGAACTATAGGTCTCAAATCCGATTTGAACTAACAAAGTTGCATTACAATTCCTCTGAACTGATAAGAAAATAGGCTATCTTAACAAAAAATTTCACGTCATTTAACATTCCTTATAACTTTAAAATGACGGCTCCGACCTACTTTAAATATTTTACTTTACTTTAAAATCTTGCAGGATAAATTGAACCTTAGACCTATACTTCCCAAACTCTTTTCCCAAAATTGTCCTTGATATTTCAGTTTATCCTTGCCTCTCTGCATATTGACCGCCCCTTTTTAAAGAATAACTAACTAATGACACTTCTAGGGGTATTTTCCAACTCAGTTGCTCATTTGGAGGCCACCACTGCTGCGGCTGCCCGTTGACGAGGAGCCCGTAAGTCCAAATTGCGAGACCAATTTATCGTAATCCTCTAGTGATGTCTCGAACTGCTCCAATTGCCGGGAAAGATCATCCATAGCACTAGCATCAGCGGCGCTGGTGGCAATCGCAGTCGCTGCTGCTGTTGGACCACACGATGCTCCTCCTTTGCCGGAGGCACTACTAGATGCTGGAGGGGTCGAGGAAGCCGAAGAGATCTCAGCCTGTAGTTCGTTGAGACCCTTGAGTGGTGGCGCATGATAGCATTCTCTGTAGAACTTGGCCAGATCGTTGACATGCGACGTGGGTGAGGCAAAGGGAAAGTGCAGCTCCTTGAGCAAATTATCATCATCGGGCGGTGGTTGCAGCACCGGTTCCGAATGGTGACGATACGTGGTTGTAGCGCTGGCGGGGATCAGCAGGCTCTTAATGGGTGACACTGAGTTTCCGGAGTTTTTCTCGAAACTTTTAAAACCCGTTGAGTTATTGTTAAGATTGCTGATCTGGTTGAGTTTACTGTCCTGTGGATTATTGTTGTTATTGCTGCTGAGCACACTGGCGGTTGAATTGTTATCCAGGCGGTTGAGGGACTCCACAGAGCCGCGTCCTCGTAAAAGCCACTCAAAGGGCGGAGTTTCCGGCAGCACATAATCATCCTCCGTGTACTGCTTCAGTTTGCCCATATCAGTGAAGGCTCCCGGGCGAAGAGGCTTCTCTATGTCAATATAGCGCCGATCTCCTGAGCCTTGAGTAGGGTTGAGGCCACCCAAACCCAATTTTTTTGCCACAGCTGTGCCATTTTGAAGCTGCTGCTGGTTCCCAGGAGTACTGGCATCTGTGGCGGGTCTAAAGTGGTCCGATTTAAGCATAATTGTGTTGCTCTCCGCTTGGGCTGCCGTTGGTGAGATAGTCAGCTTGGTGCGGTACGCAACGGACATGACCAACGAGCCCACAATCGTGCTAAGTTGCCCGATCTTCACGTGCTTGTGGCCCTCGCCCAGAGTGTGAACCTGTGGCCTATCTACATAAATCCTGTAGAAGATGCCATACGAATCGGGACACTGGCGACGGGACAACTTGTAAGCGGGTGTGGTGCGTGTCAGAGAGATGAGGGACTTAAGCATGATACCCATGCGATTGTAGATGGCGTGGGCTGCTTTCAGTGTCTGACCCTCGGGATTCAGATCATTTGCGGCTGGGGAGGAACCGTTCTGTGGTTGTATTAGGTCTAGGGACCACACCTCTAGGACCATCTGGTCACCCTCGGCAGTTTTCAGTGAGATTTCCACGCACAGTGGCAGTCGGTGCAAAATGCTCTCTCCTGCCTTCAGGTTAAGGGCCCGCTTGGTCTCGTCGAGGACCTCCGGATGATCCTGGACGGCGATGTTGAACCAATCGCTGCCCGCCAGTGGATTACACTGCGTCTGCATCTTCTCGCCCAGTCGGGATTGTACCACCACCTGGGTGGACTTTAAAACCAAGAACTTTATGAACTTCTCCAGATCCCGCTCTGCTGCATTTAGACGCTGCGCAGACATTTTTCCGTTTTTCTTTGTTTTCCCTGTGTGTTTGCGATTGTCTGTGTCCAAAGTTCGCTGTCTGCGTTTGGATTTTTTTCACTTTTCTATTTCCGCGTTTTGTTTTGTCGCGGTTCTCTTGTTTTCGCGTCGCGCACTTTGCTTTCTAGGCACTGCTAAACGTTAATTAAAACTCGACCGGGCATTTTGCCAAAAACACTGTCATTTGTGCAACGCCCTTTCACTGTGATTCCGTGTTATTGTTTGTACGCCAGTTCCATCCCACTATTTTCGTTTAAAGTCAGCGTCAGCGTTAGCCATTGAGAAAACTGCGATGAAAATATGCCAAAAAGCACTAAAAAATACCAACTCAACGCCCACTCACACTGTCGTTTGCATCAACATAAAAGGCTATATTCCCACTGACATCGCATCTGCAAAAACATCTAAAATCCGAATCTCCGAGTTAAATTTTCCCCTGTTATATGTTTTATGAAATTTTTTTATTAAATATTTTAAATATAATGACCAGATATCAACGTGGAGTTAAATACCTATTTATTAAATATTATTTATCCAAAAATAACAAGAGTATTTTTGGTATTTTTTCATAACCCATTTCGCTGTTACAGATCCGATGCCAGTGTATACAATCTGTTATTTATTAAATCACTTTCTGCTATGACGAGGTGTGGCCACAACTTCTAATTCAACACTGGGTGCCTAAATGATACACGTCACGTACGCAGATTGGCGCGCATTTAAATTAATTATATATATATTTTGTTGTTATTTAATAAAAACAAACAAGGCCGTCTTGGAATAACAATATGGAATGATGCCAAAAGACTAGGAATCCCCGCCGCCCATCTGCACGTCATCTCGGCAAAAATGCTCTCGATCCGTGGAGGTCAGGACATGTTTGGGAAGATATCGAAGAACGGAGGTCGGCACCTGACCTAACATCAACAGACGCTCTTGTTTGATTTGCTCCAGTTGCTCGGCATCGGTCTTGGCCTTCATATCGAAATACTGGACATTTTCAGCGGTGGCCTCCGCCCGTTTTCGCTGATTATCCTCGATCATGGCTAGTAAGGTTGCTCCATGCGCTCTGCGTCTGCGGTATTCCTCAAGCTGCTTCTCGGACTCCTGGATACTCATATCGGGGGCCTCCTGTTGTCGGGCGGCTATCTCCGCTCGTTTCAGTTGCATTTGGGCCATCTTATGATGCTCCACCTCTTGGCGATAACGATCCAATTCTTGCCTTGTGCGCCGGCGTGATATTTGCTCCTGCTGTATCTGTTGGCGAAAGCGCTCATCACTCTTCGCGGTGTACTCCGCCTCCAACAGATCCAACAGCAAATTGTCCCGAAGGCGCTTTTTGTTCTGCAAGAAGAGTGTGTATTATTAAGTACATACTTAATATAAAGATCGAGAGGACTAACCTGGATTTCCAGGACCTCCTGGCCCAGTCGTATGCTGATCTCCTGCTTCTTTCGCTGCACCTCCTGGCGTTCCGCCTCAAGCTGGAGCTTCCTCTCCTCAATCTCGGTTTGTTTTTGGACTAAATTACCCAACTCCTGGTTGTTCTGAGCCCTTTGCCGTTCCTTATGTTCCTGGTTCTCCTTAATAGACTGCAACATATCCTTTCGCTTTTGTATCTTCTTACGCGCTGCCTCTAGCTGCTGGGCGTGATCTTCTTCCTGTATTTGCTTCTGCCGCAGCAAGCTAAGCTGTCGGTCGTTCATCACCTGGGCGTGTTCCTGTTGGCGCCGGCGGCGGTTCTCCTCCATTTGTTCAGCCAAGGACTCCCTCAGGCGGCGTTGTTCTTCCTTGAGAGCGGCTTCTTTTTCTCTTTGCTTTTCCTCCAATAGACAACGCTCCTCGGCCACTTCTCTGGCCTCCATTTTAACAGCCAGCTGTCGCTGCCTTTTGCGGTCCTCCAAATTTTCAGCTAGCTCCTTGGAAATGGCTGCTAAACGTAATTGCTCTGCCAAATCCCGCAGTTCCTCGCAATCCCGCCTCAACTTCTGGCGACGTTTCTTCTCCACAAACTCTGCGTGCTTCATCGCCTGCATTTCCTGCGTCATCGCTGCCTTCTCGATGAAATCCCGAGTCAAGGGGTTCTCCATGGAGAGCTCGAGACTGCGGTTCACCTTTTCTAGGTCGTGTTGCATCTCCTGGATCAGTCGCGAGCTATTGAAGTCGTGCTGCATTCGTAGTGACCGTGGAACGTTGAATTGCGGTTTGCCAATGTTGAAAATTCCAGGGTCCTGGTTACCATGATTCCTTGTAGTTGCCATGGTTGTTACGACGACACAAACAGAAATACAGTAAATCGAATCAAATTAAGAAAACAAAATAAAATAAACATCACAGTTCTGTCGGGCTACTATGAGTGGATTCCACTTTAAGATTTATAGTCATAATACCTCCATTGTATTATTTAATAAGTATAACCAATTAACCACCTAAATATTGTCCTAATCGTTGAAACAATATATCACAGGTCCTTGTTTCCGTTTTTTGTGAATGGCAATAACGATCAGGAGTTGCATTAATTGCCATTCACTCAAAATACTTTTAGAATGAATTACTAAAAAAAACGTAAAATAAACGCTATAAATTGCAATTTTATCTTTGCCATTACATGACTGTTTCATAATTTTATCTCAAAATCATAGTTAACAAATTGTCTTGAAATAAGGGAGAAAGTATTAAATGCAAATTTTTTTAGTTTTTGAAGGCAGTCGGGAAGTACTTTTTGTCCTTCTCCACGATGTTCTCTAGCAGGTCGTCGACGTCAGTGTTGGGATAGCGTTCCACCCACGACTGGATATAGCCTTCGTGGCTGGGTTCATAGGTTTTCAGTTGGACCTTCTTGTTCTCGTCGATCACCGTGTTGGCCTGGACGAGAATCATGCGCGGTTTTTTGTGTGCCAGACATATATCTCGCCACTTAAACCACGGATGAGAGCCGCTCTCGTTTACTTTCGAATAGTGCTCGTACATGGCGGAGGCCGCATCGATGTCAGCTGTTGATTTGTACACCTGCAACTTGGTCAAGAATTCGCCAAGTGCCTTCCTGCCCACGGTATCGATCTTGCTGCGATCCACAGTCAACCGGAGGTTCTTGCCGTCCTCAGTTTCCTCGACTTTAACAAATCCTTCACCTGCCTCCAGCAGCACCTTCATGATCACAAAGCGCGCGCGGGAGTGTGCCTGCAACCAGAGCTTGGATTTCGGGTTAAACATCTCCAGAGCCACTCCCATTCCATTCCAAATAAGACTTAGCCAGTTGACATAGATAATATTGTCTTGCTCCACCTTGTCCTTGAAACCGAAGATCTCCAGGATGTCCGGCTGCAGGGAGAGGTACAAGCCCACAGCCTCGGCGCGGCACTCCTCGTATGAGGATCCAATGGCTCCGAACTTGGTGTCGTACGTTTCTCCCGGAAGATACCACTTGGTGATGGGTCCGCCGGTGATCAAGTTCTTGGTGTTCTCTTTGTCGAAATTATATACACCTTTCTCGTCGATGCGGAACAGCTTACCACTGCCATGACCCAGCAACTCGTGGAGACCGACTTGCACCTCGAAAGCTTTCACCTTGTACTCCTTCATTAGGGTCTGATCTTCATCGGAAAGGAACGGAATGGGATCCTTGCGGTTAATGTTGGCCAGGACATTGCCCAGCGAAACGTTTTTGAAGCCCTCATCCTGACGGATTTCATCGTAGTTGGGAATATTAATGCCCGCTGGTACTCCACTGCCGGCAAACGTCAGAACATCCAGAGAAGTGAAGTCTGGTTTCAGGTAGGAGTCCTTTTCGTATGGCTCCGTCCATGGCAGGTACTCGATTAGTTTCTCGGCGCGATTTACCAGTTCGGAGAACTTAGCTGAGCACTCCTTGTTCACTATTGCCACGAAGCCCTCGAATTCAGCACGACCACCAGCAGGATCCCTGTAGGTTTCAATGAAGCCAATGTAGGTCTCAATGACTGGTCCCTTGTCCTTAATCCACCAACGCGATCCGTTCTTGTGCTCGGCCAGCGAACCCTGTTCAAAGGACCTTACGTAGTGCTCGATCATCTTAGACTCGTTTTCATTGGCCGAGTACTTCTGGGCCTCCAGCAAATGTTGGTTGACACGCTCTAGCAGCTTTTGGTAGTCACCGCGGGTTACCCTGAACAGGTTACCGTTGAATTCTTCCGTCGGAAGTGTGATTCCGTCTTGAGCAGACTCCGCCACTGAACCCAACTTCACATCGTATAAAGTGCGATTATTTTCAACCACTTTAAAGGTGCGGCACATGTATGGTTCGATGCGTTTTGAGGTCAGCCAGGTATTTACAATCTCTGCATCCTCCTTCGTGCAGTTGTCCGACCAGTAGGTAGTGACTCCGTCGGGAGCAAATCCCAGAATTTCGTTGCGCGCCTCCAGGGCATAGATTAGATTCTTGACCTTGTCGAAGATTTTGCCCACGCGTGGCTCATCAGCGTATGCCGCCGAAGCCTTCACTATGGCCTCGAACTTCTGCTCGGATAAATTGGGCACAATCTTACTGTCTCCCATGCCCTTGTAATTGCCCGTGTTGGCGAACACACCGCAGGCGTAGACCAGGAAGCCCTGAAAATGTTCTTATTTTACAAATGTTCGGCACATGTATTTTTCTTCTTACCGTAAATTCATCCTCAGAAACTCCCGCCTTCAGGGCGCTAGCCCTTAGAACGGGGATTTTCTCTGCCAGGAATATGCGATGTAGAAGGGAGAAGATGAGTGGTGCCTCTGGACTGGATTGGATCAAAGCGATGAGTCCGCCGTCCCAAGAGGCCTGGCTGAAGTGGTGGGCATAGTGCTTCTCCTTCTCAGTTAGACTCTCGAAGGCATTCTTGCAGTCCAAATCGACAATGGGCTGAGTGTTGGGCAGGACGAAGTGAGCGGTTTTACTGGCCATCTCAGCGGGTTGGGGAAGATTGGCGCTGCAGCTAAAATGATACCAAAACAGCCGAATGGATAAGATATTTAGTTACGATATAACACCTGGAGATACCTGTAACGAACGAGGGAGCTAAAGAATCCCGAGCTTCTGGATATGGAGATTGGCGGTCGAACTGAGCGAATACTGGGAAAACTCCCGTAATTTAGACGACTACGTATCTGACAAAGCCTGTTCAGTTCCTGCCTGGATCTCTGTAGCCCTTTTATCCAAAACATAACTGGGAATTTTTAAACTTTTCTTTTTGAAGGCTTTACATTACTTGATGCTCAACTGGAAAATGTGAAAATACTACTTTAATTTGGAAGAAAAGCCAAAGCGTTTGAGGAATACATGAAAACTTGATGATAGATGCAAATTTATCTCTGGCTAACCGACCAAACTGCAGATGTGGCAGTTAAGCGATGTTTTACCAAAAGAATCTACAAAACAAAACTATGGCTTAAATGGAGCCCAAAAACGTGAAGAACTATCAGATTACACAGAAAAATGTGAATGTTTGAAAAAACGGGTTAGTCATTCAAAAGCAAACAAAACCCTGTCAGGCAATGGTGTTTTATCGGGAAAAGATATTTAAATTTGCATTTCGTGCTTACTTACCTTTTAAAAGTGAGAAAAAATGCAATAAAAAATGCCGACAAAATTGCAAGTTGTGCAAGTAAAGTGACCAGCTGCTATACAGCTTTATACATTAAATTTATATATTATCTAACTTTATATTTCTCCGACATGAGAATGGCAAATATTTGGCGGTTTAATATGAATTTATTATTACATTTAAAGGTAAAGGAAAAATTCTTCAGTTAATATTTAATTGATTTGCCGTATATTATGTATTATGTACAGAAACGAAAAAGTTGAAATTGTGTATAGTGTAATGGCTCAGTAGCTACATAATGCCAACAATGTAGATGATAATATAATCCCGCCCGAAACTTGGAATATCTTCGTAATCCATAATTTTATGCTATGATATAGCCAAGCCACAACCATATATCTCCACCTAATCCCAAAAAACACAGCACCCATGTTAGCCTATACAATATGTTGTCCATACTTCCTCCCTTAAGAAAGATGGGCAAATCGTTTTGAGCCTGAAATTGCTTCCTCAACTTGGCCATTTTCGGGGGTAATTTTCCTGGCGTGGTCTTTGCAGCTGCAGCAGCGTATTTTAAAGCAGCTGAGTTCCGAAATAAACGTACAGGTGTACAAAATGCACCGAATTCACCGACTCCCCGAAGGAAGGGCTGTATGTAAATGTATGCAGATGTAAATAAATGTTATTTTTAATGAGTTTAGTACTACTTACGCGGAAGGATAGACTGTTTCTTAGCATTTATGGCTTTTGTAACTTTTGTGGTTACAAATTTTGTCTGACTTCTAACGAAAGATGAAGTATAATGGAATCAAAAAAGGACCTCTTCTAGATAGGTATTTCAAAGAATACTGCTTTAAATTTGAATTTTATAAATCCGCCACCTTCATCCATAACTATAAAGATCTCTTTTGTGTGAATGGTTAGGTGGTGCAAATTAAGGTCACTCTACGCGGGTTTTAAGAACGCATTGGTCAAAGCTAAATAATGCGTGTTTATTGGAAAAATCAAGATGTCCATGGCTAAATACATAAACCGTTCCGTGGGCAAAGCTGGCAAAGATGTGGCAACAAGGATATGCACCCTTAAACCCACTGAACCAGAGCACCATGCGATTCACCTTACTGCCGGAGAGAATTTCGTGGGACGAAGCCGGGAAACCGGAATCAGGGACTCAAAGTGTTCAAAGCGGCAAATCCAGCTAAAGGTGGACCTAAAGAATGCCATTGTTGGCCTGAAAGTGTTGGGTGTCAATCCCTGCGGCGTCAATGGACTGATGGTTATGCAGCACTCGGAATGTGAGCTAAAGCACGGCGACCTGGTGGAAATCGTGTACGGCAGGCATCCTTTTGAGGTGGTTTTCAGTCCTCCACCAACGGATAATACAGCGGAAGCTGCTCCATCGCTCACTTTATCATCGGTCCCAGAGAAATCCGAGAGATGGGACTCCGCTGGCAATGGAAAACTTGTAATCTATACCAGCAATGGCGTCAAATCGTCTGAAAAGATAGCCGGTTACGATATGGATGGCACCATCATAAAAACCAAATCGGGATTGGTTTTTCCCAAAAATACTGACGATTGGCAGATCATATTTCCCGAAGTCCCTGGAAAACTAAATAATCTTTACAACGATGGCTTTAAGATCTGTTTCTTCACCAACCAAGGAGGCATAGCTCGCGGTAAAATTAGCTTAGATGACTTTAAGGTCAAGATCAAGCAAATTGTGGCTAAACTAGGAGTTCCAATTCAAGTGTTCATAGCCATCGGTGACGGATTTTACCGCAAACCGTTGACAGGAATGTGGGAGCATCTGAAGAGTGAAATGAATGATGGTGTTGAGATTCGGGAAGATCGATGTTTCTTTGTGGGCGATGCAGCTGGAAGACCGGAGACGGGCAAAGGAGCAACAAAGCAGCGCAAGGATCACTCTCTGGCAGATAGACTCTTCGCCACCAACATTGGACTTTCTTTCTATACTCCAGAAGTCCATTTCCTCGGAAAAGCAGTTGAACAGTGGAACCAGCCGAGCTACGATCCCACTAGCGTCCCAGACCAGTTGACTCTGTTTGAGCCCGATGACCTGACCTTCGAAAACCATCCCTGTGAAATGGTTATCATGGTGGGTCTTCCGGGATCAGGAAAAAGCCACTTTTGTTCATCCTTTTTCAAATCGCGGGGCTACAAGATCGCCAATGCAGACACCTTGGGAAGCACACAAAATTGCTTAACTGCTTGCAAACGATTTTTGGACTCCGGACAATCTTGTGTGGTGGACAATACAAATGTAGATGCAGCTTCTCGCAAGAAGTTCTTGCAGCTGGGTAGCGAAAAGGGAGTACCCTGTCGGTGTCTTCTTATGAATGTGCCCGTAGCTCAAGTTAAGCACAACATAGCATTCCGAGAGCTATCAAATCCTTCGCACGCTAAGATCAAGGATTTGGTCTTTAACATGATGAAGAAAAGGTATCAGGAGCCAGCCTTGGACGAAGGATTCAAATCTATACACAAGGTGAACTTTAAGCCGGAATTTTCCGACGAGAAGCAAGAAAAACTATACAAAATGCACTTGCTGGAGAAGTGAGGAAGTAAGAAAAGATCTATTTAATCCAAAGTGAATATACGCTTGGCTATGTCGTCGATCAACCAGTCCATGGAACTGAGCAGTTTCTCTCCAGTCACCGCGCTAACTCCGGCTACCAGCCAATGATGCGTAGTGATATCCTCCAGGTGTAGTATCTTTAATGATAAAGGATATTAAAATATTTTTTTTAGATTATATGTTAGCATGCGTACATCTTTTATTTCATTCGATGAGAGGGCACCAGGCAGATCTTGTTTGTTGCACAGAACCAGAAGTGTGGCTCCTGCCAGACGTTCTTCTTGGAGTAAGACTTGCAGTTCCTGGCCGCATGACTCCAGTCGCATCCTGTCAGCACTGTCAACTACCCAAACGAGTCCGTCAGTACACTCGAAATAATTCCGCCAGTAGGATCGCAGGGACTTCTGGCCACCAACATCCCACATGTTCAAGGTGTAACCATTGTGTTCCAGGGTTTTTATGTTAAAACCCAGTGTGGGTGAGATTGTGTCTATGGGCTCCCCATTAAAGCGTTTTAGGATCGTAGTTTTGCCGGCATTATCCAGACCTCTAAGGAAAAGCAAACCATGAATCACTAATCTTTGTTTCTAAATATCCAAGAACTCACAGGAGCAAAATGCGCATTTCCTTCTCCTTCTGTCGCATTTTTTTCAATACTGTTAGGAAGCCCATGACAACGTTTGGGGTTTTTTAAAACTATGGAATAATATATTAATTATTAAATATGCAGCTGGTTAAATTTGTTTATTTTAGTAAATAATAGTTTTCGGGTGAATGGCAAAGGGGCTGGAATTATCGATATCCAAAACTGATATTTCGATATAACATCGATATTCCTCCAGCTGTAGCTGTCATATTCGAGACCGATATTTTCGCCCAGGAAAACTGCTCACTTTTTGCTAAATCTTAAAAATAAACTCTAGCAAGATGATGAACCTGTCGAGAGTAAGTAAATTATTGATGTTCATTTACTCCACATTGTTTGCTGGAGAAGAAACATGGGTTTTATGATTCCAAAGAACGCATCACCTTCAAGCAATTACGTAAGTTCCCTGGAGTCCAAGAACTAACCGCACATTTCGTACTCTGCAGGCTGTTGTCCGTAGCTTCGCTACAACCGCTGGCCGGAGGTCTGCTGCTGTACCCAAGGAGCAGATCGAGAAGGGTTACTTTGAGATCCGCAAGGTGCAGGAGCACTTCCAGAAGAAAGACGGCAAACCAGTCTTCCTGAAGGGATCCGCTGTCGACAACGTGCTGTACCGCATCACCGTGGCCCTCGCCCTCGTTGGAATCGGTGGCATGGGCAAGCTCTTCTACGAACTGAGTGTTCCCAAGAAGGAGTAAAGTCGGTGTCCTGATACTTAAGCTAAGCCAATAAACCCCGCGCAACCTCCGTGATTCAGCGTAGTCGCCTTATATTTCGATGTTTTGATTGTGTAAGTTCCATGGATTCGTATCATAAATAGTCTTATATTTATTTTAAATCCATGTTATTTCTGTACCTGTTCAACTGTAACTAACAGGGGCTAAATAGTTTCTAAACACTAAAATTATTCATTCAAATTGATATTCATCTTGAAAGCTAGATAGGATCGCAAGTTGTCGATATTATATTTCAAACCTCAACAGGGCTCACAAGTATTCAGTATAATATAATAAATAATAACCAATTCCTCTCGATCTTCCAGAGCTTTGCCCCGGATACCTGGTCAACATGAAACACCCCAACCCACAACCTGGCTTGTTGTTTTGTGTTAGAATACTAAGATTTGTTGTGTAAACTGAACATTCGCAAGAGCATTTAAAGCGTGGAAATATAAGAGAGATGGCTGTAAAGTAACGAGACTGTTTATTTGTTTTAATGTACATGCACGGTCGCTGGCAATGCGATATTTGCCCAAAAGTATTTCCCCTTAATTGCATTGACATTAAGTAAACAAACAGCGACTGGCCTGGAGCGAAGATCTGGGATGCGGCAGAGTCTGGGGAATCGGCTAAGGAAACGGCCTGTTTTATAAATCAAAGGGCGGCAACTCGGCGCGTTGCCATTGGCATGGAAATGCATTTTAAATCGAGCGAATCATGTTGCGCTTTAACACAAGCACAGGCCCGTGCACCCAGCCCGTTTATTAATATCCGACTGCGGCGGAATATGCAATTCAAGGCGTTTTTCATTAGTTATTTCTCCATAAACACTTAAATAAAACTAAAGCATTAAAAATTAAGAAAACATCCGCCACTTTATGGATATTCTCTTGCATTTTTAACGGAGCCGCAAATGTGCAGTGCGTTACAAAAGTGGGAAAACTGGAAGAAAATGTTTAAAAAACTTAGCTTTTTATAAAGTTCATATATTAATTTTTTTTGGAATTATAAAGCATTGTGGTAGTTAAAAAATCCATCAATATTATGGTTATTCTGAAAAAGTAAGCTTGAGTTTAAAAATGCAGTTTTCCCATTGAAATCGTGGGTTTTATATTTTCTGTACGCACTGTACTTACACACCCACCGGAGTGGATGAAGTAGAAATACATAGCCCTTCCTTTTCTGTTGTGTTGCGTAGTGTTGGTTTGCCATTATTCCGTTACGGCCCATTTGAATTTTGGGATGTGCGCGCGAAACGAAAAGCATAAAATGGACGCGGGCTGGTTTACCGTTAACACACTTCGAATAGCCAGCAGTTCTGCGTAGGTGGTTTCGAACGGAACTGAAACTGGTATAATCTATAGTCGACATTGTAACCTATTCCCTGGGTTTCATTATTCCATACCTCCCTATTCCTTTTTTGTATTTAATACGTTTATACCCATAGATCAGACAATTTTGTTGATTATGGTTTCCGCAAAGAACATAATCGGTAAGTTACGATGTACTCCAGCTTCATTCTTTTCGTTTTTCTTTTTATTGCATAGTCCGTTTTAAGTTATATGGGCATTTAGCTACATTTGTATATGTAATATATATGTATACAAACACACATGCAAGCGCGAATATATATATATATATGACCAGGCTGATGAGGTTACTAGAAAGCTAATTGATTGAAGAATAGATCACCAAAACCAAACAAAGAAACGAACGATGAGTTGAAGAAAAGCCGAAACAGACAAATATTTAAATAAATAATTTTTCAATAATGATCTTTCTTATATTAAATCGGGAACATCGCTGGGTGGGAAAATGTTGCTGATGTCCACGGTTCCTCGGAGTTTGTCCTCTAGATTTCCGACAATTTTTCCGGCATCAGACGGGGCAAGACTTTTCGCTGAACCCTTCTTATAAATTAGCAGTTCGTTCACATTTAGCTTCTTAAGCTTGATCATAAGGTGACCTGTAATCTGAGAACGCTGTATGGTGGACTGATCCGGCTTGACTTCCTCATTGTAGGATATCTGAAAGATCTTTTTCTTAACAGTGACCCTAGTGTAGATGGGCTGAACATCCACGTCAATTAGAGAGGTATCCAGATGTTTATAGACTTCCAGTTGCAGCAAGTAATAATCGGCCTCGTCCTGAAAGTTAAAGGGCAGCTTGCCCTGGTTTAGATTGTAGGGTCTGCCGCATGGAGCGAAAAGACTGCGATCCCGTTTTGGAGGATCGAGCTGAGGCTTGGTTTCATGACGCTCTCGGCCCAATCGATGTTGCCGGGCAATCTCCATGCGAATTTCTGGACAGTGCTCGCTTTTCGCCTGCCAGAAGGCTTTGATTCGTTCCTCTTCGTCCTCGATTCCCGCACAATGTTCTGCCAAGGCGGACTGCTGCTGCTCCACTCTGATTCGCTGTTCATCCCTTTCAATGGCCTGATCCGCCTGCTTTTTGACGATTATTGCCCGGTTCTTGGGTAATGATCTCAATGCTTGGAGGCGTTCCGAAAGTGTAACCTCTACGCAATCCAAGCTATTCAGTTGTGGTAATGTGGCAATCACATAATCCCTGTAGTGAGGGTAGTCCACGCAGGGATTTCCAATGAGTACCAGTTCACGGAGATTATGGTTGTCACGTAGCGACTCCAAGCTGGTTAGTTCTCCTATGAAGTTCAGAGTAAGATCTAGTTTGGTCAGCGACTCGCAGCCCTCCAGGTTCTCCACTCTTTCAATATTATTGATGGCCACATTTAAATACTCCAACCGCTTCAGTTTGTGTAAGTTCTCCAGGCGGGCAATCAAATTAGATTGAAGGAGCAGAATCTTCAGGTCGCGACACCAGTTCTGAATATGGTCTATGACCTCGATGTCCTCCTGGTGCAAGGAGATTTCCTCCAGAGTGCTGATTAGACGCTCATTGTGTTCAGACTTTTTGCGAACTAGTTTTTCGGTAATGAGCACCATAATGACGACTGTGTGCTGTAAGGGATAATAATATATGGCAAATAGAGTAAGCCAACTCCGTTGCTAAGTAACTTCCTTTTTATTGTTATTGTTTTTTGTTTGGGTTTTCTATCGTATCCCAAAAATAAAAACTCCCTAAAAACGAAGGAAGATCTCGTTTTTTAATTAAAGTTCGTTTGGTTAATTATGGGATGGGAAAGTAGCGGCGCACATGTCGCAAACTTATTATATTTCATAGACTGTGAAAAATTTAAATGAACACAAAATGCCAGAGCTCTGGCGGGACTCCATCCTATGCCCTGTGTCTTCGGTCGGTATCTTTCGGAGTAACTGCAACTGCAACAGCAACCGTTCCACTCGACTGCCCACAGCCAAATTACAATAATAACTCAAGAAGCATAGAAGATGCCAGGCTAAACGCTCCGCCTTCTCTTCCCAGCGATCCCGCAATCCTTTGGCTTTGCCAAAAACAATATGGTTGGAACGAACAGAAACAAACTGAATAACAAAATAAACCCCAAATGGGGAAAGGGGGATTGGATGCGGATGCGTGTAGAATCGGGAATCGAAAAATGTGTTTCATTAAATGTTATTTATAGTCGGCAATTTTATGCATTTAAAGCGCGTCTATCAGCGCTGCATCTCAGCGGCATCAAGGCGATGCGGAAACGGCAGCGACGCCATATTGGAAACTTTAAGGCGGCGGGCTTTGATTCTGGCCGGGATCGTGGCGCATGGAAGAGAGATGCTGGGTTGTGGAGCAGGGTCAAACTGATTACCACGGCAATGGTTGGGATTTCCCTTAAGCAGAACCAACTTTCACCTTTCTTCCCCTGTTTTGTTTGTTTTCTTTTTTTCTGGTTGGATTTTAATATAGATAACATTGGATACTTAAGGGGTATTAAGGTATAATAGACTGGGCTAGTAGTGGGAATCAGGCATTAACCTTTAATGTACTTCTGACTATGAACTATGAATATGCAATTCTTCTGTTTAGGAGGTATTAGTATGGTAGTATGGTATGTATTAAGCGTTAAGCGCCAGAAAGTATGCAAGATAATACGAATTTTGTGATATTCTACAGAACAATTTTGGTTAAAAAAAAAATAAATTATTATTCTTAAAGTTTATAGTTTTCAACGCCCAAATCTTTGTTTCTTTTTATATCCATTTTCTCGGGAAGATTTTTGTACTACTAAAAAATGTAACAAGTAACTCAAAGTCCGGACATCTCCAACATCTCCTTTACTCGTTAGATGCTCCTCACGTGAGTTATGGCCACGTCCTGGGCCGGATCGGATCAGATCAGATCGGCTTGGGATCCCGGTTCGCAGTCCGCACAGCACAGCAGCCGCAGCCACAAATCAGAATGCCGTTGAAGCGTTCAAGTGCAACGAGCATGAAGCGAACTCGCTGCCGCTTTCGTCCCCAACTTCAGCTCCACCTCCCGCTCCTCCACCGGCTGCTACTTCCCCCAAACCCCAACTTCATTTCCATCTCTCCGTTTGAGGCTGTCGGCAAATCTGGGCAACTTTCAGATGAGTATTTCGTCAGATTGTCGCTGCCAGGGCTGATGCCAGAAAAAAAAGAAAAGAAAAAAATGTAAAACTGGTGAAGTTGGACCTTCGGGCGATTTTTTGACTCTTCAAATGCGTGTTTGCCCAACGAAACCCGTTTGGCCTATTAACACTTCGATTACAACTCAACTTTTTCAGCACTCCGGACACACGGACGCAGACACGGACCCGGGCACTCTGGGTGGTCCCGTCGCACTATTAGTTAGATTTTGATTTATTTGAGCTTCAATTAGTCGTTGAACAAATCTGTTTATTTATTTGCTTTTAATTATTGTTGGAAACCACAAAGCCGTGCTACCGCTCTTTATGATCGCCGTCGCCTCGTTCCTTGCCTTGGCCGAAGAAGGTTTTTAATTAGCACCCGCCGGATAATTCACAAAAAGCCATCACCAAATAGCCGAGGATTTCTTCAGACGTTAATGGAACCGATTCCCCAAACGACCGATCAGTGCAAACACAGTTTTGTCTTTCGAAATAACAACCGAAAACGAATTCATATTGTTATTATGATTTCATGTTGATTTGCGAATCTGGAATTTCCATTACAATGGGGCAAAAATACCTGCAATCCATCGTAATAAAATATTATTTTGATATAGTCTCGCATCCATGGCTGCCTCCAAAAAGAGGGTCTCGGCTGGCGTAAACAAACAAAAACATATTGCATGCCTTGCCGGAGAATAGGAGGAATGCCGTAATATACGAGTATAGCTATCGGCGATTTATAGGCCGTAACAAGCCCGGCCCCGTGAAAGATGCGCTGGGAAACCGAAACCCCGGCAAACCAGAAACACATGTCCGGACTTTAAGGACTTTAAGGAGGGCATGAGAAAATACATATAGTTCACACTATTTGGTCAGTGCTGGAAATAACGTCATCTAGTTAGGAATTTAAGTGCGAACGTGTGGGATCAGGTGACAATAAGGTCGGTTGCGGTATGTTGCCTCTCAAGTGAGCCGGGTGGGTATTCGCTTACACCAATAATTCATCCTCAACTGCAGTTGCGTCGATCCGTTTTATGTAGCGCCCAGGGTCCAAGGTTCTAGGTTCCAGGACTCAAGTGGCTCGCATAATCACGTGTCGATGCCTATTTCGCCCGGGATTTATTTGCCTTTTTTTCGGGAGTGCCGCTGCCGTAGACAATTTGACGCTTCCGCCTACGCAAGTAAGCATGCACTTGGGAAAATATTTTTGTATTTTTGGCTTTATAATGAAACTATAAAATTTAAATATCTGACTTCCTTCTCCTTTATTAAATATAATACACTTTCATTATGATCTGTAGATTTATCCATATTTATTTGGAAAAACCAACTTAAAATAGAAAATGGTTTAAACTTTCTTCAGGATCCTTTTTGGGAAAGAAAGAGATACATATTTGAATATAGAAAGAAACATGTAACTTAATATCAATTTCTTTCAGTGCACAGTCCACGCCCATCTGGCGCAATCTTATGTAACTTGCCCTCCGCCCCTGACTTATATGTGTCAATTTAATAGCGCATTTGCCACTTTATGACATTCGATGCTGCTCCTGACACTCGGACAACTTCTCCAGACTCCTTCCTTCAAATCTTTGGTGCTAGCTCCTTTGTTTTCTCAAGTGCCTTGAATATTCCACTCCGACTCTTTTCACTCCTTGTTGTTTCACAACACAGAAAAAATACAACTGGGTTGAATCTGGGGACGAGGAAATAAGCGGAAAACGCACAATGTTCATTTGTTATGCTTGTCATTTGTCGCCGGCTGACGGCAACTTCAAAGCCTGTCACCCAATTTGTTAAACGCAGAGACAATTTTGTCATCGGCTCCCCCACATGATCCCCAATTCTTCAGCCATCAGACTGAAGCTTCGGCCGCCGGGGAAGAATTCTTAGCTTTCGCATATGGCCAATTATTTTGTAAGTCGATCGCCGTATTAAATGTTGCTTCCATAAAATAATAAAATAATACAGTTTTTTAATACAGATTTCAATCAGAGAAAGTTCATTTAAGCAAGTTTCTTAACTTAAAGGCTGTATATATTGTACCTTTACCGAAAATGTCTTATGGTTAGGATATTTTTAAAAGCTTTGAATTCTGTTTCAATGACAAAAAAAACCAAACTATTGTATTATGAAGTTGTATCTAAAATGAACAGATTACAAGTTCGGAAATGGAAATTAATTACTCTTAAATTAAGGAACTAATAAATTAAATTACTTCCAAATACCAAAACATCGAAGTTTAAAAGTTAAGTGGTGGAAACCTTTACAAAAACTGCAGAAACTTAAATTAAGAAACTTCTATCGACAAGATAAGTTTATTTTTTTAATAATATATGGTATAGCTTTTAACAATATTATTTTAATGTTGAGATTGTAAAAATAAAATACAATGCTTTACATATTTAAAAATAAAAACAATGATTAGAAATCTTATTCGTTTTCATACACATATAGCAGGGGAAATGGCGTACATCAAACCAGAAATTGCCAGGAAATATACTCAAAAAGAGCAGAAATCAGAGAGTGACAGGGAGAGGAGCCAATTGGATTGGCAACAAAAGGTATGAGCAGGTAAGCGTAAGCCAACTCAAGGAGGTGTGTCCAACGTGCATGTGTCTGTGTGGGCTAAAACATACACACATATAAAGCACTAGCATACATATAAGCAGACAGAAGCATATATTCGTAAGCTACCATGAGAGAGCCGGGGAAACAATAATGATTGCAAGAATCGCGTTTCGCCCATTTTAATGAGGGAATGACAACGAAAATTGGCATCCATCATTAAATGACGATATTCCGAATTAGTGACAATCAGATGAAGACGGCATTTCTTATAATTAACTCTAACCAAGCAAGACGAAACGCCTCAGCGAGAGTTGGCATCACGCATACGCCGCATTGGCCGGGAGGTGGGTCTCTGGCTATCTACGGGGTTAGAGCTGTCTGTGCCGCTTTATTAGCGATATGGCTTTCTTAATGAACCAAAAATAGATCCACGCGCTCCCAGAATTCCCACAGACCCGCCCCCTTACCTTTTCCTTTCCTCGTTCCGTTTCTTTCTTTTACTTTTCATCGCGGTTCCTTTCTGTTCGGTTCCTCATCTGTGTGACACTAAGAAGTCATGACATCCCTCGCCCACCCTGCGTAACGCTACGGATACGCTTACTTGCTTCAGATTGGCCATTCAAGCATTCAGAAATTAACTCCGCCCGGTTGCGTGTGCTCACTCACTCGGTTCGGCTGTATTGGTAATGCACCGACGAGAAAGAGAGAGGGAGAGAGTATATGCGCAGCCTGGGCTCATGGATACACCCACACATCCGCTCGCACACAGACATGCGGGTTTCAGGAGCGGTAACGGGTAAAGAAAGGGTATAGCTAACAAGATTCATTCTAAGTTCATCATAAGTTGGAATTTTGTGTGATTCATTTAATTAATTTTACATAATATACATAAAGCTTCAAAAATAATCAAAATAATGATGATATATGATGATCTTGAATTCTCAAGATAACTTCTAATATTTATTAGCTTTTTGAAAGGTTTTGAAGTTGGTAAAAAATAGATTGAAGGATGAGTTATCCAATGCATTACTAAACTAAATTAAATATCCCTGGCCCACCCTCACCCCTTTTGCTGCGCTCCTGGTCTTTAAAAGACATTCTTCATTTTTATTATTTTTCCGTGGACCACCAGCTCACGCACACCAGTGCACTATCATCGCCATTAAAACCAACAAATACACTCGATCGACCGCCCTCCCTCTCACGAACGTCAATGTGTGTGTGATAAAGAGAGAGAAAACGAGATCTTGGGATGCTGCGTCGACGCGGTGACTTCCACTTGAACATGGATGTTGATGTGGCTGTGAATGTGACTGTAGAGGGGATCTCGCCTGTATGTGTGGACGTAGATGGTGGGCGATCTCGATCGGCAGAGCAGCGGGCAGCGTTAGTCGCAGCAGACACGGGTGACGAGCAGCAACGATCGTTTTTGGAGAGCGCGCCAGGAATTCCCGAACCAAACCGTTCCCGATCCAACCGATACGCTACGACCCGATTCGTAAAGCCAGCGGAAGATCAAAAGGTGTGCGCGAACGGATCAGTGATAGCGGTTTAAGTCGGTCCAATCTATCGATCTGATCTCACGGGAGGTCCCCCAGGGGAAAACAAGTCCAAAACAAACCGATATAAAATTCAAAAATCAAAGCATAGCAAAACCATTGTAGTGTCATTAAGTGTGTGTAGTTCCCGCTTCCCCAATAAGGTGTGATAAGTGCGTGATAATTTTCGAGCCAAAGGCAACTTAGCCGAGAGCGATCGTTTTGGCCCGAAAATGTGCTAATCAGATCTCAGTCTTGGTTCACGGCATCGCGGCCCGACGCTGCCCCGCACAACTGGCGCCAATTTGTATACAAATTTCATGCCTTAATTGAAACTCACATTATAGCCAAGTGCGAAAAGTTAACGACTAGGCAACCAAAACCATCGACAATCCACAGCAACGCTTGACTATCCCAGCGAATCCAACCGGAGAAAGTTTAACGGCGGAGTCGGCAAAAAGCTAACGGAGATTGTGACAATTGCAACTCTGGAGTTCTTCAATCAACTGTCAACGGCCGAAATGGACCCAGGTAGGTGGCAATATAAATCAGATATACGTTCAAATATCATTGCCGACGGCATTATCGATTTCTTAAAAGAAAAATGTATCTTTCAGTTTTCAAAAATTATAGATTTTGTTTTTTTTCATTGTAATTTCGAAATGTTTATTTTATTTTATTTCAAATATTATTACCTTGTTTTGTATGGAAAAGTACATAATATGTAGTTTAATAATAATTATAATTATTAGTTTTTAGATTTTGAAGTGCTTTCTTTCAGTAATTTAAAAAAGGAAAATAAATCTGTAAATCCATTTATCCCCAGACATATATTTTTATGACAATTTTTCCTTGTGCACTCAAATCCTCTTCTCAAGTGACTTGCCAACAAAGCCCTCTCGTCCGATCCTCCAAACAAGTCCTGATGGATCCCCTAAAACCTGTGCCGCAATCGCGAGGAGGTAAACAAAATCGATTGATGGTTGGAGTTCTCTTTTTTTTTTTGGGCCGTTCGAAGAGGCAGGTGTTTGCTTTTGATTTTCGTTTCAAAAGGCTGCCGTCGCTTTGCGCATGATCGACAGCCTCGCGGTAGCCGCGGCACTTGTTTGGCTTTCGATGATGTCGCGCCGACATGGCATCCGTGCCCGATCCCAAAACCCAAGACCCCAATCCAATCCAAACCTATGGCCCAAACTCCGGACCCATGCCTCCTAATTTAACTAATGATCGTTGTAATGTTTGTGCCATTGACGTGCGGTCTTCACTTTAGGCTCCAAGTGTCCGTGTCTTTGTTTGTCCATGTGCTTTGGGCCAAAAAATCCAAAAACAGAAAACCAACTGAAAGACATTGCCTTATGACCGAAAACTATACAAGTGAGCAAAGATTTGCCCCGTTGTCGGCCGTTAGATCTATTGACAAACATCTGCGCAATCGAATAATTTGGCATGCGTCGATTTACTTTTACTAATTTTCAATTGGATGGATCATCTTTCGAAATAGTTTGCTAATGGTCTTCGAGTGCCCTTTCTTTGAGTGACATAATGTCTTAAAATAACTTAAAAAACTAAGTAGTTTCAAGTATTTATTTGTTTGTGGGCAACTTTGATATTGTTAACTATCCAAAAGGATATATGAATTTATTTTCCATTTGACCAAACAAAAAAAGAAGTTATAAGTCGGCTAGTAGGACCCGCACTTTGGTCCATTAATGACTTGCTTTCGATGTTTTGACATTCTGTTTGTACGCCGGCATTTGTTTGCTCGGTCGGAGACGTCTAAAAAGATATAGACGCCGAGATGCCGATGCAGACCCGTACCGAAACCCAGACTCTGGTCCAGAGATGCAGAAATGCGTGACTAACGGCCACCGGTAGCCATCTACTTCGGTAGCTAAACATGAAAAGCCCACCAGACGCGGGCCGCAAGTGCAAGATGTTAAAATCACAGAAAGGGGAAGGCAGTAAAACAAAAGGCGACGCAGACGACGATGGCCACGAAAGGCAGGCAAACACTTGAGATACGAGGAGGAAAACGTCGCGTCAATGTGTACACGCCTTAATGGAAGAGTCTATATAGTATAGGAGTAGATGGCCAGGAGTTATTTTTTTTTGGAACAGGGGAGCGGAGGAGTGATCATAAAGCCCGACCTGCAGCTTCCTCCCATGGATACCGATGATTGCATCCCGGGTTTGGGAGAACGCTTCACTGCCACGGCTTGATTGTGTGGCGTCGTTTCCCCTTCGGTTCTTTAATTAAATCACATCCCCGATCGCTGATGCGGAAACTTCATTAACCAAATTTGCACTGATTTTTGGTATTACCACTTTTCAGGGAGCTTATGTTACATTAACTATAATGGTTAAGTTTATTTATTTGCGGATTTTTAATAACTTTTACTCCCAAACCAGACTGTCCTTAGAATACAAAGCTGCCCCTTGCCTCCAGAGGTTAAGTTCCTCTTTGTAGATCCTCCCATTTCTTTGTTTGAATATCTCCCCACGGATCCAACCTCATGACATTTGACAAGTGTTCTTCATGTTGTTGAGGATAAACTCAGCTCATTACCATAAATTTAATGAGTTTCTAATCGTTAGGGGGCACGTGTTTGAGCTAGTTCAGTTTGGGATAATTAATGCGATCGCATCAATAAGCGGGCGTCTAACATCTGGTCGTAACCCCTAACCCCTTGATGGCCTGTGTCAAGTCCCACGGGGGCGATGGCGACCCAAGACCGGAACTGCCACAGGAATTTCAACTCCATTTCCCAGTTTGAGATTTGGAGTCATAGGAGCAGTGCTGAGAACTTGGCTATTTTCTAGCCAGCTCTAAATTTTCCTGTAATGTTTCTTAAGAATCTTTTCTTATTTTGCCTATAATGAATAATAATTTTAAAAACTGTAGGGATTTGTTGAAAAGCAGACTTTTTGAATAAAATTTTATATCTCAGAAGTTATACCCTAACTAATTGTTGTAATCTTTAGTAGTCAGCACTGCCCAGGATCTGGGAGTGGGTGAACTGGGGAACACATGGTTAGATTTATATGCATCTTGCTGCTGTCAGCGAAGGGCGTTGCACATTGCTCGAGTGCCGGCGAACCCGAACTGCAGCGGAGTTGTCGGTTCTAGTACATTGCCAATGATTGGTCGGATCCGTTGGATCTCTCTCTTGGTCCCAGCGATGGGATCGGAACTCTGGCCATGGGTTTTGCATCGACATCGACCACATTTCGGCTACGCACTTGCATTGTGTGCATTCCTGGTACGCGTAATTGAAGTCGCCGCCGCATGTCTTCTTTGTTTTTGGCTGGGTCGCACCCCTTTCGAGTTCCTTAAGATCGGAGCCTAGAGCCATCATATTTCCTAGCTCCCGCCTACTGTCCCATACCCCTAGCTCCCAAGGGGGCGGAATATAGGAGCGAGTGCGTCGCTATCTTGGCGGTGGCTGCCGTGATTTATGGACTCATTAATTTCTGTTGACAGACAATGCTGTTGACGCCGCAGGAATCTATTTAGCTTTATGTTCTTTTGATTCCCACTTGCTGGGGCGCCTATTTTATGGGCTTCATTTATAATTTTGTAATCGGGAATGCAAAACCAATGCAATTAAGGGTTAAATATCTTCAAAAACTCTGCATTCCAGTGGAGAAAGTAATTGAGTTTTCCCGTCTCATTGAAACGAGAATCAATCGATGTGGAGTAAACATAAACCGATCCCAATCATTACTCTTTTCCATTGATAACACTTGGATTTGAACTCTGCAGATTATGAAGGAAAATGGCATTGCCAGCAGATCAAAGTGACAGACGGAGAGTGGCTTCCTCTTTCTCTTGGCGCGACGCTTCTGTGAAATTTACTGATAAATAAATGCGATTGTGCGGCAAATTGTGCAACGCTCCGAATGCAAAATTGTCGACAAGCTCGCTCATAGTTAGTATAAAAGCAAACAAATCGAAGTGAAAACTATACTATTTATAACCCGATGAAGACCGCAACAATGTGGGCAACCAACTAAATAGTGACAATGTGTAGAGCAGTGGAAAAAGGGGCGGGCCACATGGCGTATACGCGACGCACTGGCTGAGCCTCAGCTCAAGTCAACTGAGTTGTTAAATTAATTTTTTCTGCATGCCGAATGCATATAAATTTTTATAAAATGCAAGCCAACCAACGGCAAAATCAAGAAAATAAACATATGAAATTATTTCATCTCCCCACCGCGACGGCGCTCCGTCAATCAACCTGGTGCTGGGGTCTTCCGAAGGAGAGAAGGAACCGCTTGCCAAGACCCAAAGATTTATGGGAACAACACGCAGTCGAAAATGCATTCGCACATATTGTATAGTTATGAGAAGGGAAATCCAATTTGCCATGCACTTTCATACCCTCCCAAGGGGTACTAGGTTATCTCTTAAAACCATTAAATCTGATAGCTTCTAAGATTAGGTTTTCTTAGGATTGTTTAGACTATATTTAGCTCTTATCCAGGTTGTATAATCAAAGATGTTTGGACTTTCCATCAATGGTATTTTTCGCATAAAAGTGTTAATTCCGGGAAACAAGGTTTATCAGATTGCTGATTTAATCAGTCGCAAAAATTGTCTTGCTGGCTTATATCAGGTTTTTATCATCATCTTAAATGCCCAAACCCTGTTCTCCACTTAAAGAGTATTAAATTGTCTAAATTAATATTTATTCATGTTTTGGGGATGTCTTTTTGATGCCATTCTGCCGGCTGATCAAATCAAACACCAGACCAGAAGCCCAAAAGAATATACATATATATATATATTGCCCTCAATATCAAAAACATCATTTCATGCCAAATTTATATTCAATTCGGGCCCAACGAACTAAAAATAAGTATCCAAATTGGCAGCCATTTTGGTATTTCTTTTTATTTATTTTATTTGTTTGCAGTTAATGTTGTGAATATTCAGACAATTACTCAAAGTTTTTCTGCGATTTAATACAATTTAGTGGACCATTTTCGTAGGACGCATCGCTTAGTGTGAAAACGTGTTAATTGACGGCCCGCTTATTAATTAAAATGAAATTTGAATGGCATTTTTATTTTCTACAAACATAACACAGACTCATAGGCGTGATAAGTATTATTGTCATCATCGGAGTCCGCTAAAAATGCTAGCCTTTGCACTCACAAATCAAATGTTATAAATCATACAATGTATTTTTATGATCGTATGAACAAAGTGTCTTATCAGCCTGAAATGTTTGAATTTGTTAAATTCAATTAGGCAGAAAATAAGTTCATTGCCTCTCGACATTTGACATGTTCTCGGCGTTCAAGTTTCTGAAATAATCATCAACTCAATCGGTTGCCTTATTCAAGTTGAATCAAAGTATTTTTTTATTGCAATATTAGTTGCAACTTATCAACCAGACAAGGCAAATAGGAAGAAAGATTCTCAATTATCGCATCAGTTTATATATATTTCGAGCTGATAAGAATACATAAAGTACATATATTCATGGGACAGACTTATAAAAGACTTATGGGACAGTCTATATAGTAGCTTACAATCATGATTGATCTGTAATGATATAAGTTAATGTTGTATTAAAATATATTATATTTTAAATTTATATTTCCAATTAAAATACCAAAGTTCGTTTCTTTAACCCCAAGTTATACTGCACATACCTCTACCCATATACGAGGACGGGTTTTCCCAACCATTCTCCCTTCATTTTGTTTAGCAAAATATTATTTTTAATTAGTTCTAGTTAGTTAACATTCGTTAATTGCTCCTGTAATTGGATTTACGCGCATCAGTGGCTTTCGTGAATACTTTAATGATATTTTAATAAATTATAAAAAAACTTAAGCTGCAAAACGGCCAACTTTTATTGCCGCCGGCAAAAACTTTTTGAGGAAAAGGGCAGCAAGTGTTAAGAAATTTTCCAAGAACCAGAAAACACAACCACAAACAAACTCACATTAAAGCCGACATTTCTTTCTGGATTGCGTTTGTAATTTGCTGATCGTTGTTGGCGGAGTTCCAGTTGAGACAGTGGTCGCCATTGTATTCGGCAATTTCCCAGAATTTATGAATTATAATTTTGCCATATAGACAATTTTAATTGAGCTTTTTATGGCATGTTTGTTGGTGGGAAAAGGGTAGGAAAAAGTTGTAGGAGTTGTAGGGAGAGCATTGGTATAAAAAGACAAAAACAGAGATTTTATATATTTAAAAAATACCTAAAAATATATATCATAAAGATTCTTTTAATAAAAAAGTTAGATCCAACGATCCCCGTTTTATATACGTTTTCTGTATGTTTGTTTTTAAGATCGCGAGCCAACCATGACCAACTAAGTAAAAGTGTACGATTTCAAAGCAAACACAGCCATTTGTAAACCATTTGTACCGAAACACACAGATACAGAAGCGACGGCTACCGAATCCGTTTCCAATTTCCGGCGGAGGGATGCGAAAGGACAACGAGTCCCGAGACGAAAATCCATCGGCAAATATTTACCGATCAGACAAAAGCAGTCTTCGTCTCCATTTCGTTTCAGAGTTTATGATTTTTTAAGCTGTTTGCCCGACCTCTTCACAATTCCATAGCTGTTTGCCTTTCATTAACAGAAGCTGTTCAGATCGGATCGTATCGGTTCAGATCGGTTTGGATCCAGGGGGGTCCCAGTTTTCAGTCTGTTTGCCTTGATTAAGCGCTGACTAGCGGAAAGTCAAGGAGTCGGTTAGCCAGGATGGATCCTTATTAGAGCTAAAGTAGCCCAGTCAACTTGATCACAGACAGCAGCAGGCGTAACTTAAAATTAAATAAACAAAATCGGCCTCTTAGCGTTCGAAGGTTCTCCCGGAGGCAAACAAACAAGCCAAACAAACTCGAAACGGCTACGGCGACGGCGACCTGGGTAGCACCTAACACACTGCTCCTCTGATCGTGACCGACACTACTCACTCGCCTCTACCCGTACTTGGACCTAACTCCTCCTCCTCTATCACTTCCACACCGGTGGCATGTTTGCACCTTTAATAAGACCAATATAGCCAACAATCAGTGCCGACGCATCGCCCAAGTAGCCACGCAGAGGGTCAACGAAATGTTGCACTTGTGATCCCTTGGAAAAGGGTTTTTGAGCTCTAATCAAATTGAATTGGTACTGAAGTTGCACTGGTAAAAGGGGTTTTAACACTGATGCAAGATACTATTTCTAGAAACATATCAATATTAAGTCATACATTCCTGATGTTTGATGTTTTTTCGGTCGATATGGCTCATAACTGTCGTGGTCAACATACATCATGGATCCAATTTGCATTGGACACTGGGCACGTTGCAAAATGTTTGCTCTTGACTCATCCCATGAGCCGGATCGAAGGGGAGATCGACGTGCTGCTCTAATAGGAATTACGTGACTAATTTGCATGTGGCGGGAAGCATTTTATTCTGGCCGGATGTCGATTGGCTGCCATAAATCACAAGTGAGAAACTTACTCACAACTTTGAAGATTACTGCTGGTGCTGCTGGGGGTGAAGCAAGTCGAATCACAATCACGGGAAATAGTCTCAAAATCAGGCAGCAAAAAACCGATAGTCGAATCAATTAATTTTCCAATTTCTCGCTTAGGCAGAGGTTTGATTCTTATCTTAGTAAAAGTCACATATCATAATTAAACTAGAAGTGCTCAACTTTGGCTGCCATTAATCTTTGGTAATTGCCCAAAATTGATGTCATGCGTATTTGAAAAGCCATTAAAACCAGGCAGCTATCTTCAATAGATCCAAAAGAAGAAAACAAAACAGCGTCGATCTTTGTCAGCGACAACTAGAAAGTATTTGTTGAGACAAATTTATGGACGTTTGGCGCAAAAGTCAAGCACTCGGAGATAATGTTCTCGAAGGGACCAACAAATTGCAGCCATCATTGGAAATATTTCGAATATTTTCCACGAAGAACGCAGAGATTCGAAAGAAAACTGAATGAAAGACAGGGAAAATAAAGACAGAAGTATTATCTGATCTCAAATGGATGCTTAAGGATTATCAGTTTTTTAGTTTTAGAATACTTTTTTAACACATACATTTAGCCAAAATATTATTATAAACTCTAAAGAAATTTTTAAATTCTGCTAAGAAGGGGACCATCTCCGGAAACTAACAACATTTGAGGTAGCTTATTTGTCTTTTTTAGGATCTTTGACTCGAGTTCTCTCTTTCCTTCCTGGCGGTGGATATTGTGGCACCGCACACAGAACAGCTCCGTGTGTAACTCAATTCGTAAATAATTAACGATCACGAGATTACAAATGTCAAACAGAATGTCAAGCTGGGAAGGGCACCCTCCTAGTTGAGGAAGGGAGCTGGAACTGCTCCACGAATGTTCAAAGACCGAATACAAAAAACCACCGACTTGGTCTCCGGATGGATGTCAGCTATCCCCCAGCCATAGCCACCGCCACCAGACTCAATTCTCAATGCGTGTGGGTCTGTGGCGAGTGCCAGCCGATCTGTTGTGACTTATGTCAAGGCAATTGCGTTTCAATATTTTGAAAATGCATAGTGCCAGGGAATGAGAGCGTCACAGATTTTGTGGCTTAAACTGAATAAACGCCAGTTTTACTTGAGGTGGTTTGTTAACCCAAACACTGAACTTATCGTATACCAAATCCCATTTTAAAGTAATTATTATAGAGGTTTTAAGATAAAGATGGTCCTAACCACCAGGAGCAGCTGTTGGCGTGGTGGCTTCTGTTGCAGTAGTTACTGCAGGTGGTGTTACTGTGGTGGCAGTCGAAGGTGCTGGCGTTACAGCAGCTACTGTTGTAGGTCCAGAAGGAGTAACTGGTGTCTGTGTTGTAGATCCTTCAGTCGGCTGAGCTCCACTAGTCGTGGCATTTGGAGCAGCTTGGACAACAACAGTACAGTTACGACAGACCACTGAAAATACTTAGACATTAGGACATAGAAATCATAAATTCCACTTAACTTACGGATGTTTTCATTATCACTTTCATCATCGCTTTCACTGTCACTGTCATAGATAATGTCCTCAAGGATAGACCACCAGTCGGTTGATTCTCGCTTCTAAAAAGGATAACTAAAGGTTTTCAGTATTTTAAAGCTTAAACTAGTTTACCGTCTTGACAGAAGTATCCTTTAAGGACTTAGCCTCAATACTCAAAGTAGTAAATAAGAGGCAAAAGCCCAGTGCAAGTAATATATCCCTTCTGTCCAACATCTCGACTCTAACTGACTAAAGTGCCTGAGAAACCCGCTTATATAGAACCTAAAAGCTAATATTTTGTAATATTTAGTGTTGAGAAAATGTAGTAATGGGAATTTATGATGGGTATTTAGGTGTTAAGACCTTTACATGATTTGAAAAGCGAAAAGTATTTTATCTAGTTAATGGAAATGAGCCAAAGGGAAGTATAAAAGTTTCTTAAAACGTTATACAGAAAATTAAATAAGATCATTTTATAAGAAATGAAATAATGGCTAAAATATATTTAAAATAAATTTATATAAAATGTCCATCATAAATCCCAGTTCTAACTTAGCAACTAACAGTACTCCCACAGTCGATCCCTAACCACATCATGGCAACGCTCCACCACCTTTAATGTTAGGGAGATACCCATGTCGATTCCGTCTATTCCGAACAGTTTTTCTTATTTATGCAGCTGCACGTTCGCTCTGTCTGGGGCTCCCGAAACGACCCCGAGTGCAAGTGCTGGCAATGATCGAACTGCAATTGACAAGTGCGCAAATCCATAACCATAAACTATGTACACGAAATTCGACACTGCCGGGGATCATTAGCCCGGGATCAGTGGGAGTGGGGTGGCTGATGTCGATGGCGATGTCGATGTCGGGCAACAAGTGGGATGGTAATGCGATATCGAAACCAGCGGGAAAACGAGCTTGTAAGTCGCGAAATGCCCTCTTGAATGGAACACTTTCGAGGTCGATATACTCCGTCTTTCGGTTCATTATCGTTTTCCTTTGTCCGGTTCCTTCCTGATTTCTTAAGATCGCTGGTACGAGTAACCCGGGAGCTCTATTGTGGTTTTTATGGCGCTGCACTCTCTCCAGTACGTGTTGCACTTAGAGTTGCTGTTGTGGAACACGATTCGAAATTAGAAGACGGCGCAGATGTGCAGCAGTGCCTCCAACTGCCCATAATGGTAATGGCGCGGACACCCGTCTCAGAGGGAGCTAGAGCTTCAGAGGCAGGTGCCAAGAATGAGTCTCCAGATAAGGGCTTTCCCATTTGCCACCGAATAATGGCAGGCAATAATAGTAAAAAACGAGTTTTTCTTTTTGTTTGTTAGAGATTTCACAGATTTTTAAAAGTTATATATTAACATTCTAAGCGGTTTCAAAACCTTTTCCCAAAGTAGTTTAACTTTTTATTTTCAAGTTGCAAAAAAGTGTGTAATAGCTTTACATAAACTAATAACTTTATAATATGTGCAAAGGTGACAAATATTCATCGAAAGAGTGATAAAAATTCAATATGCAGCTTCTACTCCCTTTTCAATTTCTCCGCTAAGTCCATTTCATTCACAATGGTTACCACGGAGAAGGCGAACTTGGCCATCTAAAATTGATTTTAGCTATACAAACCCTTTAAGTTAATAACTGATTATTGATTTACCTTAATATTGGTGTTCAAGCAAATGGGAAAAATACCACCAGCGGTAAACAAAATCGACTGCTGAACATTGTGAATAAAGTAGAGCATCGTGGTTCTATATCTTCGTTCTGCACCGATCCACTTGGAATGGAATAATGTGTTGGTTAAAGACTCGCAGTCGCTGTTCAGTTGCTCGCAGACATAGCAAAAGGGAAAGGTCTGGGAAAGTATGGCTATGGTATAAACTCCAGAGACCACACGTTCCATTATGGTATTGTAGAATTGCATGGAAACCGCTGCTAGACCCAAGAGTAGTCCGACGGAAAGCAACTGTATGAACATGGTGGCTGATATCATGGGACGCAGAGTGTTTCCATATCTATTTAGAGGAAGATAAAGTTATATATTTCTTAGTAAACTATTTTTAACCTTTCTTACTCCACAATCAGCTTGTGATCCTTAACACACTCCACCAGTTCCGCATAATGTTCATCGTCTTCCTTGTCTTTATCGGATCGAAGATTCTTGACTCGTTGACTTAAAAGTTCGAGATGAGTTCGCAATACGACCACATAGATTATAGGATAGACATCCAAAATGAGGTTTGCTAATATAATACCCGCCATTGTGACCGATTCAATTGCAGTGGCCAAATAGAAATGATTGTCCGGGTTAACTAGAGGATTATACAGACAGAATGGAGTCTTTCCAATCACCAAAGCTCCGGTTAAAGCCATGGTAAGGTAACCGAAATATATCCCATGGTAGGTGACAACGACTCGGTTACATAAGGCTGCAGATCGATGAACCTCCATCTTTTCCTCCATCTTGACACAACGTATGTCCATCTGGTCCATCATTTTTTGAGCCGAGGAAAATCGTCTTCGCATAAACAACACTATAATGCCCTTCATTATGGAGGCATTAGTATTGACCGGTACTTGAACATACGTAAACAGATCAGTGGTCGTAAAGTTCTTGAACTCCTTTATTCCAGTCATTATAAGCCCGTAAGGTATGAAGATAAAGACGAGTACTATGACCATCAAGGACCAAATATAGTAAAGCCACCAATAAGGCTTTGATCTGGGCGGCAGTCTCCAACCCATTTGATCTATGGATCTGTTTAAGTAGATCAACGCATCGCGGGACCGAAGTAGAGATCCAAGCTTTGGTTCTTGGATATACTTAAAAATCATATTTGGGTTTTCTCTTCCTAAGAATGTTTTTCACTCAAACTTTGTTTTCTAACGACTAAAGTTTATTTTCAGAATTTTGTATTTATATAAGTTGTTTAATTGCGAAATTCCGAATTAAGGACTTAATTGTGGGAAATTCTACTTTAGTTTGCAGAAAAATAATTGGTTTTCTAAGGGGTGTGTCTGCAAATGGAAATGTGTCAACTAACTTGAATAATTGATGGTTTTAACAGGCAGTTGGCACATTGTCTCCTTCACAGGGATATTTAATTGCTTTATTTATGGTTTTGTTAAAGAAAACTTTGAGTGGTAACAGAAACACCCTTTTTTTCTGGCGAAGGTAGTAAAATTAATCCATACTTAAATCCAATCTTGGAATGAATAAGAATAGAATTGGTCCGATGTGCACCTATGTTTAGGTGGTGTTCTATGCGCCAAGGGGAAATCTTTGCGTCATCGCTCAAAGTGCATTTCCGCACGTTCCGGGCATTCAAATTATGTTTTCCCAGTCAAATCCGCGGTAAGATGCCCCAGGGGCACCCACATCCGCAGTTCTGAGAAGCAAATGGTAGCGATTTTCAGCCGAACAAACGGAGGTACCCCCGACCCACTCATTTTGGTCTTTCACTCGCCAATCCGTCGCTCCTCTCTGCTCCTTTAGTAGCCACTCGGCTCACTCATTTGCCACCGAAACTAATTAGACGCAAATGTGCTTTTGTTCGGTTCCCATTCCCAGGCAACGCTCTTTGTTTGTACTCTGTACTGGGAATCGGGCATGGCTTTCGGATGATACTGTTTGTAACCCATGACAAGATGGATATTCATTGCATGAGCTTTTTATTTGATAGTTTCTGAAAACTTTATTTTCTAAATACATTTTTAGGATTTCATATTAGTCTGAAGGCAAATATTTAAAAAATTCACTCTAAACTCTTTGGCAAGTATAAGAACTTAATATTACTTACACAGTGAATATATTTTAAAACATTTCAATTTATGATTATTCCAATTTATTTTAAGGACATTTTAAGGACTTTCTATCTTTTTAAGAGCACCTAAATGTCGGTGTATGTTTCTTTCTGTTTGGTGTTATTACCAATTTGACTAATTTGAAACCCGTTTCTCATTTTGCAGAGTCGCAGTGTCCGCAGTATGGCGAGGTGAACCAACTGGGCGGCGTCTTCGTCAATGGTCGTCCGCTGCCAAATGCGACCAGGATGCGAATCGTGGAATTGGCCCGTCTGGGCATACGACCCTGCGATATATCCCGCCAGCTGCGTGTAAGTCACGGCTGCGTGTCCAAGATCCTGGCCAGGTACCACGAAACGGGCTCCATACTACCGGGTGCTATTGGAGGATCTAAGCCAAGAGTGACTACACCCAAGGTGGTCAACTATATCAGGGAACTGAAGCAGCGAGATCCTGGCATTTTTGCCTGGGAAATCCGCGATCGTTTGCTCAGCGAGGGAATCTGCGATAAGACGAATGTGCCCAGCGTGAGTTCTATTTCGAGGATCCTGCGGAACAAGTTGGGCAGCCTGGGGCACCAGCATACGCCGGGAGCCGTGATGGGTAGCGGCAGTAGCAGCGGCGGCGGCAGTGTGTCCAGTAATGGTGGCCAAAATAACGGCACGACTACCAACAACAATATAAATCTTGGTAATCTCGGAAATCCAGGCGGTGCACCACACCACCCACATCATCATCATCATCACCAGACTGCAGCAGCAGCGGCAAGTGCCCACCATGTTCACGCCCATGCCCATGCCCACGCCCACCTGTATAATTCGATTTACCAGCCGTATAGTGCAGCGGCAGCCTACAGCATGAAGGCTGTATCCTGCGGTAGTCCTTCGCCTCCGCAGGGAGCAGGCGGCCAGGGATCTGGGCCCCATCCTCACCAGCTGCGGAGTGTGGCCGCCGCAGCCGCTGCCGCCCACTGGCCCTCCTCTCATTCAGTCAGCGATATCCTGGCCCACCATCAGGCTGTTGCTTTACGAGCTAGTTGCCAGGTGGGCGTCGGAGTGGGTGGAATGGGCGGAATGGGTAGTACGGTCTCCCCACTGCCGATGACACCATCTCCAGTGGCAGGAACGGCCGGAGGTCAGCCCCTGCTTGACTGTGAGGGCGGTGCCGGACAGCAATCACCGTACAACTACTACATGTATTTCCAGAACGGCGGAATGCACCACCATCATCATCACGGCGGAATGATGGCCGCCGGAGCCACGGGATTATGAGCGGATGGTGTATAATCAGCGGGTTGGTTACGGGTTTAGCTACTTTTGATCGCGGTTGTTCAGTTAGGTTACTCTTATCTAAGCACTAGTTAGGGAATGGTCATATCACGGCATTCACTTATCACAATCAAATTTTGAGTAAACATATTAGAAGAGAATAAATACGAATCTAAGGCACGTGGAAATTACAATTGCGTTTAGTTATCATTTTCCTGGAAACTCGACTAAAAAGCTTGCAAATATTGGAATGTGACTAAGGGAAGGTAAACTCATAAAATGTTGTGAAGAAATGCCTAAAAGATCATTTGCTTAAGCTCAAGGTTTGTTTAGTTACATTTCTTTAACTGAAAACACCTTAAGTAAACCTCTCTCAAGAACATTATATAATAATAATATTATATATAAATATTTTGCAAACTATTTGTTTGATAAGTGAATGCCATAGTCGAAGACCATCAAATGTGAGTTGTGGGCTGTCAGGACTCAGACCTGCCATTGTCCCTATTTCTTTACGAATTTCATGTAATCCTGGAGATTTTTCTATGCGTTCTCTATTTTTTTTTTGTTTCACATCGGATTGTTTTTGTGTTTTGAATTCAATTAATTGAGGATCAAGTAAATTACATATAAAACTTTATTGTAAAATGGAAAGTATTGAGTGGTACGTTAATCGATTTAGATACATACTTGTTGTATAGGTTCTTGTTCTCATAACTACTATTTGTACAATATGCTCACTAAGTAAACTAGTTGACTAATTTATGCTACGATTACATCAATTACAATTAAACCAAGTGTAACTATCAAATAAAATTGTATTTTTAGACAATCTGTGTAATTACTTGGGGACGGGACAGTTCGATGTGTGAGCCAAAACTGATAAGGGCTTAATAATGGCATATTATAAAATTCATCAAGTTGGATATCCAGAACCTAAGGACAGCACTCGCTCTCATCGGGATTCTTCTTGTTCCATCCGAAGACGAAGTATCCCAGACCCAATCCTAGGATCACAGCCAGACACAGCCAGTAGTTGAAGGTCATAAAGATAAGCATCAGCAGGTAGGAGATGACGATCTGCAGGAGGTTCAGCAAAGATTGGAAGATGTGCGAAGAGGCAAACAGACGCTGCCAATAGCTCTGTTCTCTGGGCTCTGCCAGTGGAGTTTCCGAACAGCATCCTCCGGCTGCTGGAGCCTCGTTCTTTCTGCGCTGCTCTGCTGCCAGTCGCTCGATCTCCTTTCGGGCTTCCCTGCGAGCCAGTTGCTGGCGCAGGAACTTAAGGGCTTCGTATAGAAAGGACACCAGGAAGATGGCAAGGGCGGAAAGGACGAACTCTGTCACTGTGGAAGCAACCCATCCGCGCCACAAAATCCGTTCGCAGTGTCCAGCATGGAACTAAAGGAATAGAGGTGGGGATTAATTATAAATCTGAGCAGATCTAAGAGGTGATCTTTAAATGTTAGTTTGGTCCTTTAACCTTTTCAAGTAAAATACCTTTAAATAGGTGCAAGCAAATCAACTTATTTAAAGCTTAAATATGCCCTTTATACCACAGAAACTAGTATAAATTTCAAGAGAAGATAAAAAAATACTTTATAATTCCTTAATATTTCCATTAGATTATCTCAAATCAAACCGAACACCCTGTATAAGCATATTCAATTTGTATTTGCTGAGAGCGCCTAAAAAAGAGCCAGAGAGCAAATAAATCATTGTGGTGCCTGTCTCATAAATATACGTACATACTAGAGAGTGACTAGCCAGAGAATTAAAAATTCCATGCCTGGTGATATATTTATGTGCTCTCCGGCTTAATCTCATTCAGCGAAGCTGGATGAGTGACTTTAAAATTACAGTGTTTAGCGTATAGGTAAGTGATTTAATTTATAATTCATAACTTTGAGACCGTAGGTGTTGTGTAACTGTTTACTTACCACCATGATCATTGGACAGGATTTCTCCGTGCTGGTAGTGTCATCCGTGCCGTGGTCATGATCCATCTTAGGTAGGTCTATTAAAACAGATGTAGTCAAACAAAAGAAATGGAAAATCCGACTGTTGATCGGGGAAACACAGTGATATCAGCTAGACCTGCTGAAGTACTGAGAGCAGAGCGTTGACTGCTTGAAGCCCAGTGCTCGCGAGTGGTTTTTTAAAGAAAATCGACCCTAATCCCACCGAAACGGCGATAGGCGAGTGTGCTTATCTATGAGAAATGAGAAAGGTGCGTTATCAACAAGTAGCGGCGATACCAACGATAATGGCCCCCTGAAATAATGTCAACCCAGATGTAGACCTTGTAAAGAATCATAAGTCTAATGCAAAACTAAAGATATGCTGTAAGTATCTATTGCAGATTCTTATCCTCAAAAGATAAAATCCATTCAGGATCTTTGATTTCCACTTTGTCGTGCCATTTAATTTATGGGCTAATGCGAAAGTTTCAACAATCGATTTAAGTGCAAAATTGATTGCAATTCCGATTATCAATCATTGGCTAATATATCCCCCTGCAATTGTTGCTGTAATATATGGTGTCGAAATATTTCCATTATATTATTCGAGTACTGGTTTTATGGTACTGTTCGAATACGTTCATACATAGGTATATAGCCAACGGAGCGATAGCAACCGTCTGAAGGCGGATCGCCGGAGGTCTGCCTTAGTCCACTTGGCTTTCCTAGAGTGTTATTTCTTACTGGGCTATTTCTAACTGGGCTCGAATGTCGCTGAAATTGATGGCCGTGTGCAAATCTTCTGCAGCCGGCCGTGTGCAAAATTCTACGGACATTCCTACGCCGTGTGCCGATTTCGAAAATGGGTGACGGGCGCAAACAGTAACGATATTGCAGAGGGGTAAGTGGTTTGGTTATTAGTTGAAATCTAAAGCTTTTTGGTAAATAATTTCGGCGGAAAAACTGGTTAAATGAGATTTTACATTTGAAAATAACAGACAATAAGCAAGTCTAAGCAATTTTGAAATTATTTTAGTTTTAAAATGTTTAAATTTGAACCTCAAATTGATTTCCCACCTTAATTCATAAATAGATCAAATTCAAATTAATCTCTTTTGCCGCCCATATCGGGAGTGCCACCAGATGTATATGTTTTTCTTCCGATCCGGTGGCTCTGTTCTCACCACCTGGTGGCAACCCTTTGACATTCCCAACCAGGTTCCAACCAAAATTCTTGCCATTATTTCGTGAGTTCTACGAAAAACACCGCCTCATATTTTGTGATTAAATGCTGTAACCATTCAAGGTATTATTGCAAGGTTAATTGCAATGTTTGCGCTACGACACCTGAGACTGCAGAGCGCGAGACACTTTCGCAGCTCTTATGCGGTGGTGGCAACAACAAAACACATGCTGCCCCGGCAACCAGCGCGTGTTCTGGTTGGGGATTTGTGTAACTGGGATAGGCCAAAGAGCCACGAAATATACTCCAGATCTTCAAGTACCTCCACCGTGCCTGCGAGGCAAAAAACACCCGTGGAGGAACTCCTGGCAGCCGCCAAACCATATGCTCAACTAATGCGAATCGACCGGCCCATCGGCACCTATCTCCTTTTTTGGCCCTGTGCCTGGAGCATAGCCCTGAGTGCGGATGCTGGATGCTGGCCAGATCTTACTATGCTGGGGTTGTTTGGCACAGGAGCGCTAATTATGCGCGGTGCCGGCTGCACCATTAATGATCTCTGGGACAAGGACATCGACGCTAAAGTGGAACGTACAAAGACGCGACCTTTGGCTTCCGGTCAGATCAGCCAGTTCGATGCCATAGTATTTCTATCAGCCCAGCTTAGTTTGGGTCTTCTGGTACTAGTCCAGCTCAACTGGCAGTCCATATTGTTGGGGGCCAGTTCGTTGGGTCTGGTGATCACGTATCCCCTCATGAAGAGAGTCACCTACTGGCCTCAGCTGGTTCTGGGAATGGCCTTCAATTGGGGAGCCCTTCTGGGCTGGTGTGCTACTCAGGGCAGCGTCAATCTGGCCGCCTGCCTGCCGCTCTACCTCTCCGGCGTTTGCTGGACCATAGTTTACGACACGATATATGCCCACCAGGACAAGCTGGATGACCTGCAGATAGGGGTCAAGTCAACTGCCTTGCGATTTGGTGAGAATACCAAAGTTTGGCTATCTGGATTTACGGCTGCCATGCTCACGGGTCTCTCAGCCGCTGGCTGGGCCTGCGATCAAACGGTTCCTTACTATGCCGCTGTGGGAATAGTTGGAGCTCATCTAGTACAGCAGGTACTTTCATTTATATTATTGTCCTATACGTAACTCATTCAAATTCATCTTAAAAACAGATCTACTCCCTCAACATTGACAACCCCAGTGACTGTGCAAAGAAGTTTATATCGAACCATCAAGTAGGACTCATTCTCTTCCTCGGCATTGTCCTGGGCACCCTCCTGAAATCAGACGAAACTAAGAAAAAGCGTCAAGCCACACTGACGACTACGGCGGCCAGCTCCTACGTTCCAACGCTGCCGCAGAAGCCAGAGGTTATAAGCTGAGCTAATTTTGACCAACAAAAATAGTAGTGTTAATTAATGTTTATAGCGCGCTTTTTTATTCGCCAAAACCAAAGTCTTTAGGTATCTGATTAGGTAAAACCGTGTACATATGCTTATGACAATTTTTAGTTTATTTGCATTATTTTAAGTAAAAAAGATTGCCAAGTGCAGAACTCACTTAAACATCAATTAACTTTTAATTGTAAGTACCCGCCTTGACGTAGCTCTTACGTAAAACAACCATCTCCGAAACCCCCTTTCCCTAATTTCTAAAACAAACTGGTTTCTGTATTAAATTCTTATGTGTTATTTATTATTATACAGATTTTGGTTGTCTATCGAAAGCCAAATACTCTTCAAATGTATTTACTTCATTCGTTTGTTGTTACGGCTAGGAAAAGGGAGCGTTACATAAAAGTTAAGGTAGAATTTTAATTTAGATCAAGTCAGCCACATTCATAGGCATTTCGTCGATTTGCGTAGAGTAGTACTGTTCTATGTCGCGCAGGATGCGGATATCATCCGACTTGACAAAGTTGATGGCAACACCCTTGCGTCCGAATCGACCCGAGCGACCAATACGGTGGATGTAAAGCTCACGATTGTTGGGCAAATCGTAGTTGATAACTAAAGACACCTGCTGAACATCGATACCTCGAGCCCATACATCAGTTGTGATGAGCACTCGTGATTGACCAGCTCGGAACTCCTTCATAATTTCATCACGCTCTTTTTGCGGCATGTCGCCATGCATGGAGCTCACAGTAAAGTTAGCCTCTCGCATCTTTTCCGTCAGCCAGTCTACCTTGCGTTTTGTGTTGCAGAAGATAACAGCTTGGGTGATAGTCAGGGTGTCGTACAGATCGCATAGGGTGTCGAATTTCCATTCCTCACGTTCCACGGCAACGAAGAACTGCTTGATGCCCTCGAGCGTCAATTCATCACTGTGAAAGATAGTTAATTATAAATTTCACAGTCTCCCTATGCAAAAAGCAACAATCTTACCGCTTGACCAATATGCGAATGGGATCTGTCATGAATTTGGAGGTCATTTCGAGAATCTCATGGGGCAAGGTGGCCGAGATAAGCACTACCTGAGTGGCAGGTGGCAAGTAACGATAAACATCGTAAATCTGTTCTTTAAAGCCTTTGTTTAGCATCTCATCGGCTTCGTCCAGCACCAGCATCTTAATGGCCCTAAAAGATATCCGTATAATTAAAATGCTTTTAGCGAATAATCTGAAATACCAACCTTGTTCGCAACACTCGTCGCTTGATCATGTCGAATACTCTTCCCGGAGTGCCGCTCACAATGTGCTGCCCGTAGTCCAGTTTGCGGATGTCCTCGCCTAGGTTAGTGCCACCAATGCACACATGGCACTGGACGTTCATCATGTCGCCGAGGGCCAAAATTACCTTCTGAATCTGTACTGCCAACTCGCGTGTTGGCGATAGGCACAAAACCTGGGTCTCCCGCAGGGTGGTGTCAAGGCTTTGCAGAATGGAGATGGAGAAGGTGGCCGTTTTACCTGTGCCCGATTGCGCTTGAGCAATCACATCCCGTCCCTTGACTATGGGCTTGATGCTCCTCTGCTGAATGGCTGAAGGTTTCTCGAAACCTTAAGAATTCAGAGGTATTCATCAGTCTAAGACCGGCAATTAGGTATACACACCACTTACCGTACGCGTATATGCCGCGTAGCAGCTCCTCCTTCAGATTCATGGCGTTGAATGTGGGAATCACCTCCACATCCTCGCTGGTCTCGAACTCCACGTTCGAAAGGTCCTCCGCCTGGGCATTTTTGCGCGCCATTTTCACTGCTTACTTGTGTGCGGATCTGGCAGTATTTAATAAATATTTACAATCTTCTCGGCAAATTTTCCAACTTTCACAGAAAAAAAATGCGGTTGGCTTGTTGGAGATGGCCTATCGGTTGAGGTTACATATCTATCATTAAACGACAGTCGATGATTTGGCGTCGATATGTTATCGGGTGTTATCTGATTTAGTGTTGCACAAGGCAGCAATATTTTAATTAGCGCCAATTTAATACAAATGTAAATCTTAAAAAAACTTAAAATGCAGAAATGTAATACATTTTATTTTATAAATTATAATATTCCATAACAAAATATATAAAAATTTTTATTGACATAACCCGTCAATCAACTCAACTGTGTTTTCGCCGGGCTGCTCCTTCTCCTCCTTTTGCGAAGGAAGTTGCTCAGCGAGTGGAGATCCTTTCGCTTCAGCATCTTGATCCTCGACACCAGCTTCCGCACTGCATCGATCCGCTGTTTAGCCTCACTGGCAGCTTCGTTCGCCTTCTTGGCGTTCTCACGGTTAACTTCGAGATCCTTCTGAGCCTGGGACATACAGTTATTCAACTCCTCAACCCGCCTCTTGGCAGCTCCAAGAAGACTTCGTTTTTCCGCGGCCTCTCTTTTGGCGCAGAGTGCCACCTTTCGGATGTTATTCAGACTTCCGACCATCTCCTGCAACAGATTTGTCATGCTTGCCAAGGATTCCTGGAGTTTTTCACGGATTTCCCTTGTCGCCTTGGCGGAGCAGGTGCCAGCTTTAATGGCTCGTTGGATTTCCTCAATAACCCGTTTCGTTTCATTTAAACTCTTGGTTATTTCATCCAGAAGCTGTTTTTTCCCATTGAGGGCCACCTCCGCTGCCTTAGCAGCCTGCAATGCCTTATCCGCCAGCATAGCCTTAGCCCTTTGGCCAGCAATCTTCGCTGCACATGGCTGGGCATCCTTAGCGTCCTTCGCATCCTTAGCTGCCTTTTGGGCCATCTGACTGGCCTTTATGTTCGTCTTGCAGAGGACAGAGCTGGGCTTGTAGCGTGGATCGTTACGACATGCAGAATCCGCAGTGCTCATCAGCATGTTTACCAGTAGCAGCATCGTAACCAGGGACTCGTAACGCATCGGAAATCTCACATCTTACATAGATCTCAAAGCTCATTAGGAAAACGAGATTTAAAGACTCCTATTATGATGTGACATAAAATCTACAAATCTTTTGAATTTTGGGAATTCAAAAACTTTATGAACTCCAGTATGCAGTTAATAGACTGTCTGAATGTAAAGTAAACTGAGTATTTTAAAGTTAAAATGAAGATAAAAGAATTTCTGTTCTTATTTTTTCTCTTATTCTCTGAGCTTTCTGAGGGCTATAAGTTGGCAGAGGTAAGATGTAATCCTTCCACTTACCAATCATGAATTGAAGATTCCTTCATCTGTTAGTCCTCCAATGAAATTGGGGAACAGACACCGGATTATCAGATTTGCTGTGACAACACACCCCCACCAACCAAAGGCGGCATCAGGCTAGACAACAAGTCAAAGATAAAAGCATCTAGCATTGCTCAAAAGGCGGCTAAGGAGGCCAAGGACGCATCCGATGCCCAGATAGAAGCAGGTGAGGCTGCAGCTCGCCAGGTTAAGCAGCAACTGGCCGATAAAGCACAAGCCGCTGCTAAGGCTGCGGAAGCCGCTCTTGCCGGAAAACAACAAATTGTAGAGCAATTGGAGTCCGAGGTAAGAGAGGGCGAATTGGTGGTTCAGGAGGAGAGCACCCTATTACAAACTACTCAAACCACTTGTACTGCCGCTGGACAAGCCGCCAAACAGGCAGGTGATCAGCTTAAAACTATAATGGTGGCGGTAAAAAATGCGCAGGAGAACGTGGTCAATGCTGAGCACGTGGCCAGTGGAGCCCAACAGGAGCTGGCCGAGAAACAGCAGCTCGTCGAGGCGGCCAAGAAGAGAGTTGAGCTTTTACTCCGCCAATTGGATGTGGCACGGGTAGATTTTAAGAACACTAAAAATGCCGCCGAGAAGGCAGCTTGTGCAGCGCATGAGGCCAGACAAAGAGCCACCCGAGAGCGAAGAAGGGCGGAACTGAGGCACAGACTACGACTAACTAATCGAAGTACCAACTTGGATACCTAAGTCTTATATTTTCTATTTATTATTATTTCTTTTGTCTAAAGAGGATTTAATGCCTAAGTGGTGATTCATTTTATTTGTGTTTTTTCTAAAATATAACAAAAATGTTTAGGAAAATTAAATAAACCAACAAATTTTACTAAACTTATTGATACATCTTACATATCTTAATATTTCAATTACGGGTTAGGGGGCGTATACTTAATACACCCCGCTAAACTTCCGACTACTCCTTCATGTTCACACGCCGATTCGCGAGGAAGCGAACAATCATTGGACACGGTCTTTCGTCATATTCAATCTTACCCGGAGCAAGCATTTAAAGCGTCTCATGGCAATTAGAGGCTCTTCCATAATTGCAACTACAAATTATCCAATCGGCCAGCCTGGTAGCATTGACCCAGCACCATTATTGTTGGTACATGGCCAACTCGCGACGAAAACTATCAGGCAACGGGTTTGCACTTTCTTTGGCGACCCGACCAGTTTGTTTATAAATACATGGCGCCACCGGTGGCCAACTGGCAATCGTCGTCGAGTCTCCATTGGATTTACTAAGCCCATTTGTTGCTCCCAACTTTTCCGAGTGCGAAAGTAAAAGCGTTTTCCACCGAACCCGTCTATCGACATTCGGCTTCGTTTGGCGGGCGATCCTCCACTCACATCAGAAGCATTTTGTCTGTGGTCCACGCAGGACGTTCGTGTCGGTCAAATTGAAATCATCAAGAGGTGCGTCTGTCCATCAAAATTGAGTGATAACTTTGTGATTTGTGTGCTGTCCAGTTTTGCTGGCCTTAAAACTAAACAGGTTCTTCTGTGGAACATATCAGTGCGTGACACACTAACGACTTACCGGTCATCCTAGAGCAAAGAAAGTGATCCACCGTATTTATTAGCTAATAGGCAAAGTAGTCACGAACCGGTTGCAAGGTGATAATGCACTCAGAAAAAGTATCCTTTAGATGTATTCTTTGGCTTTTAGACTCAACATACAGATATGCTTTCTTAAAATGGGCAAGAGATGGAAAAAATTCTGAAGATTCATTTGACAAGCTTATTCCCTTCTAAAAGGTCAAATTTAAAATCTCAAAAAAAAATCATTAACATTTTAAATAACATAACTTTTGAGATGGATTTTTTTTCTAGATTTTTGTAGCTTTTACTTAAAAAAATGAAAATTCATTGTAAATATTTTTTTAATTGTAATGTTAAGAGTAGGAGGGGGTGGGTGGTTAAAAAAAGGCAAAAGGCATGTTCAAAGCAACGTCAGGACTTGCAAAATCATTTCCATTTAATTTCATATCTTTTCTTTCAGATTTTATTACCCAGAGGCTAGCATTTCGCCATACAGGAACACTATACACCTGCAGTAATCACGAGTCTTCCGGTTGCACGGCTTCCTTCCGCCAGCTGCTTCATTGCATAACTATCAGAGATGACATCACTTTTGCACCTCCTGCTCCTGACGCTGTTTTTGGGTGAGTCGCACACGACTTCCTCATGCAACTCTTGCTAAATTGGGGAAATTTCATCTGTGATTTAGTGGCCATGCCGGCTTTGGGTCGCAAGGTGAAACGGAAGGAGGCACACTATCATCACCACGTCAATGTGCCGCCACCACCGCCTCCATCCCCTCAAGGACCAGGTCCACTGCCCCAGCAAACTGTGGTGATCGAGCACGAGGTGCCACCTTACACCTACGAAGCTGTAAACCACGACGAATTTGAACCGGCCAAGGTGAAGCTCTCCCACTCCGATTACATAGTGCATAGTCTCCATAATGGAGGGGGAGGTGGTTACCTAGCAGACAATGGACTCCGCAGCATAGCCAAGGGTTCGGCTGATCAGGCTTTATCCGCAGTGGCCAGCCAAAATGCGGCTGGCAAACAGGCATCCTATGTGGCAAAAAGTACTTTGGCTCAGGCAGCAGCTCAGGCAGCTGGTACTGCAGTGGCCGTGCTAAAGGGAAAGGAAGTACTGCTTCATAGACTGGAAGATCAGAGTGTCGAGGCACACAAGGCTATGGAGAATGAGCTGACGCAGTTGCAACAGGCCAAGCGATCCGCGAAGGCGGCCCAATATGCCGCTCAACAGGCCATTAACCATGTTAGTGTCTTGACAGCAGCTCTTAACAATGCCCAGTCTGCCTCGGAGTTGGCCCAAAAAGCGGCTTCTGAGGCAGCTGCCGAATTGGCCTCCCAAATAGATATGGTGGCCCAGGCCAAGACCAAACTGGAGCACGCTGAATCGCAGGCTTACGCAGCTCGATTGGACTACGAGGAAACTCGGGATGCAGCAGAAAAGGCTACTCTATCCGCACAAGAAGCACATTTGAATGCCAATGATGCTGCCTTACATGCGAATGTTGAGCTTGCAGATTCGGTTCATATCCACGACAAGAGTGACCGGAATGTGAGGGAACCACCTCGGAATCACCGACATCCATGAGGCACCGCCTATATCTACGCTTTTAATCCTTATTTATTTGTTTTCCTTATTTAATGATTGCGTTGTTGCAGAGATTCAATAAAGTTTTGTTTATATTTATCTCTTTCTCTCTTTGTAATCCAGCATTGTGATTGCAAGTAACGACTAAATTGATGTATGCAACTTGAAGCACTTAAAACAGGTAATTGCCAGAAAACTTGTTCGAAGAAATCGTCATAATAAAACTTGCCTGTGGGTCAAATTTTTTGTGTAAGCCTAAAGAAATAAAAAAATATTAGTTCGGAAATAAAATTGGTCAAAGTATCGTCATAAAGTAATATTTTAAAAAGAACCGCCAATTCACGAACACCAACCGTGATTGGTGGAGATCCCTGCTAACTGAGATTCTATGTCTTATTTTTGGGGCATTTTGTGAAAGTATATTTCATTAAGTGCGCTACGGTCATACTTTTGTTTAGATTTTCAAAATAATAAATATTAAGAAAATAACTATTAATTATGAGTCGCACGGAACAAACTTTCGATGACCTGAAGTCCTACTTCCGTGGCCATAGCAAAATTCGGGAGCAGAGGGCTCACATGTCCAAGGTGAGCATTGTTTCCCGTTAATTCTGAATTTCTCTAAAATCCGTCTGTCCACAGGTTCACTCTGTTTGCTGGAACGCCGATGGTCGTCACCTTGCGTCCGGATCATTTGACAAGACTGTGGCTGTTTACTCATTGGAACGGGATCGCTTTGTAAAGGGCAGCATTTATCGGGGACACACTGCATCCGTGGATCAGCTGTGTTGGCATCGCACCAATGCCGACCAGTTTGCTACCGCCAGCGGGGACAAAACTGTGAGGATCTGGGACATAAGGGCGGGAAAATGTGTTTCGGTAACTAACACAAAGGGAGAGAACATCAATATTGCCTGGTCACCGGATGGCAAGACGATCGCCGTGGGTAACAAAGAAGACCTGATAACTTTCATAGATACGCGCACGAATAAGATCCGCGTGGAGGAGCCCTTTAGTTTCGAGGTCAACGAGATCTCGTGGAACAATACAAATGATCTGTTCTTCTTAACAAATGGACTTGGATGTATGCATATCCTCAATTATCCCAGCCTGGAGCACCAGATGACCTTAAAGGCTCATCCCGCCAACTGCATTTGCATAGAGTTTGGACCAACGGGTATAAAAATTATTTTCCAAAAATAGTTCATATCCTAAGGTGTATTCAATTTTGCAGGCAAATATTTCGCTACTGGCTCGGCAGATGCCCAAGTCTCCTTGTGGGATGCCAACGAATTGGCTTGCCTGCGCATGATCAGCCGCTTGGAGTGGCCCGTTCGCACCATATCCTTCAGCCACGACGAACGACTGATTGCCTCGGCTAGCGAGGACCTCATCATAGACATTGCCTTCACAGAGACGGGAGAACGAGTAACCGATATACATGTGGATGCTTCAACATTTACGGTAGCTTGGCATCCCAAGCAATACTTGTTGGCCTACGCTTGCGATGAGAAAGATAGCGACCGGCGGCGAGACGCTGGCAATGTTAAGATATACGGTTTTCCCGAATAAACTTTAGTTTAAGGCACCGTTTGCTAGTAGAAACCTTCTTTACTTTCCAATTACATTGGAGTGCGCAACTTTATCGACGTAATGAGCTCGAAATGATCGACTTTAAAGTTGACTAGGTCACGTCGCTGGCCAGGCAACTTGATTATCAATTGCAGGGCTTCGCCTCTGGACGTGCTCTTTGCTGCAATTTGAGTTTTATCTTCGTCGGCGCGCTTTTATGGCATCACGGGACCCAGCGGCCATAACCTCCAGTCTGCTGCTTAATACTGCATCGGTCGAAGGAGAAAGACTACCTATGCCCTGGCAGCCACTTCACTTTTATCATGCAAATAACGACACTGGCGGATGCTGACCTAATATAGGTTTACGGTTATGGCTTCCTACATTTTAAGCTATTAATCAGTGGTCGCACTCTGCAGGAGACTTAATCCTGGGAAAGGATTGGCTTTGGCGTGTCAAAGGTTATTTGCTCACTTTTGGTGTGTGTGTGAATAGCCCCCATTAGCCACGAAAACTTGAGTGGGTGGTGTCAATTGTTGGCTGTTTATTTTTTCACCCTTGAACTATCTGCAAGAGGCACAAGTGACAAACAAACAGGACGAACGAGATGGGGCACCCTTGTATGTATCACTCATATATCCCATCCGCGAGCCAAGTGCATCGTCCATTTGTATGCCATCCGCACGTTTCCCGCCAAGTGCACACAGCATTTGCCACACGCCACCCACTCACCTACTCGAAGCAACATCAATATTTGTTTTACTAAAAGTTTTCGATAAATTTCGGTTTGAACTGCCAGTTTCGCTTGATTGGTTTTGTGAAGGGATAGGAAAGGGTCCAAATTGGATACTTGCATTCAATAATGAATCACAGTTAATTGTTATTAATGGACCAAAAGTCCAACTTTGCCAAACTGTTGAAAAAATAGTCCAAATGGTAGTTAGTGCTTGCGTTTTTTTAAAGTTGTTCATGGAAACGGAAGAGGTTGCACGAGATTTTTACCAGAGCGCACTGGAATTCTAGTTTAATTTCAACAAATTTCAAATATGGAGTTTCTAAATTGGAATGCTTATATAACAACAACTTAAAAATATTTCGTTTAAATGTTCAGAAAATGTGCCCACCGACTTAAAATTCATAATTTCCAATATATTTTCTTATTCGAATAAAAACAGCAATAATACAAATATTTTACAATTTTATCTACTTGCATTCTACAGCACATGTAATTCAGAATGCTAACAGAAATTTTGTTTCTTGCACTCTTATTCAGCACAGCTGTTAAGTGACAACTTGTCTGCAAATGTTCCCCAACCATAGCTGTTAATAAACAGATCTCATTTTCTCGCATGCAATATAACTGGTGTTCCTATGGCAATGAAATGAAACATATCTGTTAAATTTTCCCCTCTTTATAATGATGTTAATAAAATGTAAGAATGAATGTTATTTTTCATCTCTAGTTCTCTACAATTTGTCAAAAATATATAGGTTAACTACATTTTACGCGAATCTCAAAATAATATGGAGAAAATAAATTTTATTTCTCATGAATTCAAACCTATAGTTAAAAAATGTGATATTAAATATAATAAAATATACAATTTCTGAAAAATGCTTTTAAATCAGCTTCTTTTTCCGGTATCACTTATTTGGCCAACAAAATCTTCTGTTTAAAAACCTCTCCCTTAAAAAAATATTGTTTTGTCTCTCCCAAGTGTGTTACCCCCTTGTTCCCTGAATTTCAAAGAAGAAGTCACAGTTCTTCCTCAATCCTAGAAAGATAATAGCCAATTGATGGGAAACGCAAACATGGAAAAATGTCGAATGCAAGTCATAAAATTTAAAAGGGAAAATACTTTCTGGCCAACTTTCTCGGCCCCCAAGTTCTCAGACTTTTTATTTCTACTGTCACTTTAGACAAACTTTGACAGCGCAACGATATAGATGAGGATTTCAATGGTGGAGTGGGAGCGGGGGCAGAAGCTCTGGAATTTATGTCGCCTGTCGTCGGGACTTATGCGCTTTCGACTGCTGTTTTCCCCAAACCAACGTATTGATTGCCAAACTTCAAGTGCACGTAAATTGGCCAAAACTTTGTTTCTAGTTAGCTGCGGTTGGTTTGTGCACCATTTAGTTCTTTGAAAAGTGTGTACATGTTTCTTGTGAATAGTTTTTATATCCTTGCAAGTAAACAAACAACTCACCGGTTTTCTGTGTTGTTATGGTAAATAAATATTTGCTTATAGTTGTGTTTTTTGTATTTGTTTAAGCCATTCGTAGGTTTCTTAAAAGAAAGCATAGATAATATTTTCTCCAACGGAATAGGGAATAAAATAAAACCGCCTTTTTTCAAATATTTCTAGTGTTGTAAAATTCATGCGGTTTCTTTTTTGGTTTGAATCATTGCTATACTATTTCAAAGTTTACATGTACTCTCTGCCGTCGGAGTAGCCACTCTTTCGAAAAATAAGTAGTCTATGTCATCGATATTAAAAAACAATCGAATTTATTGTCACATTAGTTTCGACTAATTTTGTTGTGGATATTTCCGAGCAAAGTAAACTTTTTTCCATAGGCAAGAGCAAAAAATATAGGGGAGTCCCGCCCTGAATAAGTTAAGTTTGTTTTTACTGGAAAACCATCAAAATGTCTGTGCGTCATGACTGGTACCAATCAGAGACAAAGGTAGTCATCACCGTGCTCCTGAAGAACGCCGCCGATAAGAACTATGCTGTGGAGATTTCCCAGAACCGTGTCCATATGACGGCGGATGGCTATGAGTTGGACCTAAATCTTCTTCACCCCATCGTTGTGGAGCGGTCTTCCCACAAGGCCTTTCCCTCTAAAGTTGAGATCACTCTGGCCAAGGAGACGGGAGTTCGCTGGGAAAACCTGGAGGAGAAGGCCGTCGTAGCTGTTCCTGTTAAACCAAAGGCGAAGAACTGGGATCGACTGGTCAGCGAGGAGGAGAAGATCGACGAGAAGGAAGCCAAGGGCGAGACGGCCCTCAACAACCTGTTTAAGAAGATCTACAGCACATCATCACCCGAGGTCCAAAAGGCCATGAATAAGTCTTTCTCGGAATCTGGAGGCACCGTTCTCAGCACCAACTGGAGCGAAGTTGGCAAGGAGAAGGTTAACGTCAAGCCGCCAGATGGAACAGAGTTCCGCGAGTGGGAGAAGTAGGCCGGTATACTCCGCACACCCCCGTATTTATAAAGTTATGGAGAGATTTGAAAAAGAAAAACCTAAGATATATTTTTATCTATTGATTGATCGTCAACAAAGAACAAAATGTTAAGAACACAAACTAACAACAATTGTTTGAATAAATTTGATTTAAGCATGGCAATTGTCGCTTGGTTTGCTTATGGGGGATTATAAACTAAATTCACTATGGATACTACCAGTGTTTTTGGGAATTAAATAACTTTTCGTCGTATTGAAGCTTAAGGAACATTTTTAGTTCAGGGGCAAATTTTAGTATATTTGTTTATTTTGTACATAAAAGAATATCCATAATTACGCTGGTTTAAGTTTTTGTTTAAATTGTCATTAAGATTAACGGTTAAATTCCCTTGCAGTCAGAACTTAACTCCCACCGATAACTTTTAAAACCACCCCCGCACTCAACCGAAGCGTTCTCATTGGAAACAGCTGATCGGCAGACCGGGTTTGCAGATACGTGTAAAAATAAACGCACAATTATTTTTTCCTCGCACAAATCGGACTCCAGTTCCCAAAACTCCAAAATGTACCAGAATTTGGATGAGCACAATCGATTGGTGAACAAATACCTCAAGATATTCTTCGTTGTAGCACTTTACTGGTGAGTCATGAAAATGAAACTTCATTGAAGGGCCCTCTGCAATTCCATGTCTTCCACAGGTGCACCTCGATATTGACGGTATTCGTGAATAAGCATTTGCTAAGCAGCGATACAGTAAATCTCAGCGCACCACTATTTTTGTCATGGTTCCAGTGCGTGGTATCCACGGTAATTTGTTTTGCCGCCAGCCGTCTGAGCAAGAAGTATCCTTCGGTATTCACATTTCCCGAAGGGAATCCGCTGGACATCGATACTTTCCGCAAGATACTGCCGCTATCCGTTTTATATACCCTGATGATTGGGGCCAATAACCTCTCCCTATCCTATGTCACAGTGGCATTTTACTACATTGGTCGCTCGTTGACCACTGTGTTTAGTGTGGTCCTCACCTACGTTATCTTGCGCCAGCGCACCAGCTTTAAGTGTCTACTGTGCTGTGCCGCTATTGTTATAGGATTTTGGCTAGGAGTGGACCAGGAAAGCCTCACAGAGGTATTCTCCTGGCGGGGTACCATCTTTGGAGTGCTCAGTTCGTTGGCCTTGGCCATGTTTTCCATCCAGACAAAAAAATCGCTGGGATACGTCAACCAGGAAGTGTGGCTACTCAGCTACTACAATAATTTATACTCCACGCTGTTATTTCTTCCCCTGATAATCATCAACGGTGAGTTGGAGACTATTATTACATATCCACACCTGTGGGCTTCTTGGTTCTGGGCCGCCTTGACCCTCAGTGGAATTTGTGGATTTGCCATAGGTTTTGTTACAGCCCTGGAAATCAAGGTAATCCGCAAATCTACTTGATAAATTCTTATCTAACCCAATCGATATTTTAGGTCACATCCGCACTGACGCATAATATCTCGGGAACAGCTAAGGCATGCGCTCAAACGGTAATCGCCACCCAGTATTATCATGATGTTCGATCGGCACTATGGTGGACCTCCAATGTGGTGGTGCTGGTGGCCAGCGCCGCCTACACCCGGGTCAAGCAACTTGAGATGCTCCGTCAGCATCAGCAACGTGCCGCGGCCACCCAGAAGGCTTAAGAGCAATTTTTATAATGCTGCCAAAGTAACGTAGACTGTTTAGGACTCTAGGAGATGTAAGTTTAAAGTATGCACAAATGATCCATCAACAAAAATACATAGGTTTTTGTGTTAACTAATTGGACGCCACAGCTTCCTTGCGTTCCGCGGGTTCCTCCTGTTTTTTGGTATCCTCTCTTTTAACCTTTGCCGTGCTCTTATCCCACATCTCTGGGACGTACACAAACGGATCGATTTTCAGTTGCTCACTGCTTGGTGGGCTCTTCAGCAGGACACGTGTAATAAAGCGACCCTCACGCTTAGGCCTCATTGTGTTGACATCCTGCAGCAGAAACTTAATGTTTTCCTCCAGCTTTTGTGCGTCCATGTCCAAAGTACCCACACTGGCGGTGATTAAGCCAAAATTCTGCTGGTACTCATCCTTGGCAGCGCTATAGCTAATGCCGCTTGAAAACTTGACTATCATCTCAGCCAGGTTCGTGCCAAGGGTCTCACTTTTAGGATTGGGAAACTTGCGCTTCATTAGACCACGAAGGGCCACCAGCTCTGCCAGAATATTAGGATGGGCAATGATGTACTGGTAGTCGGACAGCAGCAGTTCTCCGTTGGTAATGTCCTTGATAAGCTCGACGCCGCCAACAAGCGAGGCGCCAGCTTCTCGGGCCTCCAAGACTTCGTTCTATAGAGAAATTTAAAGATGATATTTTTGGATTTTAGAATTAGGTAGTTTTACTTACATTTCCCTTGGTGAAGACAATTATCTTTCGCTCCTCGCCGTGCTCAAACTTGTTTGGGATCATAGCCATGCGTTGAAAGTTATCAACAAAACGGGTGATTTTCTCCGCTTGCATGTTCAGCTCGATATCCACATTTAGGGGAGCATTGGGTACATTGTACATGCTGGGGTGATGGGTCTCTCGATGACATTGGATGGCTTCCTGAACGGAATAAACTGGCCAGCGGTAATAGCGCCCCACATAGCAGTCATCTTTGGCAATCTGTTTCCAGGAATCATCAACATGCTTGTCTGCCCGCTTCACGTTGATTCTGCAAATGAAAATAAGTTAAACCTGTATTCTGGATTTTGACTTAACAACGTACTTTTTGTTGCGCTGGTTGTGAGGTATGAATCCCACCTTCTTCACCTCTACTTTGACTTTCTTCTTGCGAGCCTTCTCCCGAGTTCCTTTACGTGCCGCTTCGTTCACGGCGGAAAGGTGCAGCAGGCGGAGTGACTCCATCGTGGGCTGGCGCAGGGCCAGTGCCCTCATTGAGGCCAGGATTGACTGCATTTCTTTCAAAAATAAGACTATTTACCGGAATCCAAACCTTTGCTTTGCATAACCTCTCCGGTCAGAGTTGCCATGTTTTTTGTTTAAAATCCCTATGTTGCCATATTAGCGTAGAAAATAGTGTGTTTAAGAACCGCGGTATAGAACTTGGCTAGGAAATAACTGCTATTTCAACAATTTAAGTATTGTATTTTGCCGGACACTTTCTGGGAAGAAATTATTTGTGATATGTATTTTAAAATAACTAAATATAATAACTAAATAACTGAATTTACTTTGGAAAGCCTAAAGGGCATTCAATAAATTTCCATCCATATATAAATAGAAAGAACTAGGAATTCCTAAATCCCAAATTCAAAAAACAGTAATATTCAAAACCACTGATTGAACAGATTCTAAGAGATATTTAGAAAACAGCAAAGAGATCATTTGGCGGATCCCTTATTCTCTAAAAATAAATCTCATATTTTTCCGATACGTTCAAAAGCGCCGTGCCGCTCAGAATAGCTTCGACCGACGAGCGGCACGGACGTATTCGGAATTTTCGAACCGCGGAAAATCGCAAGAATTTGAGAGAGTGACCGAAAAAAATTCAGCGGCGGGGCGGACGACCGTGTGTGCATAGGAAAAGTGCAAGTAATAATTTGTTATTGTTTTTCCTTTCAACAAAACACTGGCGAACACCCCGAAATAGACCGACAACCTTACGCATAAACCCATAAAACAAAAGAAGCGCAGCCAGGAAGAAAATTCGACTGGAAAAAAGAAAAATGTGTGTATTCAGAGTGTGGCAACAGTTTCGATATAACGTTCGGAAAGTGGCGAAAGTAATGGGGGCCGCCGACTTCAGATACACATGATCTGCGTTCGCAGCCCACCCATTCACCCATCCACCCACTGGTCCACCGGTCCATCGGTCCACATCCACCCATCCATCCATTCAGTTCATTTCCCCGCGAGTGCGTGCACTTTCGCATAAATTGGAAATATTAATTGCGTGTAACCTAAAAGTGGAATAAAGGAAGTGTTGCGCACTTGGCGAGGCGTGATTGAAAAGGGGGCTAGAGGAATACTGGGTGTGTTGTGTGCTATAGTGCGATCGCCATGGGGAGGCAACAAAAGAGTGTCAGCGTTTTAAAAATAGTTTGGTTTGCGGCGTGATTTTATTTGTTCTTCTGCTGGCCTCTCGACGATCGATGGCATCCAGTTCTTGAGCCAAAACCGTAACCAAGACCCAAAACACAATAACACAGTGCATTCCGGATCGGTTCTCCGTTTCGGTTAAGTGACCACACGCGTGCATATTTTTGGAAAATATTCAAAACTTTCGCACATGTGGGGAAACGTGCTGAAATAGGATTTTTGAAATTATTGTTTACATTTCGTGGATTTAATCGTTACACTTTAAGACTCGGTTATGTGTGTGTTTGGCGGCGGACGTTCCACATTGGTCTTCTTCTTCTATAAACAATCTCCCGATTTTGATAATTCTCGGATTTTCTTGTCTTGTGTGCGTTTTTAGTGGCGTATCGGGCAGTGTAAACAAACAACACCCGATTGAGCGATATCGAGATGGACTGGGACAAACCACCGCCGCCTCCTCAACCACCTCCGAAGCCCCGACGAACTCGACCCCGACAGAATGTCCTGCATTACGAGTCCTTGCCAACCGCTCCGCCGGCAATGTGCGGTCGCACGGAGGAGAATATCTTCCAGTTTCCGACCGTGGCCTCACGTGCTCGCAATCTCTCCGCATCTCCGAAATTCGAAAGAGGGGAGGCCAAGGATTTGCCAGTTTGTAAACTGGGAAAGCACTCCTGCTCCAAGTGCCAGCCATATCGGGCGGATCGGGGAACCATTGAACCGCTGAAAACTCGTCTTAATTCCGCGATCGAAGTCATGGACGAATTGACTCGAACATACGTCTTGCTGGAGGGATTTCTGGAGCATCGACTGGCGACCATCGCCGACAATGAGGCGGGTGAACGAAAAGCGGAACTGGAGGCTTTAGACGATGATGTTCCTTCCACTAGTCAAGCCGTTAGGCAGCATGCACCTACTAAACCACCGCGCTCCAACACCAATGACCACCAGTTTGAGCTAGAGCACTCTCTGACCTGGCTAGAATCTTTAATGGGCACTGAAGTGGTTCCTCCCTTCAAACGGGGAAAGTTTAACCGGTAAGAATTAGCCACAAGCTTAAATTTAAATTTTCACAATATTTTCTAATTATTTGACAGGATTCGTGAGCGGAGCAAATCAATGATGGACGAGGACCTCAACATGTTCATGAAAAGCGATCGTCCTGGCTTAAAGCTTAGCTCTTCGCGACCATATCTTCTAAGACGGCAGAGCACCTACAGCGATAACAAGGCTAAGGTATCCAAGTGGACCAAGGTGAAGGCCGCTTTCAAGTGGGAGCGAGCCAACGTGCCACCCTCGGGACCAGGTGCACCCGAAACTCACATCCTCATGCCAATCAACCACGAGGTGGAGAGGTTTGTATTAGATTTTCGAACCACTCTTGGTATTATTACATTATTGATTCGTTTTTTAGATACCTTAAGGTCCCTATTAGTGTGGCAGCTGGTAGCAGTTCCGCGGACAGCATCATCAGTTCCTCCTCCGGCCATATTATGAGTGATACGGGTGGTACACCTGGTACTATTAGCTCGGCAAGCTCCATGGATGATCTGGAGGCGGTCAGCCGACAGAATTATCGTAAATTTCTGAAAAAGATCTGCTATAACATGTCAAATTAATATGATTAATTTTCTAGGTCGCGATTCCTCTAAAAGTGATAACCGATGCGATTCCCGCGTCTCCAACTTTGAGGTGGAGCTGCGAAAATCAGCCACCGACGAGCGGTTGGACAATATTAAATCCTCGGCCCCGCCATTACCAGCAAAGTCATCATCCAGCAAATCTCTGCGAAGATCCAAGGCGTTCTCTGACTTTGAGGTCCTTCCAGAGGATCATGTTGCGGAGATAAAAGCCACTAGCAGCCGGCGACAGAAGTTGCCTCCGAGTCCATTGAATCTCAACCAGGTGAATCAAATATACAGCGATTTGCCGCAACTGCACTCGCCGTTAAAGAGTCCCAAGGATTCACGGATGCGTCGTGTACACTCACCGGGGGCCTCCTCTGTGCCCAGCAGTCCTTCGAGGCAATCCGATTTTTTCGGTGAATTTGGTGGGTGAGCAAGGGGAGGATATTACACTCGAACTAGCCGCTCTGGTGTTACCCCCATAGTCTCTAACATTATGAACTTTTTGTTTAACAAAAGTACTTTTTGCAGAGAGCGAGGATATGTCCAGTGGCGACTTTTCAGAACCCACTACGCCAAACTGTAAGAATTTCCCACAGACCGAAGACGACGAGGTATTTCAACATTATCAACTTCTCGTACTCAAATTAGATTCGGAGCTTAAGCACAAGCAACGCGAGTTAGAGCGTTCCAGCACCAGCAATCGCAGTATGAATCCCCTGTATACCTTTAAGCAATCTCAAAGATATTTCTAACCCATATATAACTCTCCATTTCAGGTATCAAACTGGGCAGTGGGGCAGCTATAGGAGGAACTGGTAGTGGGAAGCGTAGTAGCGAAGAACACTCGCCCACTCAGCTGTTACACAACGAGCTCGTGTCCACCGCCGAGCTAGAGCAAAACCTAACCCCGCAGTTCAAAAAGAAACTAAACAAGTGGCGTGCAAAACAACAGAATTGCGCTGTAGGATCGTATGCCTCTATAGAACCGGCGGCCAGTCCCACCGCTAAGAGCCAAAGTGGCGAGGTAAAGCCCAAGATCGATTGGAACCTCTGGAGTACGGGTCAGGTGAAGTTAGAGGGCCAAGGACTATGTGCTCTGCCCGATCAGAAAGATCTGCCAGAGAAATTCCAAAAAAAGTTGGGTGGGTATATAAATAAATTGATTTACTTAATTCCAAAGTTAATTTATATCATTTCCCCATAGAGCAATGGAACCGGATAAAGTGCACTCCTGGCGGCGGGACCACCTCGGACAACGACTCCTTGAAACGAGGCTCCAAGCACAGTCAGTCCACGAGAAGAGGATCAGACGATGATCGATGGTACAAGCACAGGCCGCACGATAAAGAGAAGTATGTACAAAGGTGAAAAGTATTAAATTTCTCATAATAATCCTTCATTGTCTACCACAGGTTGTCTCGCCTTAAAGCCATTGTAGTACCAGATCACACCAAGAAGATCGAGGTCAAAACTTCGGATGGCGAAGTAATGAAATTCGAGGGCATCTCAAGGAAGTTCACCAGAAAGCTGTACGAGTGGGAGAAATCCAGAGGCATAGGACCCGAGGCCTCGACCTTTGCTCTGCTGCATCCGGGCTATTGTCCCATAGATGTAAGACGGATCAACAAGGAGTGCAATAAAGGTGGGTATGGAATTGCCTGGCGGATCCAAAATTAATCTTTAACATTTTTATAGTGGCAGCGGACCATTCGCCCACACTTAGTCGCTCCCTTTCCCTGGACAGTGTGTCACCCAACTGCAACCTGGCACAGACCATCTCTCAGCAGGCTTCATCCCTCTCCCTAAACGATGTCAACGATCTAAAGGAGATCGAGGACAGTACCGATGCTCTCACAGATCATGAGTTCAAGAAGTACGACGAACCGGAGGCTGTAATGGTTGAAGTGGAAGAACACATCCATGACACTGCTTCGCCGCTGGTCACCGCCCATACGTTGGTGGAGCAGCAGACGCCCATATACAAGTACGAGGAGGTGCAGTGCAACGACTATGTGTAGGTGGCATGTAAAATACCCGAACCTCCGGATATTAATAGTTTCGAATCTCCTTCAGCAACTCACGTCGCGTTCAGAGCTTCGAGTCGCACACGAACCTGGCCCCTTTGCTGGGAGCACTGAAACGTGCCGATGAGTTGTTTAACCAACTGAAAAATGCATCACCCGATTTGCTGGAACACCCGTCGATGCGGGACTGTCAGGCCGCATTGCTGAGCATTCGTAGCATATATCCGTACTACTCCAACAACCTAATGAAGGCGGGCGTGCTTAACGCCATCTCTGATGTCCAGAGCGAACTGGGACGACTTACTGAGCTGGTGGGAAATTCTTTAAATATCTGATATTTACAATTACTTTAAATTAATGCTGGTAACCTTACATTCCAGAGCCAAAAATCACCTTTAGATGAGGCCTGCTGCCAGGAAACCATGCAGGAGCGTACACTGGAGTATCTGGAGGAGCTCCAAGGACTGCATGAATCACTGCAGTGTCTTAAGCTAAGCATTCGTAAGGATTTATTTTACCTATAGCACTTTAAAGTACTAATCTAACTGAAATTTTAGAGGGTGGAACAAATCGATACCCCCGGGACATTGTCCCGGATATTAACATCACCAGCGAGGATGGTCAGCAGTTGGACTCAAGTTCTGCCTATGCCACCTGCGACAATTCCAGTCGAGATCGTTTGGCTCAAGATGACAATAGTGCCAGCGCGGCGTCACCAATGGAGCATGAGACGGAGACCAGCACCACAACGGGCACTTTGTGTCGATCCAGTTTGCCCACCGTGAATGCCAATCCAAGTGCCAATGGCGTTACCAATGGAATTACGAGTGTAAATGCCTGTGCCAAGAAGAAACTATTGCGACTCCGCAAAATGGGTTCACGGCAAAATAGCAAGACGGAGAGCGACAGCAGTGATGCGGATACTCATTCTGTTTTGGAGACCCCTCGAAGATTGCGACGAAAGAATTTCCGACTGAAGCAACGCTCCTTGGATGACGACTTTCGGCTGAGCTCGACGACAAATGAACCAGATTTGGCTACGGCCAGAGAAGAAATTGTGTACGGTTCGCTGAAAGTTAAGCCAGGAGAACTCATTGAGCAGAGTCAATGTGTGGCACCTGCCCCACTCATCCTCATTGCCCCTGATCCATCAGTATCTTCCCGTGAAACCACTCCTCTTACTTCAACCACTCCTTCCTCAACTGTTACTCCGCCCGCTAAACTGGGTGGTTTTATTCCTCCTCCTTTGCCGGAACATAATCGACCATACAATACAAATGCTAATGTATTTGTGAAGACCAAACGAAAACTCTTCACCACCATCCCAGAACCAAGTGCCTCTGACGGCTTAGTTGTGATCGAAAAGGTGCTGGATAGTCCCGCTGAAGAGAGATCGAATAAATTGGATAAATTAGGGAAATCAAGATTCCCTCCTAAGCTCCTCAATATTTATAAATCCATTAGTTTGGAACGCCTAACCCATCCACCCAACAAAGAAGAGCTACGAAAAGTCCAGAGTAGCGAGAACTTCCGGCGCGGATCCCTCTTTGTGCGTCCACCACTTGCCAGTGATAGCATCGAGAGATTGTCTAAGAAACATCATGAGTCAAGTAATCCACCAGTTCCGCCTCGAAAGGCCCACCTCTACAAGAAAAACTCGTTGCACAAATCACACAGTGCCAATGCTAGCAACAAGATTGAGCACAAGATTGCCAAGACCAGCTCTGGACCTAGTTTTTCTAGGGTGCATCCTCCACCGCTTCCGCCTGTTCCTTTAAGCTTACCCAACAAACAGGATAACACTCTGCCACGAATCCAACGGAAACATCCAAATACTCCCACCAAGGCCAAGCAGTTTGAATTCCCGCCACCGCAGATTCTAACGCCAGGGCGTCCGGCTACTCCTCTTTCGGAAAGGGCTATACGTCTTCAATTGGCCAAGGCACAGTTCCTTCAGAGTGCTCCTGTTACTCCCCGCCAAGAACCCCAAACGCCCACTAAACCAACTGAATCTGTGGTGCTCCAGAAGAGCATCAGTGCCGGCAGCATGAGGGGTGGAGGATCAGCTGTCCAGGAGGCAATGCAGCAGCAGCAGCAGCATTATCATGAAGTATCAACGGATCAGGAAAGTGTAGGTAATTCCAGTACGTACGATAGTTTGCCCAGAACCGTCAGCCGAAGTGCGAAGATTTCCAGTAAGCTGGGATTTGCCACGCTCACCTCAAAGTTACGTAGAAGCAACAAGAAGCCCAAGGATCCACCTCCAAGTCCTGGAAGTGCTTTATCCGCCCTTTGTCGTCAAACCCTAATGGCCGATGTTATAGCCATACCACAGGCATATGGGGCGGAGAAGCCACCACCAAGTCCCACGGGACGGAATGTTTCCAAGTCCCAGAGCACGCCACAGGCTGCTGGTCCTTCAACGATCAATTTCGACAGAATAAACAAGTCCCTAAGCGAACAGTATGTTCGTCAGCTCAAGGAGAGCGACGTCTAGTCAGAGTCCCCAGTCTCAAGTCCAGAATCTAGTCATAGGAGTAATCTGTAATGTCGATGTCCGAGATATATGAGTGCATTTTGGGGTAACCCCACTAGTTAGGTAGCACGGTTACCAATATAATTTCAAAAAGATAAACTAATCTTTTCAATTCTTTAAAAATAAAAAAAATAAATGGTAACCGTGTGCAGCCAAAGTAAAGATACTCAACGAGCCATTCAGGAAACGCAATTCGATTGATCAAAAATCCGATGTAAATGGATTTTGTGGTGTATTTGGTGAAATCATTTTGTTTTTATATATGACCATACAAATTTTTTTGAATATATGTAAATTAAAAATTTATATTATTTTTCTTCTGTGCAATAAATTATTGAAAATGTGCGATTACCAATGTAAGATAAGGCCTTGTATGCGAATTGGAAGTTAATAGTAAGTATGAATTGCATAAAAAATTTGTTTAAATAACCTTTAAATAATCTTTTTCAATATCCCAAAATTGTATTACTTTTTTTTTTAAATAAGATTCGTAAGCCATTCATTTTTTTAAACTTCCTTTTAATCAAAACGATCAATGCTAATAGAAACTATTGCTGAGTTAAATATTATCTGGGATCTTATTATCTTGATAAGCCAAAAAAACGCTTATCAATTCGGTGGAATTTCCGTATGCTTATCTGTGATCCTCATAGTCGTCCAGTTCCGGGTAATCCTCATCATCGTCATCATCATCCACCACGTTTTCATGGGGTATCTCTGGAGGTTCAGCACCCGTGTTCCAGTAGCGATCTTCTTCCGGATGTGTGAACTCGTAGTCTGGTTTATCAGGATTCACGTAGGTTATGCATGTGGTCAGGTTCTGTACCGTTTCCAACATTTGGGGAATGCTGTTAACGAATACCACGCCGCATTCCGCGGATTGAACAGCTTCTCCTGGCAGTTGGTTGTTAATTTTGCCGTAAACATCGATTCCAACGGCGATAATATCATGAACACGTCGGATTGCACTGAGGGCATTCACTGTACCCGAAAGGATTTTTCCCACAGTTGTTTGTTTGGCTGCGATCTTCTTGTATATCTTCACCAGGCTGCTAATATTACTTTTAATCTCTTTGACGGCGGCCACCGTTTCATTCTGTATGCGCATGACCAAGGCCATGGTGCGGGAATAGCAATCAACGCCATTATTAATGGCCTGCAGGGATATTTGGAAATCCGGAACTAGGGAGTAGCTGCAGTAGGCAGCCTGACTTCCACGGCCCCAGTAGTTCCACATGTATCCCAATCCGGCAATGGCAGCCGTCACAATCTTTGGCTTATTAAGCTTGAGCAAATTAGTTTCCAATTGAATGGCCCTTTCCACCATGTCGTCAATTCCGAACTGGGCTTCATCAATCACATCCTGTATTATGTCCCTGAGATCCTCGAATTCCGCCCTCTGATCTGGGCTGAGATCGGGACTGGGTTCTCCCATGATCTCCTCAACGGTGGGCAGTTTGGTATCATAAACGAAGCGAGGTTTCTCATCCAGGTAAATGGCATACTTGGTGCGAATGTCCTCAAAGGCCTGCAGGTAATTGCCATCCAATTCTTGCTCCTCAACGGGATTCTGGTCACTTCCATCACCGCTCTGGAGCTTCAGACTGTACAAATAGTCATATTGTGCCTGGAATTCAAGGTATAATGGTCGCAGTGCCGCAACTTCATCGCTGGACAACTGCAAGTCCACCTGCTGCTGCTGCAGTAGATTCTCCAGTTCCTGGTGGGCACCACCAAAAGCAAAGAGCAGCACACAGGCCAGCAGTAGCAAAGTTTTTCCAACCATTTTACCCGGCCAACTGTTTTAGTGCAACTGAGGAGGGATTTTGACCAGCTCGATTATCGGAAGAAGTATAGCTCGTAAAACACTATCGCTGATACCACACTTGGATTTCCTTAAGTGGCCACGAGTTGATATGGGTGCGATAATCTTGGCTTATCGTTAATATTACGCTATATTTAACAATCCACGGGGCAATGTATCGGTAAACAAATTAAAACTTTTTGGAGCTTTTTATGAATGGTGTAGCAAAAGGGGAAGGGTACATAATATTTGGAAAAAACGATAAAGATTAATCAAATCACAATTAATTTGATGATTTCCAAAGCCTAATCAAAGATCAAACCTATCTTTGCATTTCACTTTATTTTCACCCCTTACTTATTTGCACACAACTCAATCTGAGCAAAGACATCATCGAACTCCATTTTTAGATGATGGTAGAAAAGGCAGCTTGGTGTGTCCAGATCCTCCATGGTCATCTCCAGGAGAATGTCATCGCAGAGCTCCAAGCAACCAGTCATTCGTTGATTGATCCTTCCTATTCCGGCCACAGTGCAGTACAAGACACCGGCGTGGTTAAAACCTGGCTGCTTTAGTTGCCAAGTCCTGCAGATTTTTGACAAGCCAGAAATCTCTAGCGAAGCCTTACGAAGGAAATCGGCTTCCAGTACGATTTCTTGCTGGAAATGGTCCATTATGTGATCCAGGGAATTCCTGCAGATACTGTACTTGTCCACCAGCTCCCGATTGAAGTGTGCCACCTGGAGTTCGTATTTCTTAGAGCAGGTTCGCCACTCGGCGCTGTACTGACTTCCAAAAAATAGCTCCAGGCGGGCACTCACCTTTCGCTGATCTTCATCCAGTTTGTCCTTGGCTACCTGCAGTCGCTCGGATCGTTCGAAGATCGCCTGTTGGGTATCGTTCCAGATTCTGGCTGCATTGAGGCTTTGACTAGCTATGAGCTGCTTTGTGGACTCATAGAGTGGTCCATTTTGACCCCAAATTCTTTGGATTTGGCCTTGCACCTGTAACATCTAAAGGGATTTTATGGTTTAATAATATTATTTGACATATATCCAAGCTATTGCTTACGCAAAGAAGCGACACCAGTAGCAGCCATGAAACCCGTTCCATTCTCATCTTGAAACGAAATCAAATTGATTCCCAAAAAATATTTATCTCGTATCTCACATAAAACTTTGTTTATTTATAGATCAGGAAAGGGTAAAATAGATATATAGAACGACTTGAAAGATAAGAGACTTTTAAAATTCATTTCAAAAAATATTTATTATTTATTTTTTGTTACACTTCTTTTTTGAACTATATAAGATTCCAACTTTTTAGTGATTAAAAATAAAATTTTAAACTAATTTTAAATTTAGGTAAAGGTATATTATGTAGCAAGTGAAATTTAAAGGGTAAAAAATGCCGAGCGTTCGGGAAAACTATATTGTTTTTACTTCAATCATCAGACTTTCATCAGACCAAATGGAAAATATGTGTTTTATCATATTTATATGGAGGAACCGAAGCATAATATACAATCTAAATGTTATTGTATTTACCTTTATTTCCAAGTTAGTCAAGAATCTAGCTTTAATCCTAAAAATCGGTTAAAACAATATTTAAAAATATTTTTCCTTAGTGGTCAATGACCTGGCCAGCGTAAAGAAAAAGTACAGCTCTCAGTGCCGGATGTTTTTCCTTAGGATTTCGTAAATATTTAGTGAGTGAAACTTTTGATTCAATAAAATCGTTTGTTAAAGAAAATCTTTAAGTTTAATATAATTTGTTTACCCTGAAATTTGGACCATTAAAAATAAATGATAAATAACATACATTGAAAGCGTATCGGGGCGTTGCCGTGCAAGAAGTACGAGAGTTTAGATCGAAATTCACTTCTCATCAGGTTAATGGGCAATTTGTGTTCTGTAAGGTGATATTGAAGGGGCAAGTTGTTATCGCCACTCTCTGTGAATCTATTCACTATATATACCAAGTCGTCTTGAGTGCTGTTTGCAAAACAGATACTAACAGTAACATGATGAGTCAAAGTATTGGAGTAGCTGTACTGGTTTGGTTAACTTTAGCAGTGAGTAATGCACTTGAGTTGTGGAAATATTCCTGGATGCATTCTATTCCCTTTGCAGAACTGCCAAGTTATCCGTTATGAAACTGAGGTAAAGACAGATACCACTAACTACGGACCCGTTACCATGGTGGTAAATAATCTGGCGGATATTGCCGTTGATGTAAGCGACGACACCACCGTTCAATTGGAGGGCAAAATAAATCGCACTCAGCAGGATATCGCCGGAGATATTGAGGTTCTCACCGCCAATGCATTGTCCCAGTTAAGTGACGCAATCTACGAGACCAACGAGCTACTTGTGGTCAATCCTGACTGCAATCCGGCTTGGAGCTTGGATGAACTTAATGAGAATGTAACCTACCAACTAGGTGGTTGCACTAGTGGCTTAGGAAATCTCTTGGATAACTTCCGTTTGGAGGGCCAACAGGCATTATCCAGAGTCCAGGGATTTGTTCAGCAGATTTCAGAGTTGCCTGCCAAGTGTCAGATGTTGGGGTCTTCTGCTCTTAATCCTCTGGCTACAGCAGGCGGAAGTGTTTGCTTTATCAATGCCATGGCTGAGATCAACCTGGGTATGGCCCAATCTCTGCATAATGCCTCCCTGCTCCTGGTGCAAACACATCAGGCCACCGAACAGCAAGTGGATCAGGCTCAGCGGTGTACTGCCTTCGTAGTGCAGCAGATCGGCGACTATTTGCGAGAGGAGCGGGATCAATGCCAACTGTGAACCCTTTCTTTTAGCCATAGTCCTAAGTCCAGGCAAATACAGCCAATGGCAAATTTATGCACCCACAAGATGACAAAGGCCGAGGACTCGCCACATCCTGTCGACTTATTCCTTATGCATGACATTTATTTGACAAGTTTTTGATTGATTTTACAGCTGCTGCAGTCGATCTGGTGCAGCTATCTGCATACTCGTAGGTACAGTAAAAACTCCCAAGAACTAATACAAAAATATAAATTAAGTTTTAAAAATTTTGTAATTTCTAAATCTTAGGCCACATTTTTGAATGATTTACATATCGAGTTGGCAAGTTAAAAAGTATTATATTTTATCCATTCCCAATTCCTTAGTTTCCTCAATTTGTTTCGATTTAGAGAGCTACTCCTGTAAATGCATAATTCGGGCAACTTTGTGGCTAATCGCAAGTTCACTTTTCAAAGTCGCATGCATACTAATTGGCCATTGTTCCTCTGAACTGACCAATTGCCCAATGGACTTGCCCACGACACGTGGCAGCCACACGATATAATATATAGTAGCATACGGATCCGAATGGGCGACAGCTGGCCCTAGAAAGAGATAGAGATGGCGATCGAGATCGGCCAGTTATTTTCCTGTTCCTCTCGCTTCCGCAGTAAGCCAAATTATTTTGACCTGCCCTGGACACACTGAGCGGAATTTCGGGGCAACTATTTGGAAGATACATACTTCTGCACACACCATTAAAGATCTCTCTCGTTGTTTACGGTGCAGCAAGGAAAATGTCTACGACTCTTTATTTCGGCTCTTGCCGCAATTTCACTAAGCGTCTGAATTTTATCTTATTTTTACTGCTTGTAACAGTTGTGGCTCTGACGATGATCGCCGTGCTGTTGTTGCTGCACAAATTCCACCTACTCCAACATCTGTCGAGCACTTTCAGACATCTGACGGATTTTGGTGACGGTGAGCGCGCGACTCTTGTCTATTGGAACCCGAAATGCGAGAGTAACTAAGAGTGATTAAGAAATTCGAAAGAACTATAGCTTTAATAGAAATCACTTTATTAAGGTACTCGTGGTGCTTTGTATAAAATTGTCATTTGTATGAATGGGTATAGTGTTGGTTATTTAAGAATGGTCATTCCCAATGTTTTTGTAACATACGTCTTTGTCGTATTAAGTGCAACAATTTTGGCCTCTTTGTTCATATATATTTGTTCAATTACATTTTTTCCACGGATTTTCTTCATTTTGCTTACAGCCTTAACCACTTGCTCAAACAGCCTTTGTTTCTGCTTTTCCGACAAATCATTCAGAATTACTTCACTTAGATTCCTAAAGTTTCCTGGACCTGTAAAGGAGAAATATATATAAGATGTTTCAGGATAAAGAAAAACTTACTTCTGGAAATTGTGTAAGACAAAATGCCTGCTGCGGCCCCGCCAACTATTACACCCAATGGACCTGCCACCAGTAGCCCAATAATTGAACCAGCACCACCAATGGCAACACTACCGATAGCTCCTGTGGTCGACTTTTTGTAAGCTACTCGGACATTTTCATCATCAGCCAGTGAGACTAGAATTGTAAGTAGATCCATTTTGTGTGTCCATACGAGTGTGTAAAAGTTTCAGTCCTCAAAGATTCAGGTCTAAGCAGCAACTGAGTATGAATTTGCACTGCAATTTATATCATAGTAAAGCTAAAACTTATATTGCTGTAATCAACAAAAACCAACTAGATAAGAAAATGTAATCTATATCACCTTTTTTTGCCTAAACCAATTTCTGTCCAATGAAAACGCATTCTTTGGCAAACCACCAAGCAATATCAATGCATTTCTATATTAATCACTTTCATGCAAGACGACAGCTTTTAAAAACAGATTGATAAGCCACTTAAGACCGGATGTTATTGCCGTTACTCGGAAAGAAAGGGTATATAGGTGCATTGGGCTATTAAAACTGATAAAAAATATTTTACGAATACGAATACAATATTCCCCTTTACTTACGAGAAAGCAGTACAAATTATATTTGCATTAAAATTAAGTAATATTTGTCTGTGCGGTGAGAGCAAGTATAACTATTAAATTCCCAATCAGTTTTGATACATAACAGCCATCAAGCATTGCAACTTTTATTTTTTGTTATAAATTTATATTTAAGTACATTGATTTAAATCGAAACGCCGAAAATGTGACAACCATAACCCTGTAGATTAAAATAATAAAGAAAAGTTATTTTTGATCTTTTACTGAATACAGGATTATATTGGCAGATGACTAATCTATAATAGTCATTTCCATGCGGTCAGTAAAAAAAGACTTCAGAGCGTTAAGTGCAACTTCTTGAACCTCCTTGTTATTTAATATAAGTTTTGCGACCTCTAAACCATTGACAGCACAGATTTTGGATATAGCCTTCCTCACATGGTTTTGTAGTTCTCGACGCTCATCTTCAGACATATCATACGAAATGACCTCACTTATTGATTTGAATTTTCCTGGAATTAAAAGGTCGATATGCACAATTTTCAGTCTATTTCAATACAAACTTACCATCCGTAAGACCATAAGCTGCAGCTCCACCAAGGGCACCGCCGATAGCCAGCCCACGGGGGCCCATTAGTAAGCCACCAATCAAGGCGCTGGCTGCACAAATGGCAGCACCTTTGGCGGACTCAGTAAATGTCACCTGGATTTTTTTATTGTCGGCCAATATGATTAGGGCACTAAGTACGTCGTTTTCGTATCCGCTCATATTTTCTAGCTAATTTTTAAAATTATATTCTTTCACGGTTCAGAACTTTCTAGCAACTGATCACGAGTACGCCACTCCAACTCCTTATCAATGGTCCAAAAAACCACCCAATGTGGAGGAGAGCTGCTCGATGGCAGCCACGTATTAATCGTTTTAGTTATCGATGTATTACCCAGTGTTAAAACTTGCATGTGTAGCTTGGAAGCTTTCGTATATTTGTAAGATTACCTCATACTAGAACCATTTAGCCAAAAGTATACAAACAATACATACATAAACAGATCTTAGTGATATGGATTGTAATTTATTGAAACCAAATTGATTGTTTTAATTAATAAGCAATGTTTAAACCCAAATTCTTCGTTAAAAATTCTACCAGCGCCTTTAGTGCGACAATTTGCACCTTATAATCTTTTGTGAAACACTCCACGGCATCTTTAGCGACATCAACTGCGTCTAATATAGCTCTCTTCACAAAGTCAAACAGTTGTTCCAATATTATCATAGACAAGTTTAGAATCGTTTCACACACCCAGTTGAAAATTCCTGTAATTTAAGCAAAGTTATGATATTATGTAAACACTTGTGAAACGAGAATGGGGTACTCACCTTCTGTATCGTTTTCGTAGGGATCTTCAATATCGTCATTGTCTTCCATAACCTCCTCCCTATCTAAAGTCATTTAATGGAAAATTTGGATAATAATTGGAAATTTGAAGACTAAGTATGAGCAACTTACCTTCTGGATCGCAATCCCTAATGGCTGCAAGTTTTTTCTTCTTTCTTCGCACCATTTTAAGCAGGGTACTAAGAATAGTTTCCAAGTCGAATTTCATCTCTCAAGAGTTTTTTAACTTGTTGCAACTGCCTTTGTCTTCTCTGATGCACTGATATTGCTTTTCCAGGTATAAAGTAGTCGCGCCCTCGTTACTACTATCTATATCAAATATAGATTACATACTGTTAGTACGATGAGACTGGTTCGCGATTCCAGTACAATACACTATTTTTGCCCTATTTAAAAGCCTGAAAAAATACAGAAATCTAAAATGAGAAATTGGACCCTGTAAAAATAACTAAAAACCTAAAAATTTACCTGATAAAAGCAGACCACAGATGAAGAATCCTTATTTTATTTCTTCTGTAATAATTATTTATATAAAGTTATATTAATTATTAACTTATTAATTAAATTATTATATAAACTCTTTGGTTTTTGTTAGAGGGACTACGAAAAATATTATAAATTAGTTAATATTTCGTGGTTTGTAGTCGGCTATTAAATATTAATTTGAATTTAATGGCCTTCACCTTGAGACATATTGGCACATGCTATTCTGTCATGGATACAAGTCGGAGGATCTACATATCAAAGGGCCAGCGCCTTCAAAATTTGGCTTACGTGTCTAGAAGGCGTTTAAGAATCGCTGCCGGATTGTCTTTAATTGTGATTGATGCGGCTTTAATTGCGTGGGCTCCCAAGTGCTACTGCCGAACTTTCGTATAACTGTAACTAGACCTTATGTCGGCCGAAAACCAAAGATGAATCGGTCCTAGCCCTCGGGTTATCTAGCAGTTGACTACTACTAAGTATAATTCTTGAGGATCTCCAGGCTTCCGCCAGCGACCAACTGGCGCATCTTGCAAACACAATAAGGAATAATCGTTATTGTTATGTATTTGCTGTCTGCAGGACGAGCCGCGTGGCGTGCGAGTGAAAGCCAGCGAAAAGGATCCATTTCTGGGACATTGGCAAGAGCGGGATAGAGCCAAGGCGCAACATATGCCATCTTGTGGCGATCCTCCTTCCGAAGGATCTCTCGCCCCGTCCCTTTCTATCTTCGTCTTTGGAACAGAACAAACGGACGGCGCACGCCGTCATCTGGTGCCACTTTTGACTTCGGAAATTGGGTTGCCCACGCTCCTTCGCATTATCACTGAACAAAATTTGAAACATATTTAGAAAAGTATTTGATTACATATTACTAAGCATTCGTAAAAATTTGTAAAGAAAACTTCAACAATATTTTTAGCAATTTAAAGTTGAAAGAGATGTGTGAAAATCATATATTTCTGGTTTAAGAGATAAAAGGTAGCTCCATCGGAGAGATATCTGTGTTTAAAAACAATCATATGATATTTTTAAAACTGTTTATTTGCTGATAGTAACTCTTTTTCTTCAAGTGCCTGGACCGTTTCACCGCTCAGCTGAAATTATACTTTTTGTAGCTGTTTCGTTTACGGTTGGGTTTTTCTTCCCTCTACCGGGGCAGACAATTTCAAGGAAGCAGGAGCACTCGTCCAACAGTTACTGTTGACTTCCGATCGGCGCACGAGTGCAGGCAGAGCGGGGAAACCGAACTCGAACCCGAAGAGTAACAGCAGGATGAGCGGCTTTAAGGACTCGGCCAGTGAGCCCCAAAAAGGAACTGGAAAGGGTTGCTCCTGGGGAATGGGAAGAGAGTAATGGGCAATGTGTATTGGGTATTGGAATTGGGGAAGGTGTGAGACCGACAAGGATGCACAGACATTCGGGGCTCGACTTACAAATCCAAAATGAGCCCCGAAATCGCGCGCATGCCTGCCAAATGAACACGTGTGCCGCAGGATCAGGCCAAAATATCGAAGCGTCAGCTGGCCAACTCCAAAAGATGCCCGCCACAATAATTGGTTTGCCTATGAAGATGCTAGAAAACTCTAAAAATCTTAAGGGTTGAGGAAACTGGAAAATCGATATCTTTAAAATCTTTGTATCAAAAAATGTGTTTATTTAAATTCGTTAATTGAAAATAACAAAGCTTAATCTTAACTATATTTAAATAAGTAGTTCCTTTTAAAATTCTTAAGCTTTCAAAAACAATTTGACTTCCACCATTACATATTTTTCAAACTCACTTTTATTTTTTGAATGGTCAAAAGAAATATAATAAATAACAAATTGTCCAAATGAATCTTTTATAATAAATCGCTGCGATGAGCAAATTATCCACCAGCCAGGCGTATAAAATTCCCAAATCGTTTAACAAACGACCATAAACAAAACCAAATCAAAGGCAACGAAAACAAAAAAGTTCATTTACATTAAACCCCAATATCGGACAGATCGGGTATAAGCAAGGGGCCCCTGCATACAGGAATAAATAATGAACTTTGCCAAGGAGACAAATGTATAATTTTACAGATCGCGCAATTCAATTAGAGGAATCGCCGCAAAGCCACTGGCTAACAAAAAAAATTAAGCAATAAAATTAGTTGTGGTTCACGCAAATTCAATGCATCAAAAGGACTCACAAGGACATGCCGCAGCTCGCCAGGAGCCCCAGAAATAGAGCAATAGCAATGAATCAGAACGACGAAGGGCCATAAAATGCCCATTGGCATTCCTAGTAGTTTTCGTTTTCGTTTTCGATTTCGTGTCATAATGTGTTGTAAGTAGGGGCCTTTGTTTCACAAAGGACCTCGCCATTGTTCCATTGTCCGCTCAAGGACCTGTCCTGAGAACACCCGCACGGTTCTCAGCATCCAAAGAGTTTTCCTTTCATGGGCTGCTGTGTCAGTTGCGACCACAATTTGACTCTCTGACCACCAACATAAAATGTTGACAGGCGGAACACGCCTCTAAAATATTATGCGAACCAAGTCCTGTGGGGTCCAGCGAGTATCCTTTGCCAGTTTCCAGATTCCCTCATCCTTTTTCTTTGCCTAGGCTGGACCTCGGGGCAAATCAATTGATTGCCCACTGACAGTTATGAGCTGATCATATTGCTATCTTGATCGGCGCTTAGCTGCCAGGAATTTATTGTTATTGACATTTTAGTTGGGTGGAATCACACGGATTATATCTGCTAATTGCACTCGGACAAGATCCTTTAGATCCCTTAGATGTTTGGCGGCCAGTAGCGGTGCCCCTTGATCTGACAGATTTTATTAGCAATCGCTCAAAGTTATGGTTATTCTTAGAAAATATAACTCTAGGAACAGATTGGATGTGAATTGCCGATTATACAAATTAAGCAAATATATGACCAATTTTGAACAGAAGCTACTAAAAGAAACTTCAAGTCCTTTTTATCCTAAGCTCAGCTCATTCCCGATATCGGATTCAAGAAGCCCCACTTTCACGACCGCTTAAACACAAATCGGCTGGAAAATCACGGCTTGTCCAGCGCAAAGCCATCTCACCCCTTGCCGCAGGTGATAAAATTTCGCACATTAATACTTAATTACTTGAATAATTGGGGCCAAGGGATTAAGTTCACACTCACTCCAAGGCGCGACAGTCCCCTCCAAAAAAAAAACCCGCAGAGTCGGAGGCCAATCAATGCAGGTGGCAGTTCAGCCCCAGCTCCTGAACCAAAGGCACAGCCAATAATCAATAAAAAAAGGAGCCAAAAAAGTTGGACCAGAGATGAAGTGATGCCAACGCCACCGACGTCGTTGACATTAAATTGAAGGGTCCTGCCGAAAATGTGGTTCTTGTTGCTGTCTACTGAGCTCGGCTCAGGCACTAAGTATGGACGCACCCTGAACGCATTTTTCACACGAAATCCTGATTAATAAATATACAAGTTCCAAAATATTACTGATAATTTGAAAAGTCGTCAACCCGAGCCCAGGCTTTTGGATCCGAGGTGCGCAGAGAGTCAGGGAGAAGATTTCATGTGGAGTCTGGGCGAGACTTCGGTGCCCAATTACAAGCAAATGAGCTGGAAAACTGTATCAAATGACCCAATGTCAATACAAAATTACAGGCTCCTACGGGACAGGAATCTTTTGTTCGGCCAAAAAAGGCCAAAACGCAGACCAGACCAAATCTTCAGACTCTCCTCTTAACGTGACAAAGCGATGGCTTGCGTGTGGCAATTTCAGTTAAAAAATGCTAACCAAAAGCTTTTCGTATAGCCAAAATATGGGATGCTCTACCTCGAATAGGCTACCAGAGAAAATGACATAAAAACTTGGGATGAATTCGTTTTTCCCATTCCTTTGGCTATTAAGTTATTCTATAAGGTAAATACCTTTAATTATGATTTCAAGCAGTAGTACCCGCTACTTTATTAAGTGTAGAGTATAACAAATTCGGCTTTTTAGATGTTGTTTCTACCTCGGCTTGGTAGCATCTTAAAATTGTTGCCTTGTGTTAATTTGATGCCTCGCCAAAAAGTTGTCAAAAAATCCAGAAAGACTTTGATTTTTGATGCACTTTCACTGTCGATCTTCGATCACCGTTGGCTGCAGCGTGAGATACTGAGAACTTTGGGTCTTTGGGATGAAATGCCCACCTACTTGGTGGGTCTCTGAGGTCTGGGGTCTGGAAACCGAAAGTCAGTCAAGTGTGCCGTGCCGATCGTCTGTGTGGCTAATTGAGTTACCCACAGATTTTTGGGCCGTTGTCCGTTGGCCGTGCGAATTATTTGTCAAATGGGTAACGGTTAAGTTTGTTACTGCTCCCGATGAGGAGGACGATGATAATGATGATCAGTATTGGTAATCGGTAATCGGAGCCCTGGGTTCGTCGTTGATTGATGGTAGAAGATGCGTTGCGAATCGTTTGACTAATTGCCGCTCTTGTGGGCCAAAACTTCCCTAAACAAACGGTGACCTTTAATAGAGTCCTTCCTCCTTAGCCCTTCCTTTCTGTTTTCTTTTTTTTTGGCCAGGTATTCTTTCTCCTTTCCCCGCGGACCTCACACAATGCCAGTTAATGGGCTGGGAAAGGATACTACAAAAGAAAAGGGGGCGCGGCTGGCGTGATTTGGTGTCGCTAATTACAGACTTTGGCATTTTACGCTGTCCGTTTTATGACTTAATAATTGCATTCATTTGGCCCTTGGACTTTGAGTTTGGCCAAAACCGATCGGTTGCCGTTGCCCACACACAAACTCACTAATTTCGCTGCACACGCGACTTGGGTGAAAGACCAGGCATAAATCACTAAATCCTTGGGTTTTCGGACCTCAATTCCGGCATTTTCGATAGCAAAGGTTGCGCAACAATTAAAGGATCAGCGCAAAATTTTCACACAACAATGCCAAAACAAATCGGCGGAAACGGAAACTGCACTTGAGAATAGGAAAATAAAAGATACAAAGTAATGCTTGTGGTTAGACCTTTCCAAAATGAGGGAAATTGTACCCAAAAAGGCATGAGAAAATCTCTTAAAAAAAAAAAAATAAAAAAAGGGAATAGAAAAATTGAATAGAAAAATTTTAGAACTTACAAAAACCGCAATTATAAAAATGTGCAGAGGGTAATTGAATCTTACAGGATACAATGGTTTACCAGAGCTACCTGTTGCCTCAAGTGTTTATACGGCTAGATTTGAAGAGCAACTTTCAAATTCATTTTACATTTCATAATGGCTACTTAGCCATTAGCAGCACAAGCTGCTCAAGTCCTTGAACTGCCTTAAAGACCAATTCAGTTGGCAATCAATGAACTCGAGCCCAAAAAACCATACGATAGTCCATTCAGATCCTGCCCCATGGCGACACTAACAAGAAGTGACAAATTGATGGTGTTAAAGCTCATTAAGTTACTTAACGCAGATGTAGATACAGATACAGATGCTGATGCTGATGCAGCTACATGCCCTTTAACTACTTAAGCTTCGGATACAAAAAAGTAAGCAACCTCAAAAACCTCAAAATAAAGCTCGCCAATTATCGACATGACAAATTTCAGGGCATTCGGTTCCCCTTGTCCGAAGTTAAGAAAAACCCACAAAATATGCAACCCCAGAACGGACATCGAATGCATAATAATACGTGTTAATAATGCTCAGGCAAGCTGTCTATAAATTGACAAAGACATGCAAGTTGCTGCCGCTGCTGCTGCTGCTCCTCCTGTTTTCAATGTTGCTTCTGGGTCCTCCTGTTGCTGCTGTGTCGGCGGCATTGCCAAAAGCCAAAGGCCAAAGAGCCGAAAGCTGAAAACTGAAAACTGAAAGCCAAAACTCGACTGGGGTCCAGTTTGCCATTCATGAATTCTAACTAATTGTATTGGCAGGCAGTTGCATTTTGGAAGCTGGATCTGGATTCAACTCCGAATCTGTGCAGCTGCATGCAGGTGGTAGCTGTGGTAGCTGCTACTCGGGAATAACGACCGATATTGGCAGGAAGAGACCCCAGTGTCCGGATCGCACCCTTTTGTTGTTTCGGGGGACCAAGACTGGGATCCCAATCCGAAGCGAACAATTTGTGTAATTGACAAATTGACGGCAGCGCTTTGTGCGGAAGCGTTCAAAGCCGTAAATTGTCGCTAACAAGAGCGACACTCCAGGGATATCGGCAGGATATCGCTTTTATGCCTCGTATTCCCGCATATACAAATATAATTGCCTGAAGGATCGCCTGAAGAAAAAAAAAATACAGAAAACAGAGACGCCCGCACCTCGCGACCACTAAATTAAGTCATTAACAATTTAACGAAACCCTGTCGATGCCGCTTTGCCGCGTAACTAATTATGTGAATTTCCTTTTGATTATGAGTCCCGAAATCCGTGCAGCTTTTGCGGCGACGCCCGAAAATGATTTTATAAAACAAACAGAAACAGCCCACGAAATCCGGTCGCTACCACGCCCCCTCCCTCCAAAGCTGCCACCAAGCGCTCCAATTCCCATGCGGGAGTCGATCGTCAGCAGTCGTCAGTCGCTGTCGCTATCAACAAATTGGCTTCGAATCTTCCGAATGATTGACTGACTGACTGAGCCGGGGATCTGCTTGGCTTTCTGCTGAATGAAAACTTACACTGATAAAAATGAATATACAATCTGGTAGGAACAGGAAGAGGTAGCAATGCTAACTGATATAAACAGGTATTATTAATAAGACTAAAACGCAATTGGAAATGCAATCCTTATTTCTTATGATAATTTTCCTTAACGGGAGTTCCAAACTTAGTATTAAATCTTTCATTAAATCAATATTAACTGTTTTTAGGTAACATATTTATTGGAATACAATTGACTTCTTCTTTTTTCTGAGTGCAAGTTTCGGCTTAAAGTCTTAAGCCGCTGAGGTTATCCACCAACAACGATCGAGGATCGAACTTCGTCTTAAACGATTTGTGAGTGGCGCTTGATTTTCGGGACTCAACTTGGACCTGGACTTCGACTTGGACATAAAGTTGAAAAGGTTTCAGAAACAGGGACGGACATTGCATGCGACCTGCGACTGCTGAAAGCAGATCAGCCCAACACTTAACTTAATTTGGCAGCTACACTCCGGCGCGCCGTGCCGTGTAATTATTGGCACAATACAGCTTTTTGGGGATCGCTGGTCGTTCGCTGCGTATTTGTTTTGGCCAGATCGCGGAGCAGGCCCTAATTTTGTCGAACTGTCTACAAATTGATCGCGAAGCGCCAAATCGATCACCTTTCCCCATATAATAAAGTCCAATTCACTGGGCGCGAGACGCTAAACCCTCGAAAACTGTGTGAGAATTGATGCCCCGCCGATAAGTGTGGATGCTGAGGGGTAAAGGAAGCAAAACCGTTCAGAGATAAAAAGATTTGCGATGGCTTATTTAACTGGATACCATAATGGTTTTCTTTTTTTGGATTTTGGTTTCATATATATATTTTTTTAGGCCTAGAAAAGATTACTTTTTAAAAATAAAGTTTTAAACATTTTTACAGCATTTCGGTTGTAAATATAGATCTTAGCTATTGGTCTTGATTCAGATCCAAATTGGTTACTGGTACCAGGATATGCAAAGAATATAATAAGACCTTGTTTTATAGTTTTCTTTCAAACTAAATGGAAAGCGGAAATTATTTGCCAATATCTGTAAATTTGTCTGTGAGTCCAATTAAATAAGTAACCAAAAAATGATTTAAGTTATTAATAATTTTATTTTGTCTTCCTTAGTCTAATCATTGTCTTCCATTTAAGCTAATTAACTAAACAATAAACAGCATAATACTTAAGCGGTAATTCACTACTGGGCTCCTGGCTATATATATACATGGTAGGTACAACATTTGGCAAGCTCCAACAATAACTGAGAATAGTACTTAGGATCGGGATTCTAGCGCAGAAGATCTCCCAAGGCGGAGATGTAGGTCTGGGCCATCTGAAGGGTCTCGTGCTTAGATAACTGGCGATCGTTTCCCAGGCAGGGAAGATACTGACGGAGACGATCGAAGGCCTGGTTAAGATTCTGCATCCGGCGGCGTTCACGGGCATTGGCGGCCAGACGGCGCTTCCTCTTCACCACGGGCGTAATCTGCTTGCCACGCCTCTTCTTTCCAGAACCTCCGGCAGCGGCATCCTGATTCTCACCATCAGCCAAATCGAAGGAACCGTCATTGCCCTCGAAGTCCTCGCCGCCACTGAAGAGCATGAGGTCCTCGTCATCTTCCACACTGTCATCAAACAAGGCGGAGTTGTCAAAGTCAAAGTTCTGGAACTCCTCTGTGTACAGATTTACTGGAGCAGCTGGTTCCTGAGTTGAGATCGATGAGGAAGTGCCAGTGGTAGTCGGTTGATTCTTCTTGGTATAGGTGCGCTTGGTTTTTGGAGCTGCAGGTGCTGGCACGGTTTTGCAAGTGCCTACGTTGGAGGAGCCCATGATCTCAACTGCCGGAGGAGAAGCAACTGGAATAGCAGGAGCGGCTGGAACTACAGCCTGTTCCATTACCATTCCATATTGCTGGTTCTGGGTCATGTTGCAGCCGCCGTTGTTGTACATGGTATTGAGATCCACATACTCGGGACTCTCGGAACGGTGGCTGGCCGGCGAGGAGGAGATCCAGCCATCGGAACTGGCCTGCTCGAAACTGATGAACCCATTGGTCGACAAATAGTTGCTGCTGCTGGCCAAGGTGTTGCCATTGAATTGATAATGGGTTACGCCGGGATTATAGGCGGCCATGGGATTGAAGTGAGACTCGGTGGCGGCTGTCTTGAAGCCCTGCAAGTCCTCCGACGTCTTGTAGTAGTAGCGATAGATCTCACTGGACGACATGTTGCTGCTGTATAGTACGATGTTGCTGGTGGTTAAACGATACGAACGCTGCGATTGCTGGCGGGTTTCTGACTGGTCTCTCGTCCTTTCGGCCCTATTTATACACCAGCGAACCCACCACAACGACCAGAAGGGCACGATAGGCAGGTAGGGCACAGGTAAACGAGTTGCCAGCAGAGACAGCACGTGCCGCCCGAGCTGTACGGCCAATGGCAAACGGTGGTGAGTTGCCAATGAAACTCTCTCTGAGACTTAGTTTACCTTAGTTTGTTCGGAGCTTAAAATGGCGCTAGAAAACGGACTATCGGGGCATCTAAAGCCGCTAACAAGATGATTATAAGGTGGTCGGGACAACCGGAACAAGAATATGGGCGGAAATGCAAACAGAACTTGGACAAACAATCGAATCCCTAAACGGGATTAAAGTCGACCGCAAAGTGAGGCGAAATTTGCAAAAATCCCTCAACGATTTGTCAGCACCAAATGGCAGAGTGGGCATTTATGAGTTTATCTAATCTGAATCGGTTAGAAGTATATACTACCTGACCCTGACCAGAGAAATCCTTACAAATTTACCGCCGCCGGGTCATTCGACATGCTGACCTAAGATCGGGGGCGGAATATCGCAATGAAAAATCTTGTTTATTACAACTTGGCAAATTCTCCAATTGATACGCTTGTTGCCGGGACCTTGAAGAGGGTACATAGCGCCGGCAATCCAAGGACACGCAAGACTGACCTTCACCTCGCCTAATAAGCGTGGCAGACACTAACTAAGAGTTGGGTTAACATTTTAGCGCCTCGCAATTAAAACGGTGGTGGTGGATTCAATCATGAGCAGGGAATTTAGTTGTAGATCCCAAGATGACACAGCGAAACGAAGCGTCCACGGTGGTCTTCAGATCCCTCGTAACGCCCCTTGATCCCCTAATGATTCGCTGGAAATCATAATGCAATGAATTCACGTACACCCATTTGTAGGAGTATCCTTGTATCTTTGAAGTTCCGCGGCCACCCATAACTGGTATAACAAGTAGCACGCCCCAAGGATCTGATCGTTTTTTGCGCCGGGCAATAAAAACGCTGTCAATTAGATAAAAATGTCACACAACAAACCGCACCAAGAGCGGCACCACGAATTTATTGGACGCACACAGGTATGTTTGACCTTTTGTCCACCCCTGAGAGAGTCCTCGAATGTCCTGAAAGTCCCTCGATGTCCTGTGCAATTTACGAGCCAGTTGCCGCAACTGACAGTTGTGCAAGTGACGCCCTCGGTTACACCTGCAATACTCGCATCGAGTATACGAGTATGTATGCCATATCCCTCGGATCGTATCTTCGCTGTAAAGTTTACGCTTATCGACATTAGCCGATGTCAAGGCATCCGCTGCATATCGATTTGGAAATTTACATTTTCATTGCCGCATCGCAATGCACGTGCTGCTGCTGCCTGTTGAGGGGGCAAAAAGGGTTAAGTTCTCTTTTTTCCCCGATGGTTCAGCATCAAGCGCCTTGCGTGCCTGTCACTTATCGAGTAGCTGATCGATGTGAAGGAGTGCAGACCCACATACCTCCTGAACCAGTACCTCCAATACCTCCAGCTTCCATCATTGCCATCATTACGCTGGTAACGGGCCATTTCTTTCATGTCAATATGCATAAATGCAACTTGTGCATTGGGTGAATGCAACTGATGTGGAGCAGCTTCCAGAAAGCTCATGACGAAAGCTGAAAATCTTTATGAGAGGAATAGTAAACACTCTTTTAGGCTATTTTTTCACTTTTTTTAAATATATCATTTTATATACCTCCAAAAAATAATATTTTAATTTATCTAAACTTTTGCTTCATCTTGTGAATCGACTTAAATAATATTTAGATACAACAATATGTACAATATGTAAGTCGTCTTCCTACTTATCAATACCCTTTCTCAAGGACTCTTTTTGTCATGTGGAAAGTGTAGGAGCAGGAGAAGCCAATAAGAGGAAAGTAGGCGCACGTCAACGACTCCCATTAGCAAGTCGCTCTGGGCCGTGAAAGTGTTGTCCAGACCCAAACCGAATCCACCAGCTTCTGCTCGGGCTTAAACATCTTCGGCCCAGTTATTTTTTCTGGCTGAAATTGAAAAATTTGTATGTTACTTATTTTATTAGCATTTAACACTCTGTCCCATTTTACAGACGAGAGCGAAAAGCGAAAGGAGCTGGAGTCTGGACATGCAATCGCCCTGACATGCCATCTCCTTGTCCACCTCATCGCAACGTGGTAGTTCTCATTCTCCCCCAGATCCCTCGACGTGGGTGGCCCGGCCCCAAATGGAATCCTGGCCTCGTGTGTGGCATTTTGGCAATTGTCAAATTGAAAATTCATTAAAGGCAAATTAAATATGCAAATGCTGAAGGCCCAAGTCGAGGAGGAAAGCGCTACCATTGTTGCTCGCTGTTTGACTTGGCTCTGCAAATATTGACCACCGATTGGGGAGATGGAAAAAATGGAAAATATCATATGTACATATGCTCCTCGACTACGATAAAAAGTCAAGTGGAAATCAAAGCAAATACGACGGCTTCGAATGGAGGCAAACACTGGACGGGATTGAATTGGTCCAGCACATCATTGGACATCACTGGGAGCCGTTCAAAATTGTTTAAACAAATATCGCATAAATTGCACATTGTTCAGAGTAGCCGGCAAATTGGTTCAGGCATGGGTTAATTCCCATGAAAATTAAAACTAGATTATACACACGTCCATCGAGTCCTCGGGTACTCGAGTCCTTGCAGCGCCCACTGTGTCATTGTTTGGGCACGCCCTTGCCTCCCGTTGTGCCGGCGCTTTGTCATAGATTGCCTACTGATGGTTATCATTTCGTTGAGGGATGGCAGATCAGCTCTGTGCTCCTTAAAGCCTCTATCTGCCTAGATTGGATCGAAACATGTCAGAGCAATTTTTGTCGCCGACTTTGATGCGGCAATTTGAACTCGGTTGTGTTGTTTTGCCAACATTGCTGGCGATCAATATCTGAGGTGATCTTTCGCAACTGACTGGCGCCAGAAGTGATCCTTTATCCCTTATCGAAACAAGACAAATTCGCTACACATATTTTATAAAATGATAAATTTAGGACGATTTACCATGGCCATATAGGTGCCAAGTACATATGTAATCCTCATACTGGTAGAATTATGTAGAATTCTATTAAACTAATGCAGCTTAAACAAATTGATCTCTAATTAGACAAATTTAAGTCATATTTTTAAGGGCTAGCCCAGTAACAAGATTCGATTTTGAAAAAGAAAAACCCAAATCTTCCTTGCCATTAATGTGGCTATCAAACATTAATTTCATGGTCCATATTGGATCCCTATTTGGTGGCTCTTCCCTCGTTTCCGAGTCGGAAGTTGGCATCATAACCGATCGACAAATTGTGATTGCTATTGTTATGAGAGGGTTCAGGGTCCCACGAAACCCTATCCCAGATCACAGCCAAGTGATCAATTCAAATTTGAAACACTGCTCGCTGGAACAAAGAAAACAGATGAAAACTACGCAATCACTTGAGAAAAATCAAAAAGGCTCTGAAGGACCTCGGCTGTGCTCCTTGGTTTCTCGGGTTCTTGGCCATGGTCGTAACTATAACAGGTGGCACGGAAGCCGCACAAAATAAAAATGATTAAAGCAATAAAAAAAAAAGAAACGAAAACGAAACTCACACACAAAAGACGAAGAAAAGGCCGCGGCAGAAATAACAACAATTTTTTAATAAGATTTTCAAAATTTTGAAACAACATTGGCGAGGCCTAGGAGAGATGCTGTCCCCTCCTGTTGCTCAACCACTTCCGATTTCGATTCCGATCCTTTGGGCGTCTCCCAACAGCGGGTCAAGTGTGAGAACATTTTGCGGAAGGAAATGGCTAGGATGAAAAATGATTGAGAAAGCAAAGGCGAAGGGTTCAAGAAGCCTAGACCTAGGACACCACGTGGGCAAGATTCACTTTCGAGTTCGCGAGTGACTCACTCTGATGATTTCCCAGAGAATTAATGCTTGCACTACGAAAAATTAAACATAGAATCTGCTATTGCTACTAGGAGCTAAGATGAGAAACCATTTATTGTTATACTTAAAGAAAATACCTTTAATCTATAAATATTTATATCCTTTTATTTATTTTTAAGTTCTTTAGAAACTATTTTACATTGGAAATTATCTGAAGTTTATATTATTTCATTATAAAGGATATTTTTCACTGTGCAAAGGGGCTGAAGCTCTGAATGGCTTTGAAATTACCAAGGAATTTTCGTAGCGTAATTGAGCATCTAATTTGCGGCGGCAGGCGGCAAAGCAGCAATTGGAGGAACCCCTCGGCATTTCGGTCACGATCCCGCTCTAGTTGCACTCCATGAATGAAGGAGGCCACAATGGCTCGTCTGGAAAGTGTTTCACTGAAAACCCAAAGAGCGAGCACCTCGGAATGAAGAATCCCGCAGCCCATTCAGAACTCTTGGCCACTCGAGCGCGAAACAATTAACAAGTTCGCGTAGCAATAAACAACAATTGCCATATTGTTGCACTTAAGATTTGTTTGCCGCGAAAAAGGAGAGAGTGTTCAACGGTGGACCCAGCGAATTCCTTTGAATTCAACCCCCGACCAGGGACGCTACTGACCTCCGGAAGGCGGGGTGGATCTCAGTTGATCGGAGGCCACTCGCCGATCGCTGAAAGAAAACGAAAATTTATAATAATGAGAGCCGGTGGCGGGTGGGGGAATATAAAATGTAAACTAAAGATACTATTTATATGCATTATTTCGGCTGAAAAGGAAGTACCAAATTACATTTAATTAGGCGAAACAGCGAAATTCGCGTACCGTACGCGAATCGCAGATATAAATGGAGTGGGATCAGGAGCAGGAGTGGATGGTCAGTCAGAAGTCAGACCGATTACCACCGAAATCCGAGTCCCTGAAGCCCTCGAAACTGGCGACTGCCTTTGGGTGAAATTCGCACGTTTAACCTTTAGGCAAACAAAATTAACAGAACAGCAAAGAACAGCAAGAGGGCACAGCGAAAAATAAGTTTAAAAACATAAATCTGTAAATTTAAAAATCAAAAATTTTCAGATTTAAAAATAAGTAGTCTTAATAATAGTTAATTTGACAATAACAGTTAATTTGACAATCATGAAACCTTTACCACATTTATTGTAAAATGTATCTGTTTTTATGTTGCTTTTAAATAACTTAGTATATATTTTTGTAAGGTGTATGAGCCACAACGATCAGCAATCGAAAACTGCGAACCTGTTGAACCCAAATGCAATTTTCATATCACTTTGATTGCTGCCCAGGATGACACGCGTGCGCCGGCTAGAGAGATGAGATAAGCTGCCGATGATCAGGGCCCGAGAGTCTGGATGAAGATGAACCGAAATTAGGGTAACAACCGAGGGGATGTGAGCCCAAAAAAAAGCGAAACTTTCAAACGGTTTCAAGGATTTCGGCCCTCGGTCCTCGGCTCTCGTCTTCTTTTATTTTATTTTACTTAATTCTGCGGAGGTCAGTTTATGATAATTCCCATTTCCCATAGGTGCCATTGCCACTTTTGGCACCTCACCTCGCAGCGTCGCCTGTCTGGTGTAAAACTGAAAACACTTGGCCCGCAGTCAAGTAGCCCGAACAAAAGAAATCGAAATTAAACACAAACAAATCCCAGAACGGTCAGTATGAGAAATGACTTTCTAGGAAGGATCCTCCAGCAGCAATATAATCCCAATCCCAATACCAATTTCTATCCCAATGCAGTAGTGGGACTGTCAACAAACACCGATCGTGGGTAATTGATATGTCTTTCCATGTTTTAGGTAGTGTAAAAAGTGAAATGTAAATCGTAACTGATATCGATGGACAGGGGGCAATTTCTCAACATCAGCCAGTGAAATTGAAAAATTGACCATCAGATAAGTGACTACTGTCTGCCGGAATCTGTACAGGTACATAATTGTCTAGTGTTTTCTAATTTTATAATCAAATTCGAAGATAGAGTTGGAGCGCTGACAGTTTCTTAATCATTGGCGGAGGTCTCGGCGCAAAGGTGACAATTGCATTTTATGAAAATTGATATTTTCAACCGCAAATGTTGCATGTTGTTAGCTGAGATGACCACACAGAAGTTGAACAGGAATTTAGTCAGGTAGCCAAGGACATTGCCGAGAAGGAAGAAATTCCCAGCAAATTACCAGAATGATCAATGATCCTTGCAGAAAGTCCTTCGGCATTTGCTATTTCCAGCAGGAAGAGGAGTTTCGGATAATTGGAACTAGAGCAAAATGTGTGAAAGTCAAAGAGCAGAGTAATTAGTTTAATGATTTTTCGGGGAGAACAAAGGCTCTACTTGAGACAATAAGTTCTTTAAATTAACTCGAGAAGAGTTGGAAATGGAGAACACAAATCAAACTCATAATTAGCATAATTATTCCCAGACTGCTTTCTATTTCAGAATCTCAGTTCGAAAATCGCTCTATTTCGATTTCTAGGAATTCCTAGAAATTTTTGATAAATTGACCAGAAACTCGTGTCTGACTTAACGCCCTCGCAGGAGTAGAAGATGACGGCCCGAAGGGGTTAATTACCTTTGGCTCGTCCTTAGGAAAAGCAGGATAATTTCTCTGGCCCTATTCTATCACGTGTCTATATAGCTATTCAGCGGAGTGAGTCGAGCGAGCAACTTTAATTGCCCCAATTCAAAAGGGGATGCGTTGGCGTTGACCACAATCCTCCGCCTGTTTGCACTGCATTCACATGCCCATACATTTGATACAGATATACACATCGATGCAGGGGCACAAATATAAACAATAATCAATCTCTTCAAGGGTTGGGCAAACAAAAAAAATAAAAACACACAAAGAACCAAGCAAGGACATGCTTATGAGAGCTGCGGCAGCGAGGTAGGATTTGAAGGCGTTCTTGAATTGATTATTCCCTTGGGTACAAAAGAAATTAAATATGAAAGAAATCCTCTAATTTAATACATATTTATGAGGAAAATAGATCAATGCCAATGCGACCTATCCTCAGTGACTCCTTTACATTGCTGTTTGGGGTTATTTTCATCGATTTAATTTGATATTGTATGCTCATATTCTACTATAAATTCTATTTGGTTTTAGTTACTTTCAGTATCAATATTTTAGTATATATAATAGTATAAACGACATGCTTTGAAGCTTTGAAGTCGATGAGCAGCCACACTTTCTTAACTGGAGCCCCATTCTCGCCCTAACTGTTTTTTTTTTGCCTCCAATTGGCCACAAGTTAATTCTTAAACGCTTCATTAACTTTTGGCCACACGCGTTCCAAACTTTTTCCTCTTTTCTTTCCCCTTTCGGGACTCGGCTCGAATTCGTCTGACGCGCGTCTGCCAAGGCCTGTTGGTCCGGTCTAAACACCTCGTCCTCCACTGCTCCTCACGATTCCCCACCCCTATACCATTTTTGTTGACGAAATAAAAAAAAATAAACGCTTTTTACTTCCGATTTTTTTTTATTTGCAGGCATCAATATTTTGGAAATGCAGCGACGGGCGACAGATGGCACACTCTTTTTTCGGATGATTTGGAATCCATACAAGCAGCCGAACAACAAGCAGCGTGTGTGGCGTCTTTTTTATGCAATCGTGTGTGGGTGCAATAGAAATGCCAGTGAAAGCGGTGGCAGATGTTGTTAAAGATGCAGGCGCAAGTTTCAAGGCTGTGCTCACACTTTTTTGAAACGTATTCATTTGAATTGCGATAATTATGACAAAGGCGCGCTAAAAGCTATCGAGTGTCAGTCGATTACTTGGATAAGTGAAATTGAGAATAGTTTGGCAACGCTAGATTCTGAAATTTCAGCATGCAGTGCTTCATAAAAGGCGCGTACTTAAATGCTATATGTTGATGCTGCCATATTTTCAGACAGGGTAGAAAACGGTCACACTAACGCGCACATGTTTTTGTTTTGTTGACAAAATAAATCGGCATGTCTCGGAAAAAGTGGACTTCGCTGGACAAACCCCCGCTCTCTGATGCAGTACTGCAGGTGGTGCAAAGCTTCGGCTTTCAGCAGATGACGCCCGTACAGACGGCTGCCATTCCGCTGCTTTTAGCACGGAAAGATGTCTCCGCGGAGGCAGTTACTGGTAGTGGCAAAACGCTGGCATTTCTCGTGCCCCTGCTGGAAATTCTTCAGAGACGTCATAAGGAAACGCCATGGGGTCCTAAAGAAATCGGCGCCCTCATCATCTCGCCCACCAGAGAACTAGCCCGACAGATTTCTGAAGTGCTTGCCCAATTTTTGGAGCACGAAGATCTAGAGCACCTGAATCAACAGTTGATTGTAGGTGGGAACAGCATTGAGGAAGATATTGCTACGCTGCGAAAGGAAACACCCTGCATACTGGTGTGCACGCCTGGACGACTGGAAGATCTTTTCCAGCGCAAGGGAGATGATCTAAATTTGGCGGCGAGGGTCAAGAGTTTGGAGTTTTTGGTCTTAGACGAAGCCGATCGTTTGCTGGATTTGGGATTCAAAACGAGTGTAAATAACATACTCGGCTACTTGCCGAGACAGCGGCGAACCGGACTTTTTTCCGCAACACAGACCACCGAGGTTACAGATTTAATCCGTGCTGGCTTACGAAATCCTGTACTGGTATCTGTCAAAGAAAAAGCCTCCGTTAACACCCCCGCCCGTTTGCAGAATTTTTATAGGATTGTCGAACCAGAACGGAAGTTCCTGGCCCTACTGGATTTCCTCAGTAGCCCCACCACACGCACTGGAAAGGTTATGGTGTTTTTTCCCACCTGCGCCTGTGTGGAGTACTGGGCGGAGGCCTTGCCTCCTCTTTTGCCCAAACGCACAGTACTAGGAATTCATGGGAAGATGAAAAATAAGAGGGCCAATGTGGTTGAGAAGTTCCGCAACACGCCACAGGCTGTACTTCTCTGTACGGATGTCCTAGCTCGTGGTTTGGATGTGCCCGAGATCGAATGGGTGGTTCAGTGGGATCCACCCTCAACAGCCTCCAGCTTTGTGCATCGTGTGGGACGCACTGCGCGACAGGGAAACGAGGGCAACGCTCTGGTGTTTCTGCTACCCAGTGAGGATGCCTATGTGCACTTTCTCAAGATCAACCAGAAAGTCGAGCTGAATGAACTGCCAATCGAGGAGCAAAAGGATGATTCTTTTTCGGTAAAGGATCAACTGGCAGTCGTTTTAGACCAATTGCATCGGCTACAGGCGGCGGACAAGGGAGTCTATGATAAAGGAATGCGCGCTTTTGTTTCCCATGTAAGAGCATACACCAAACATGAGTGCAGCGCTATTCTCCGGCTAAAAGATCTGGATTTGGGCAAAATGGCAACTGCGTACGGTCTACTTCAACTGCCACGTATGCCGGAGCTTAAGAACTACACGGATGGCGGCTATGTGGCGCCCTCTTTTGAGGTGGATCTGACCAAGCTCACCTACAAGAACACGCAAAAGGAGCAAATCCGACAGAAAAAAATGGAAACATACGAGCAAACAGGAAGCTGGCCGGGACAGAAACAGCATAAAAAGCGTGTCGAGTCTTGGGATCAGACAAAGAAGGCCAAACTGGATGCTAAGTCAAAGAAGGAGTTGCGCAAGGCCAAGAAACAGCGGAAGAAAGCGGCGGAGGGTGAGGCGGGAGGGTCTGGAACTGGAAAGGGAAAGAAAAGGCAGCAGTTTAGCCAGGAGGATCTAGATGAACTTGCCAGCGATATTCGGCTCTTTAAAAGACTCAAAAAGAACAAGATCAGCGAGGAGGAATTCGACAAGGCTATGGGCATCGAGGACGATAATGAATGACTTTCGATTGGGTTACATTATGTACAATAAAGATTTGTTAAGAACATATAGTATAACCGTATAAAGTTAACCGTTATTTAAAAAAACAAAATAGTTTGATTTTTGTATAAATACATAAGTATATCAAACTTTATTGAAGCGATAATGAGGGTAACAAAACATCGACGTTAATACTATAACTAAATGAGATGGAATAAAACTGAAACTTAAGCTGTGTTGCCGTCAACAACAATTTGGAGAATGATGCGACGCTTAGGATCGTAAGAGAATCCATTAGTACGGAACAGATCCGATTCATAGAAGGGTTTTAGATTGACAATGTCTAGCTGTTTAGCCCGCTCGATCAAATCTCGCTCCATAATCTCCACATGTGTGGCGCCGGGTCCGTCCTTGCAGCGAATGTATGCTAGCTGATCCAGCGTTAGCTGACGCAGAATAAAGAAGAGCAGCTCTGAGTGGTCCTTTTGGAAGGCCAGATACTTTTGGAATGTGCTGCGCATCTTCTTCATGACGCTGAACTTCTGTGCCTCGATGAAACTCTCTAACATCATGCGTATGGCCATGCTCACATCTGCCTCCATCACGTTTTCTCGCAAATGCATGCGAGCGTGAGCCTCAGACATACGGATTACGCTCTCAATATGACGTACCGTAATAGGCAGCGATCCGGTGGCAAAAGACTCCTGGCGCAACTGAGCGTACATCTTGGCGATCTTGTCCTCGTCAATATTCTGAATTAAATGCATACATTAATATATATTATTAGCGCTTAAAAAAATAAGGTTACTTACCGTTAACTTGGGACGAATGTTCTCCTTAGCGTAGACTATGTACTGTCGCAACAGATCCTGCGGAATCTCATCCACAGTCCTTAACTGGGGTTCCTCTAATTCTGGCTGTTCCTCCTCGCTAGGATGGTGCTTCATGTGCGAGTGCACCACGAATTTAGCCAGCTGTTGATCTTGCATTGGATCAAATTCGTCTTTTACGACGCACAGGACATCGAAACGGGACAGGATAGGCTCCGAGAGATTAACGTTCTCCGAGAAAGTCATTGAAGGATCATAACGTCCGCCAATGGGATTTGCAGCTGCTATTACGGTGCAACGGGCCTGAAGCGAGGTGACAATACCAGCCTTGGAAATGGAGATTGACTGCTGCTCCATCGCCTCGTGTATTGACGTACGGTCCTGGTCGTTCATCTTGTCGAACTCATCGATGAGACAAACTCCCTGATCAGCCAGTACTAAAGCACCCGCCTCCAGTGTCCATTCCCGGGAAACAGGATTCCGACGAACATAGGCCGTGAGACCCACGGCACTAGCTCCTTGACCAGTGGTAAAAACTGCTCGGGGAGCAACCTTCTCTGTGTACTTAAGGAATTGCGACTTGGCCGTACCAGGATCTCCGCAAATAAGTAGGTTGATGTCGCCTCTGACCTTGTGTTTCTCTCCGGGATTCTTGGACTCGCCTCCGAAGAGAGCCAAAGCCAAAGCGCGTTTGATGTAATCATGTCCGTATATGGAAGGTGCCATGGAGGCCACTACACGCTCTACGATGCGAGGATCTTTGCTTAACTTCTGAATAGTGGCTATATCCTCGTCCGTAAGCGACTGCACAACCTGCTTAGAGTCTTTCACAAGTACATGATTGGCAATAATCACAGTAGCGAAAACAGGGAATCCTTGATCTGTATTTAAGGAACCATCGTAGTTGTTTGTGTATATACCAGTAACCTCAAGTTCATCTCCTGGCTTGCATTGATCGCATAAATCAGCGAGCAGAATGACGTCCTTGCTGCGAGGAATACGTCCAGCTGGGATCCTGCCCGGTGACTCTTGCAGCGTAATCTTCTGGTAGTTTCGGTACAGAGTTTGCTCCATATTGATCGAAAATGGACCAACGCTCTGACACTCTGGGCAGGAACCTGGCTTAATCTCCGTGTTCTGCGACTGGACAAAGGGACCCAACACATAGCCGCACTTCACGCAATCGTATTTGATCACGGATAGCTGGGGAAGGACACCAGTGGTGGCGGTGACCACACCCAATGTGCGAACCAACTGATTTAGATGCAGTTTCCTAAATGTCCGCAACTCCTCGATAAGCGGCAGTTCAGAGATGCGCACATGGATCTCTGTCGTTACACGCTCATACGTCGGAAAAATTGAGAGCACCATGTCCTTCGCCACCTTGTCGAATATCTCAAGCATTTGAAAGGGAGCTTCGGGCAGGAAGTAAGCCAATACGTGTTCCTTGTTTGCCAGATCAGTGTAGGAAACAACAAATGAAGACATATTCTGCTCGCACATTCGCCGAATGCGATCACGATAAGTATAGGCGCCTCTTTCGTCAACAAAAGTTCTAAGGAAAGACTGAAAGCGATTGGCAATCTCTGTACGGGGTCCTAACATGCTGACCCACTCCTTAGTAGAGTGCCCCTTAGTATCCTCCAGATTTTCTATGGACTCCACCATTTCGGTGTCCTCAACCTCGCCAACAGCTGCCTTCTCACCGGCACGTCTCTTGGCCCGGGGTCCGACATCGTCCTCATCATCAGATTGGCCGAATCCCAGATCACGATCATCGCGGTGGATTCCGGCTGCGCGATCGCGTCGCCGCATCTCTGATTCAGCGGCAAAGCGATCGCCCTGGGACATTTCCGAGAAGTCATCCTCATCATCCAGCATTGCAGGATCGTAGTGATCCAGCTCCGGCATGGGACGATAGTCGTTTTCCATGTTGTCCCCAAACAGCTCCTCGCCATCCTCCTCCTCGGCCTCATCGCGCACTGTCTGGTCTCCCAAAATCTCGTCCTCGTTCTCAAACGGCTCGAAATCGCCAACTGGCGATGTCATCGCAGCTCGGATTTCGCGGCGCTCGACGGCATCGCTGGGCGTATTTGGTGGCGGTGAACTGGGATTGTCCATGTCGTGCGTCTGTTGTCCTTGGCGTTTGTATACAATCTGTTTTTTTGCACTACCGACTCTGTTGTGACGACGCGTGCAAAAATGCGCGGGAAACTGCTGCAAAACGAACGGAACCAGGGCCGCAGACAAACTCCAATGAACAATTTTAGTGTTGAAAAATAGGGTTGGGGTGGAGTATTTATATTAAACAAAAGTGCTTTTCATTTGCCTTTTCTCTTCCTTTATGTTTTAATTTCATAAATCGGTACCTTAGTAATAAATAAAAAATGCCTACCTTAAGAATAATAATTAAAAAAAAATATAACAGTTAAATTAGTCTTTATATCTCCCAGATAGACATCCATCATAACATTTGTACCTGCCCCTCCCTCTCCTCTAAAAGATCCCTATTCCTTTATAATCCAGATCCAATCGCCGCCAGCCCCTTAAATACAAACTGCCTAAAAATTTTTAAGTTCCTGGGCAACTCCCAAATCACCTCTAAAATTTAATTTAATCGCCACGTGTACAAAATAGTAAACCCTTGTAAATGTTCATAGGTTAAATATATTCAAGCCATAATCTGAATTTATCTGCGAACAGAAGGATTTAGCTGCTTTGCTTCTAGCTCTTAGTTTTAACTGATTGTAAGCCTTAGATAAATAAATAAATAAATTAACTAAATTTTTATAACTTAAAAACACAACTGTGCTGCCCTGGAATGCAGCTCTGTGAGAAAAGCCACTTGAACTGGTTCCGCTCAGCACTGATTCGAAATTCCGAAGCAGCCCTTCCCGCCTCTTATAGCTTTACTTTGGTTCCAGCCCTCGACGCACGAAATATATTTATTTGTGAAATTTTTGAATTTGCTTGTCAACAATCAAAATGGCTTTGTCATCTTTGTCCACGGGAGTTATAGCTGTAAGTAGCCAACTCTAAATGATATCACTTGCGTGGTAACATCTTGAATTATCCGCAACAGCGCATTATGCATGGGGAGACAGTGGAGGGCCCGGTGCTGCAGATTCTGGCAATCAAGAAGATCAATAGCGCTGCGGATTCAGAGCGCTATCGCATCCTGATATCCGACGGCAAATACTTCAACAGCTATGCTATGCTGGCTAGCCAGCTAAACGTAATGCAGCACAATGGCGAACTAGAAGAGTTTACCATCGTCCAGTTGGACAAGTATGTGACCTCAATGGTGGGCAAGGACGGAGCTGGAAAGTAAGTGTCCTTTTTTGCATGTTTCTTATGTGATAATACCATGAACTCTTTTCAGGCGCGTCCTCATCATATCCGAATTGACGGTCCTAAATCCTGGCGCCGATGTAAAAGTTAAAATTGGCGAACCGGTAACCTACGAGAATGCCGCTAAGCAGGACTTGGCGCCAAAGGCAGCAGCAGCTGCTAATCCCAAGCCCGTTCCCAAAAAAATAACAGTACACAACAATAACAATAACAACGTTGCTTTAAATTCGTCGATTAATTCGGGAATGACCCATCCTATTTCTAGCTTAAGTCCCTACCAAAACAAGTGGGTGATCAAGGCCCGAGTGACCTCTAAGTCCGGTATTCGCACATGGAGCAATGCTCGCGGCGAAGGCAAGCTGTTTAGCTTCGATTTGATGGACGAATCGGGCGAAATTCGGGCCACTGCCTTCAAGGAGCAGTGCGACAAGTACTTCGACCTCATCCAAGTGGACAGCGTGTACTACATCTCCAAGTGTCAATTGAAACCGGCTAACAAACAGTACTCTTCGTTGAACAATGCATACGAAATGACATTTTCGGGAGAAACGGTTGTCCAGCTGTGCGAGGATGCCGACGATGATCCTATTCCGGAAATCAAGTACAACCTTGTACCCATTTCCGAAGTGTCGAGCATGGAGAACAAGGCGTCGGTGGACACAATTGGAATTTGCAAGGAAGTCGGCGAGGTTCAATCTTTCGTGGCCCGCTCTACAAACAAGGAGTTTAAGAAGCGTGATATTACGCTGGTAGACATGAGTAACTCTGCTATTAATCTCACTCTCTGGGGCGATGAAGCCGTTAACTTCGATGGACATGTGCAGCCCGTGATCCTGGTCAAGGGGACTCGCATTAATGAGTTCAATGGCGGCAAATCCTTAAGCCTTGGTGGCGGCTCTATTATGAAGATTAACCCAGACATCCCCGAAGCCCACAAACTGCGCGGCTGGTTCGACAACGGAGGTGGCGACAATGTCGCCAACATGGTCTCAGCACGAACAGGTGGAGGTAACTTCTCCACCGACTGGATGACGCTAAGAGATGCACGGGCTCGAAACCTCGGCAGCGGCGACAAGCCAGACTATTTCCAGTGCAAGGCAGTGGTGCACATTGTTAAGCAAGAAAATGCTTTCTATCGCGCTTGTCCTCAAACCGAATGCAACAAAAAGGTGGTGGACGAGGGTAACGATCAGTACCGCTGCGAGAAATGCAACGCACTGTATCCCAACTTCAAGTACCGACTACTAATCAACGTAAGTATTATATAGCAATAGGTGTTCTTTTCACAACTTAATGCTTGTCTTTAGCTTTGTAAAAGGAAAAGAAACTAATTTGCACAAATATAATAATTTTCAATTAATTTACATCAACTCTATTGTAGATGAGCATTGGCGACTGGACTTCGAACCGCTGGGTTAGTAGCTTCAACGAGGTCGGCGAACAGCTTCTTGGTCACACTTCGCAGGAAGTTGGCGAGGCACTTGAGAACGACCCCTCCAAGGCAGAGCAGATTTTTTCCGCACTCAACTTCACATCGCACATCTTTAAGCTGCGCTGCAAGAACGAGGTGTTCGGCGATATGACCCGCAACAAGCTTACTGTGCAGTCCGTGGCTCCTATTAATCACAAGGAGTATAACAAGCACTTGCTCAAGGAGCTGCAGGAGTTGACCGGCATTGGCTCCTCAAACTAATTTTCATGCGCAGCGCGTTTATGAAAGTATCCAGTAACTAGAAACTAATATATTCATATAAGGTCTTTCCAAATATTGTAAAATCGTGAGTTATCTCAGTCACTACTTTTTCTAAATGGGGATTCTCTTTAGTCTGTATTCATTATTTTTAAAAAGCATAATATTGTAACTTGATAACAGCTACCCACAATTATAATAAATATCAATTTGTTGCAAAAAATTTCTTTCAAAACAGTTTAAAGTGCATAAGAGGTTGCTAAGTGTGAATACTATAAGCTTATTTGTTTTATAGACTCAATTCTTATACATATGTATTGTGTATGTATGTATGTATGCTTGCTGATTTCGTTAGTCATAGATCGAAATGCATATTATAAAGTTTGTTTAGAAGCAAAGTGATATACATAACTCGTTCTGGCCTTTATCTTCACCTTTTTATTTAATTTGCTTCAAAGTTTATGCTGCGGTTACGATTGGAAAGCCATTGAATTTTTTTATTTGTCGGTTCATCTTCGTGACAAAATTATATTGCTTATCAGTAACTAAGCTCCACTGGTCAATATTGTCGTGCACAGTGCAGGCGTTCTATAAGATAGACTGTAAAAGCTTTTACTAAGTTTTTTACTGTTCCTGAATAACTCAGTTTCCTACTCATTTTTCCCGAAGATTACTACAACTTCAAATTGCACTTTTTTAACTTTATATAAAAAAGTGAAGATTAGTATCTCTAAAAAATGGGCACAATTACTGTAAGTATACAATATTCGGTTAAATTAACCGGTTGAACGGTATTAGCCAAGTTTTAAGAATGAATTGTGACGAAATACCCACATACGCTTTATATGATAATATCTCCATTCTGTATATCCAGCCCATTTCCAGTTTGCGCTTTACTTCTTGGCACAGTTCAAGCATAAGAGCACGAGTGACTTGGAAGTCAGAGGTAACTCCCTGGACCAATGGTAACAGTTCTGGGACTATCTTTCTTATCAATATGGTTGACGAGTCTGGTGAAATTACTGGAGTTATATTTAATGAGCTGTGCCCAAAGTTCTACGACCAGCTTCATGCAGGCAACGTATACTTAATCTCCAATCCTGAGGTGTCGCGGGTACACAATGATTTTAAAATTTTAAATAACCCCCTTCAGATACTATTCGTTGAGGAAACAATTGTACAATTTATATCCAAAATTAATATACCAAAAATTATATATAACTTCGTACCGCTCTCTGCTGTTTCGAAACTGTCTGATCGGGACCCAGTGGACGCCATTGCCATCTGCACGGATGTGCGCAGTGTGGAAGAAAGGGGAGGTTTCTACATTCGAGAAATTATTGTTATGGATTCTACATATCAGAAAGTCATGTTAAATCTGTGGAATAAGCTGGCAACAAGCCTTGAGGTAGACCCCGGTGATGTTATCGTTGCCAAAGGTGCCGTTGCTCGGCCTCACAATAATGAAATAAAACTAAACGCTGATTGGTTTACCAATGTTCAGATTAATCCTGATATTCCTGAAGCCATCGCGCTTCGTAACTTGAATTAAATTCATTTAAAATGACCACAAGATTTTTACACATTACAATTAATCCAAGTCAATTGTTCAATTATTATCAAATAAAATTATTAGTTAACAAACGATGTTTAATTGTTGGAAAATACTTGTACAATAAATAAATAGTAATAAAAAGTTTTATAATTAACCGCCCAAGACCTCTTTGTACTTGGTAATGGGACTTAACTAGAGATTATCCACCTATGGGGCTAGAAAAGGACTATATCTACGGGGCGCTCGGCAGTATATGAGCTGCCACAGGAAGTGATGATACTAAACAGAGAAAATAACCATAACAATAGCAATTCCCAAGTGGACATTATTTTTTGTCAAAATAATCTTAGCCATATCACGTAATATCAACTTTCTACTTTGAACATGCAGATATGAAGAAAATTATTTTGATAATTTACAAAATAATTTTTAAGCGTCTTAAATATGCGCTCATTGTATCTGAATAAAATTCGAATCGTTGACCAAATATGAGGATAATCTATCTCTGCGAAATAAGTAATGAGACTATAGAAACCGTTGACTTGAGCAAGGGATTTAACTACGTACGGCTAACCGACCAGAGACGCTCGATCGTGAACACTTAACCTAGATCTCAGATAGCGTTGGGTTGGGCCTAGTGAAGCCTAGTTGGACAGCTGCTGCTCTGCCTCAGCAGGCACCACATGTTCGTGGTCCTCCTTAGGCAGGCTGCGTTGCTCTTCCTCCCGCAGCTCCGCCTTCTTAGCCTGCTCCTGCCGCCGGGCCACCCCCTCCATTGACTCTCTCAGCGAATCGATGTCCAAGGCGTTCTCGTCCTTATCACCGTCCTGCTCCTGTCGCTGGCCGCCGGCAAACTTCGAGAAGTAGGTGAGCGATTTCATCAGTTGATAGCTCTTCGATATTGGAATGTTAGAATCGTAGACGCTGGTGCTAGAGCTACAGTCCACATAGAACCACCAGTTGCACTTGAGAATCGTCTGGTCGAAGAGGGTGTTCTCCGGGCAGAGGAACGACTTACGCACCATGCCGTCGTCGGTGAGGGCGCACACGTGGAAGACCTGCAAGAAGAGGTTAGTTCTATATTTATAGGCATACATTCCAATCCAATCCAATTATTAACTTACCATGCAACCTAGATCGGTGTCGGCGTAGAGACCCGGAAAGTGTTTTTGCTTTGCGCAAGAGAAACTAGTGGGAGGAAGGTCCACTTTTGATTTAAAGTTGTCGTCGAAGTTCTTGTCGTAGCCCACGGGATAGTACTCCTTGGGGGCATTCATAACCTAAGGGAAAGCGAGAAATTATTAAAAGATATGCAGTTTGCCTTACAGTTATTTAGTTATTACTCTAACTTGCTTAACCAATCAGTACCCATATGAATACTCACCTTGGACACCTTGTGCTCGGCCATCGACTTTTGTGGACGCGGAGTGGTGGTAGTCGTAGTGGTCGTCGTAGTCGTAGTCCTCACTGTCGAGGTACGCATAAACTCCTCCCTTAATTTTGCAGCCAGTTGGGCTCTGTGTTCAGCCTTCAGCTGCTGCTCCCGCACATAAATGGCGTGCTTAATGGTGTCCACTGTAACATTGGCAGCGGCGGCCAGTTCCTCAACGGTCACGTCTTTTAGATCAAACTTCGGCTCCTCGAACTGCAGATAATTCGGGTGATTGGTTGCCGTCCGTTGCTCCTTACCCATGTTGGCGATCCTGGCGATAGACTGAGGCATCGCTTGGAAAACAGGTACAGCCACAGGTTGGGACACCACAGGATTAGCTACGTGGAAAGTACGGTTCGAGTGCTAATCGGATGCACGGTAATTATTGTTCTGAAGTACCTTTAATCTTATAAAAATTACTCACTGGCTTATCGATGGCGCTTATCAGCTTGTTGTTGATACTGACCCGAGGTTCCGGGGTGTCGACGGCGACCCTTCTTTCCGCCGTGGTGGGAGCCGGAGCCGACGCCTGAGTAGCAGCCAGTTGCTTCTGGGGGATGGGTCGAAAAGCGGGAACTCCGAGTGGCAATGGACGAGCCTCGGTCATGAGCTGCTGTTGTTGTTGTTGCTGCTGCTGCTGCTGCAGTAGCAACAATTGTTGCTTCAGTTTCAGTTGCTGTTGCAACTGCTGTTGCTGTAGCTTCTGTTGCTGAATTTGAAGTTGTTGCTGCTGTTGCACCTGCTGAAGGTTGAAGGGCGCTGCTCCTGTGGACCGTGAACTTATTCGTTTCTCGGGCAATGGGTGTTGCACAGGTGGATTGCCCTTTGATTAATTTAAATATTATGTATGTAATGCATTTTATTTTCAGGATAAAATAATGATGAATCTTACCTGTTGCTGAGTAGATGGAAGCACGCCCACCAAGTCGGGTGGTGCTCCATTTTTGTAGCTAATGGCCCGTCGGCGGTCACTCTCCGTGTTGCCCAGCGATTCCGGAAAGCCCAGTTCGTCGCCCAAACTGAAACCTGCAAGTGGAAAAGGTTTTGTGTTAGGTCCGAGCCACGACGGCCCATCAATCACAACAATCGTGGCCGAGGGTTGGGCAATGATGTGTTAATTAATGAGTTTTGTTTTACCCTTCACGTGGCTAAGGGTCTTATCGAAATCTTAGATCTATTTGGCTTGTATGTACACAGGGCCTAGTTGGATCCCTAAATGAGAGGGGTCAGTGCATACTAAACAGGGGTTCGTCTAAGCCACAAATATAGATAAAACAAACCTTTTCTTATGTTAGCAAGTGGTAAGTCGAATGATGAACCTTTGTCGTTTAAACTAATTTAAAATCTCTATATTATTATTTCACAATATGAATGCCGCAACAGCAAGTGCTCGTTAAACTATCATTAAATTTATATGTAAATATTTTATTGAATACTTTGATTTTACAAATGGTTCTAATAAACTGAAGTAATATGAAGATTTTTATTTTTCAAAAACATTTAATTGACTTGATATCCATGAGATATACATCGTTTGATTTGTTTTTTGGCCTTAATACACACCGATCTAACTTGAACCTATGGTACCACTTATTTTATACCTCTGCCAATTGAACTGCAGGTCAATCTTCAAGTTTTTCTTGGTCTGCTTCTCCGCTTAGCCGCTCTACTTTATCGGTCAGTATCGAGCTCAAGTCATTTGCTGCTATATGCTGCTACCACTGACATTGGCATTAATGCATAATCTCTTACTTAATCGCTATTCGCGGTGCGTTTGAGTTCAGATCGAGTTCGATTACTTGACCAATTAGTTGCACTTGAAAATTGGAGGATTGGAAACCTTGGGAATTGACTAAGTACTCTACATTCACCTTGAACTATTTCGATGTCGTATATACATATGAGAAGATGAGAATGGTGGGTGAGGTGGTGCTTTTGGGATGACAGAACAGTTGAGAGATTTACCTAAACCGAAATGGGCCTTTAGGCCACCCAAATTTCGTACACGAAACAGTCCAGACTTTTTGAAGTTACAATCGAGTATGAAACCAAAATCGGACGATAAAACACACGTCCCGCAAGCCAATCCTATAAATAAAGAATAGAAAAAGCAAACACAGAATAGGATAGTTCTTTGGTATAATACAATAGTAATGTTTAAAATTAGTACAACAAAGGGATTAATATTATGTTAAGATGATTCAGGGCTAGGCATTCCGGGGATTGAGGGGAATTGGGGATGGGGCAGGAAAGCTTCTGTGTTGTTTTCTCTATGCAACATTAAACCGTAACCAAAAACTAAACAAATAAAAGATTAATAACCAAAACTATTAATGCTGTGTTAAAGTGGGTGGGTCTTTAAAACTGGCGTGTGTTGTTAGATCACATTTCGGCATTGGCATAAATTAAAACGAATTTTATCACTGTCAGGCATTAAGTCTTTTAATAAAAATCGGCACAAAAGTTTCAATTTTATCCCGCATCGAATCAAATTGCGTGGCGGATGTCTTGATTGATGTTCGGATTGCCCGATTATATCTCACATATATATCTGATGTGGCGCGTGGAATCTGAGGTATGTGTGCTTTTATTATCTTCCATCTGCCAACTTAGGGTGTGACCGCAGAATGACCCAGATAGGAGCAGAGAAGATGTCCCAATCGGACCGAAAGAAATACGAGTACGAGTAATAAAACCAGGCCGCCAGCATTCTCCCACCGATCTTAACGTGGCCATAATCGATTAACGATGCCGTGAGCAGACTCATTATGGACCGACAAATGGCACTTCCTTATGAACAAGCCACACAAAACAATTGAACCTCTTAAGTGCCATAGGTTACGCATTAGCTGAGGTTAGCCAAGTTTTATAGAGAGCAACCCCGGTGACCTGAACCAAGTTGGAGACTTCAATCCGAGCAAGTGAGCCAAATTGCGCGTCTTGGGTTCAAATTAAATTGTTAGCATGTCAAGTGGGACATGTAATACGTGTTTCGAATGAATTCTTTCAAAATTCCCCCGCCACCCGGAGTGTCGTGAATCCATATTCATAGAGCAGAGCATTTGAAACCGATTCTAAGGCGGCTAATGGCTGGCCATTATGTGCGAGTGGCACATGTTGCCAATTGTGGTAATCGCTTCAGATCCTACACTTGGCAAAAAATTATCTTCAATTGCCTCGTTAAAGCTAAATTATTGTTGCGTAAATGGGGTTTCTATTCTATAAGTATCTCTTAAATAAATCAATTTTATTTTGCGTAATCTTAACTTATTCTTAAGGATAAAATATCCATTATAAAAAGAACTTATAAAACTTATGTGACATAAGGAGGAAATTTAAAAGGAATATAAATAGATATACATTTTCTTTCAGTGCAGAGTCGCTACGGGTCGGATCGGAGTCCGGTCCAACACTTTGGTTTGTGGGTTCAAGGAAAATGGAGCTGGTTTTATAACCGCCCGCCTAATGGAGTGTCAGCATGGCAAGGTAACGTTTGGCCATCTCCGTGGGATCAGAGTGCGCCCTCGATGTGGTCACTTCCTAGTCATCGTCGTCATCATCATCATCATCATCATCGGGAATGCCACTTTGCCACATTACCACTCCAAACCGCAATCGATTATCCCTGCTCCCCCCGAACGGTTGGTAATGGGATCTTGATAGACTTTTACTCGTAAAAATTTGCATTACTCATTCGCCATGTGGGCGAGCAGTTATTTTAATTGCCCCTCCAAATGGGCTGCACGGCGACAAATTGGCAAAGGGAAACTAGCAATTAGCCAGGGAAAACTAGGCAAATAACCTGCCAGGCTGGAGAGAAATATGAAATATGAAGTTAGTTTCGATTCGTCAGTAGGGGGATATCCAGCGACATTTGCAGTTAGTCAGAGGCGATCGACAACGCTTTCTCTCATCTCGGGTATGAAATGCGAGTTGTGGCGGGTTTACGACTTGTCGAGGCTGCCTGGCATCAAGTGGTCAAATAGAAATTCAAACTAAACAAATAATGAGGCATAAATATGCACGTGGGGCTGTGTCCGCATAGAGCAGACATCGACCATCGGTTGTCAATGTTTAGTTACTTTCCTCAAAGACCACATCCCACATTTCGCTTCCCCTGATCTGTAGAGACCCCATCTAGTTAGCACCTATTGGTCGCGAAAGTGGGTCATCTGGTCTCAAAAACATTGATATTAATTGCTCACTCGGATGCTAAGACAGAAAATGAAACCGAAACTGAAACTGAAACTGAAACAAAAATAATAAAAAAACTGGCTGGCCAAGCTCAGCGTTAATTCAATTTGATTATCTCGACTGGCAGACGCAAATGCAAATATCTTGTATAAATTATCAAACATCTGCGCCTAGGCCGTCCAGCCATTCATTATGGCCGAACCTTAACCCAAACCTTTGAGATTTGAGACAACGCCTCTTTAAGTGGTTTCCCTTTTTATATTCTGCACTCATATTTAAAGGCTTTAACATTCCATTGTTGGCAAAACGTTTTACGGTCAATCTTTTTATCTCATTGTCAATGATTTTTTCGCGAAGGCTCTTTGGGCGAAAACCTTTCCCTTTTTTCTTGACTGCCTGACTGGGTGAAACTTTCCATTTCTCCTTAATTTACTTAGCTTACTTTTTATTCTCATGGTAAATGGCAGCTGCAAAGTAATCTATATATATATATCGTATATATATATCGTATATACATTTGTGGAGCTACCAATGACCTTGATGAGGTGCTGTAAAATATAACCATTTCGGAGAGTGTCTCGAATTGAATTACTTAAACGATTGACTTTACACTTCGTTCTATTCCATGGAAGAAGGGAAACCAAAATGTAATTTCGGGGATTTTACGATCTGCCCTGACCTTGGCCCTGTGGCTCGAATAAGCAATCCAAATGAAACCATTATCACACGGCTTCGGGGGAGATTGTTTCGGATTGGATTGGCTTGGATTGTCCAAATGGATTCCAAAGTGTCTGTCCGAAAAACGCGGCTTGCTAATCCCCTTTGCCGGTTAATTATGTTAATTGAATGATGGTCTTGACAGTGAGCGATAGGCCCAACAAAAGAGCCCCGACTGACAAAACTTTTGACAAAGACACTTCAAGCCATCGAATTAAATTGCAATTTGAGCGTGTGTGCGTGTGGGCCAAACAATCATCTAGTCACAAAGGTGTGGAATGGAATGCAAGAGTTTGGATGCCCAAAGATCGGTGCAGCGTCTCCAAGATGAAGGTCTTACGTGAGCGGTTTGCGTGCTCGGAAATAATGCCCCAACACACTTGACGGGCTAAGAAACACACTATCTATATTGTGTGAAGATGGGCCCAGACAATAGCAGATACAATCATGCCTTAATTTATTCCTAATTGCGAACAAAACGAACGATTCGTTTGCAGTGGGGAACTGGAAAAGGGAAAGGACACGACCCTTGTGTGGGAATAAACTCAACCGGAAGCGTCTTTGTACACTGCAAAAAGTTAGTCCAGAAGCAAGGTTAACAATTCATTGCCTTTCGGATTAAAAAGATAAAAAACATATTCTATTTAAATCTTCTTTCCCAATCTCTTACACAATTTGAGGCTCACTCGGTTTTCGTGGTAATATTTAATTTGCAATTAAACAGTATTACTTCTTTCAGCTTATATTTATTTACCATGAAAGCCCGAAAAATGTTGCAGGTTTTGACACTGGCGAGTTATTCGCTTACAGACAAAATTTCAACATAAAAAAAACATGTAGAAAGCGCATGTAATCTGTATTATTTACAACTTTAAAAGTTAATACAAAGTGTGTGCTTTAGAATTTATGGGATATGTTTTTTGCGAGTGCACAGATGCCTGTTTGCCTTTCACTTTGCAAAATTCCAGCCCGAAGAGCCTTTTACTTATTGACCAATGATTATGACAATGCAATTTCTTTCTCTTATTATTTTTCAGTACCTTTAGCCCCTTTTGCAGTTGCAACAATGCATCTTCCCAGGGCCCCACGGTTTGGCCAAGAAAAACATATGTCGGCATCGGCTAATTGCTGTTGAAAGTGTGTTGTACATCTTGCCAGAAAACATTAATAATATTTTACGTTTACTTGTCAAACGGGGCGTATAGTTACTAACGTATTGGCTATTAGTTGTCATCTTTGGCAGGAAGGGTCTTTACACTCCAGCCAAGTGTTTCGGGCAAGAAGTATTGCATAAAAGCTCTCAGACATCGGTCCGAATGTGGGTTATATAAAAACACTGAAAGAGCAACAGCATCAGAAACAACTGAAGATGCTTTCAAAACGCTGCGTCATTGACCACAAAACAGATATTGAGTTTGAGCCACACACGATCGGTAAAAAAAAAGAAAATACCAAAGAGAAACATCGGTGGCCAGCGCATCTCAATAAGTTCGGGTACAAATCGGCGGTATATTGATGAATCATGGCCCACGATTGCCGGACGCTGTTCAGTGAGTTTTATGAAGCCATCAATGGGAACATCAAAAGATTTGGGCAGGGCAATGTCGGTACATATTTGGGCGATGTGTGTAAGCATAAGTTCCTGGTGCCCATGGATCGTTTCTTTTTGGCCAGGCAAAGGTCAGCAAACACACAATATCACAAATACAAATTATGCAAATTGGGCAGCGAAAATTGTCTAAGCTAACACCCAGCAATCAATGTGTTTGTGGACCACTATTGCTCTGATCTTGACCGATATTCTGGGCTTAGAGCGAGCATAACCATAGCAAGGCGAGATTGGAACATCGTAACACGTAACACAGGCTGAATTGTAGTGCGAAGGTTAAGCTAGGTTAATTTATGTCTGCAAATTTGCAAATTGATTAATTGGCGAACGCTTGGTAAATGGGTAACAGCCTGCCCTAAATGGAGCCACCTTCAACCCAACCACACATGTGTATCTGTTCTTAATGAGAGACACATTACTTCAGGTCAAGAATGCTCCATGGGCACCATGACTAACCTAAAACCAATCCGGTTTCTTCGACAAGGTTTTGCATTAAGCGAACAGATTGAGGCTCAGACAATGAACCGAAACTGAATCCATATAAAAAGCGATGCCAATAAACTGCAGGCGCGCTCGGTGGCTAAATATGCATAAACAAATGTTCAGATAAGATTGTTAGGATAGCTATTTGCCTTTTGCGGCGCACTTTTACAAGTCTTAAAATTGATGCGAATGCTAATAGCTGTCCAGATGCCAAATTGTCTAGCTCAAAGTGAAATCTACACCAATAAACCGCACATCACAACTTGTTTTGTTTTTCGATTTGGGTGAACTATTGGCCAATTATCGGCGACTAAATTTGACCAACTTCCAAGAGAATCTCCTTGGCTGGCAACCTGTTTTAGATCTACAGTCTAGTATTACAGCATATTCAGGTGTCATAAGACTCTCCATAAAAGATAACGGCTGTCTTGAGTCTAAAGACTTAAGACACAAACTCGAATTTGGAAAAAGTTCGTCGCCTAAGTCATTTGTTTCTCAGCCTACTGCCAACCCGAATCAAATAATTGTTATCCGACACCGGTAAAAAGCAATGAAGGCTCGTCATCCACAACAATAATAATAACAACAGAAACAGCAATTATTCAGTAAAACGAAAACGGGAAAAATGAAAACTGCATTTTACTTACTTGCCGCCTGCATGATCAGAAAGCCAATCACAAAAAAGTTCATTTTCGCCACTTTTTTCTTTGTCGAATTTTGCTTGAAAATTTCTTTCTTCGGAAATTACGATGATTAGTTATTTTCGTCGGATGCGTGTAATTTTCTTTACGATTTTCCTTGCACACTCATTCACTCACTGTAAGGGGGGGTTGAAAATCCAAAGCAAACTGAGGAAAACACAATAAACTTTTATTATTGCTGTGTTCGCGACTCGTGCCGCAGATCGGAAGCGGATAGTTGATTTAATTAAATTTAATGAACTTATTATTTTTATCAATTATTTCAGCATTGCGGTGGAAGGAAGGAAAGCAATGAAATGCGCGTAAATTGAACGAAAATACGGAAAATATATAAAAAACCAAAATAAAACCGGTAGACACAAGAAACGCAAATGAGCGGGGTAAACACTCTCACTCTCTCTTTAAGCGGTAAAAGTGAAGATGGGCGGACGGAGGCGGCGACGAGTCTGAGATGCGCCGATAATCGTGCTACGCGTGCGTAGGCGCCGACAGAGGCGGTGGCAGAGGCAGCGACGGTTTGGAGTGTTATATTTTCGAATCTAACAGTAAAACCTATCCTAAGTAAAATTAAGTAAACTGCTAAAATAAAAAAGCCAACGATTTCTTTTTAGATTTCTATTAAATATATTATTTTGAATATTGTATAGTTACATTTTTGAATTATTAAAAATTGATCTCTTTGTCAAAATGAAAGACTTTATGTAGGAGTTATGATACTCGAATTTGGAGCAATTTAAATATAATGAAGTTTGATCACATACATTTGCCGCTATAACAATGTCCACCAAATTGCATTGAACATATTTTTAAGCTTCGTAAAGACTTTCAGTTTAAAACATTTAAATGTAAGTGTTTTCTTGAGTTTTTTTTTTTTTAATTTATGTAACGTTTTTTTTATGTTGTTTTAAAATCAAATGATCAACGTGAGACTATTTTAATAGTTTGCGATTCGGCAAACTTTTATATAATTGAGTTTTGTTTCTTTAATATGGTAGTACAAGCAAGCACTTTCGTCTCAGTATTATATTAAATTTTGCAAAATAACTGTGCATAATACAAAACGAAGCTCAAAATTAAATAATATATATTTAAGCTTATAATATTTATTATATGTGTTAATTTCATTAAAAATTTCTTGAAAACTAACAACAATGTCTTTCGTCACAGTATTTGCGTAAAGTTATAAAAAAGTTAATTAGGAAAACAGGCGTATACGTAATAAAATGTCTCATATCGCCATGAATTTTTTGACTGAATCTCTGTTGATTTATTAATTTAGCGACACATCCAGCAGTATTCCAGTCGAGCACTTGGCTCCTTCCCTGCTCTCTTGAGCATAACAACAACTTTCCAATTGCCAGCGCTTTGGTTTGTTGGTCAGCGCTCCATAATTTCCTCGACTGTCTGTCTTTTTGGTCTATTGTCACTGCCAACTTAAGGCGGCTGCGCACATGCCAACTACCAGCCACGCCCCCCAAAACAAAAACAAACACACTACGAAAACAACAACACGGCGACGGCACGTTCAACGGCAACAACTAAAACAACAACAGTTCTGCCTCGTTTTGAAACTGGCAGCATAGGTAAAAGTTGTTTTCGATACGCTTTAATTTCGTTAGCTCTTTTGGCCGCGTTAATTTTTCGCCCGAAATTAGCACAAAACCGATTTACAAATACACACCAAAACACCAAAAACACTTAACACTGCCGAAATCAATGTTAGCCCGAATAATAGGTACTTGATTTAATTTTGTAATTTTAAACACAACCCAATATTTAGCGGGTCTAATGATATCGCCTTGGCTGCACTGTGTTGCCAAAGCGAAACGTTAGCGACTTACAACAAGCGGATATCGCGATCACCTGGCCAGGTGCGAAACTTAACTTGTTGCTGTGGCGCGCGGCCAACGACTGAAAGCCGAATCAGAAACTGAAACATAAGCGGAATCCGAATCGATGTTGGTATCGCTGTGAGCCGAAGAAACTCAAAATAAACGAGGGGCGCCTCTCTTAAGCTCTCTCCACTTGCTTGGCAGCATTGGCCATGCGAATAACTGTAAAATATACACGATTTTGATTTAGAAAACGCTCTTTTTTATTCAAAAGAGCAGATCAATCTACTTTATATCATATGTTTGAATCTTATAAATTATAGTTCTTAGTTTATATAATATTAGTTAATATTAAAAAACATGTTTTTCGAAATCAGTATAACACTACTTGATAAATCAGATTTTACCGGATTATTGAATTATCTATTTTTCGGGTGAAGGTTTGAATTTTTCATGCATGGAACCAAAAACAGGTTGGGCAATTCGTTTATCCATTTTGTGAGCACTTTAAGAAAAGTTTAAAGCCAAATAAAAAACGGAGAGAATCTTACTTAAAAAATATTTACCATATTTAGAACCACTAATCACTGGACAGGCTGAGTGCAGGGTTTTACTATGCATAGCTCCCGAGTTGTGAAGATTGTACCAGAAGACCGCCGATCCCTTTTTGGGCGTAACTGTAATATTCATTAGCGGGAAGATCGTTGCGCCACCCGAGTCAACGTCACCCAGCTAAAATGGGTTGCAACTAATATCAAATACTCTGGGACCAAAATTGACCGACTTACGTAAAATAAAACAGTTGCTATGCGCTCCCCATGAGTTGGTCGGTTCTAAAAAGATAGTACGTTTTGAGAGCGATCTTTTGGATTTTTTGTATATCCTACTTTATCCGTTATGTCATGGTAGTCATGGTGCAATATATAGTGACCACCTAAGCCGTAGTTAATCAGCGAGAACTCTTCGCTTCCCGCCATACTTAGACCGGTCATATCACTTACACGTTCCTCCAATTTTGCGACTTGCCCGATGTATGAGTCTTTTGATGATCTAATATCTGATTTCTGACCGTCATCAACAAGGGATAAGGTAAAAGCACTTGAGTTCAGAATCGAATCGATTTCGCTGTCGAAAATCACATCGTGGAAAAACACCATATAAGGATCTGTACTAAGTTCCTCCATTTTCAGAGGGGCAATCCGCGCAAAGGTCGTCGTGCTGCTGTTGTAGCGACAGTGTAGTCGACTTGGTTTCTGGACAACAGCACTGCAATTCCGGTTGGTGGCTAACACACCCTTAAAATGTGTATGTACACTATTTTCTCTTACTCCTCTTGGCTTTTCTTGGAAGTGATTAGAGGCACCAGTTAGATTTCCATCATTTATCAGGAGTACTCCCAACGCCTCGTGAACTGAGTAACTGTGATGTGTGTCATTTGTGAGTTGAGCCAAAGAGTTCACAAACCAAGCTTTGGCCAGATCTTCCTTTCGATTTCGGATGCTGAACTCTCCCAGAGCTAAGCAATCAAGTCCTGACAGTGCTGTCCTAAAAGTTATCAATGGTGATTTTGTAAATTGTATTTTTCTTAACTTACTCAAGCTTCAAATATCCTGCCAAATTACCAACTGCTAGTTCGCCAGGTTTGAGATCATAAAAGGACATCAGCTCATCAATGCCCCGACAGGCGTCTTCTAAATCCAATGAAGTGGGTAAGCGCGTTCTCAAAAGATGCGCCTTCTCAATATATACTGGAAAAACCTTATTTTAAAATAAATTATTTAACTTTGTCATAGATTGCAAATACCTAATGCATCCTTATGGGTCTTAAAGGCATATTGATGCCATTTCTCCCAACTCGTATGTAGGCGATGTATAAGTCGAAAGCTATTCACGGGATTTCCCAAGAACGTTTCATAGTCCTTTTTCATTTCGATGTGTTCAGAATTCATAGTTAATAGGGATCTGAAAAAATATTCCAGGAATTTATGGATATGTAACTATTTGGAGGAAAAGTGATATTCACTCTTACTGTTCCAGTAAATGAAGTTTTTTGTTCAATGCTTCCACGAAACCCTTTAGGTTCGCCACCAGCTCATCTTCAACCTCCAAAAGCTTCATCAGTGCCACTGTCGAGGCGGCATATGATAATTTTGGAACCGCTTTGGAAAATCCTTGGATCGAAATTATACTAGCACTTAGATAGCCTATTAATATTATGTATTTTAAGCTGAACATTTCGCTTTTAAAATCCATTGACGAATGAATTCTCAACTTGGGATTAAGTCCATTTACAAATGGAAATTTGTTACGGTCTAATTGAATTAGTAAGACTTAAAATATATTTTCTCCGTGAAGGAACACATGTAGAAGAGGGGAACCAGCACGTCCAATACGGAAAAAAGATGGGCCAATTACTTCCTTGTCCAAAATTCTCGGCCAGTTATTGTAATAAAGGATTAAAACATGACCGATTCTGTTAGGTAACTTCAACCAATTGAAATATAAACATTTTCGTATGATCCAAAGGTAATATTTTTTTCTTTATAAACCTCGATGTTTATAAAGAAAAAAATATTACCTTTGGATCATAAAAAAATGTTTATATTTCAATTGTTTGAAGTTACCTAAGAGAATCGGTCCTGTTCTCGGCCAGTTATTGTAATAAAGGATTAAAACAGGACCGATTCTCTAAGGTAACTTCAACCAATTGAAATATAAACATTTTCTTATGATCCAAAGGTATTTTTTTCTTTATAAACCTCGAAAACATCACAGAGTACAAATGTTTAGGAATATATAAATAAACTGGATTCATTTAATATCAGACAACTGTTTGCTTAAAGCCACAAATCTATTAGCTAGAAGACCCCATCGACGATGCCCGGGTGAGGCGATATTTTTGCACAGCATAGTGAGCCCCCTCCTCGGAGGTCAATTGATTAACGTACTGGTCCTTAACGAAGCGATTAGTCACCGCATTTAGAGAGTCCTTAAGGAATCCGAAGTGCACTATGGCATTGGGAACAAAGTTTAGCTCTAAGAGTGTTTCATTGGATGGCAGCACCTTCTTCGGTGGGATGGTAAAGAGGTGGAAATTCTCCCCTGGCTTAGCCAAGAACTCGCGAATAAACTCCTCAACCTTGGAAAGAGGCTCATGCGGCTTAAACATTCCCTGGAGCACGAAGCGATCGGGAAACTGGATGCGCAGCACACAGTCCTTGTACTGATTTAGCTTGGCCAGCATGTTTTTTTGGCGCTCCAGCTCTCTTAATTTTGCCGTCAGCAAGGGAGCTTCGTCATTTCCGTTCGAAGTGCGCTTTAAGTCGCGCAGTACCATCTTTAGATCGTTGACGGTCAAGTCGAAAAATGAGTCTGGCAGATCGTCTGCATGCTTTTTGCTTTCGTCCAAGGAAAACAGCACAGCCTGGCGTGGCCCAATAACATTCACCACCGGCGGTGCCCTACCCGAATTCTCCTCGGGTTCATTATCCGCTGTTTTCCTTCCTGGTGGCTGGTGCATGGAGTATCCAGAGCCACTGCCCCAGTCGTATTTTGGTGCCTCTGGCTGAGGTGGTTGCTCTTGCTCGGATTTTTCAGAGGGTTGTGCTGGTTCACTTCCAGGAGCTTTTTCATCTGGTGCTGTCCGCTTCAGATTCTTAATCATATTGCTGGTAAGAGCAAATCCGCCGCTTCTTCCGCTGCCACCAGCTGCCACTGCAGAGCGGGAGGTGCTGGGTTGATCGTCTTTATCCACTGTAGGCTTTACAGTGGGAGCTATGTATACATTTGCCTGCGTCTTTAACTCCTCGGGCTTCTTGTCGATTAGCCGCATCATGGCACGGCCCTCCAAGATACCAAGAGATTTCAGCGTAGTTTGACGCATTTCGTCCAAACCAATGACTTCGCTGCGCATATAGACAATAACTGGGCTCTCGTAACCCTTGACTTGCGATTCACAAAGCTTCTGAACCACCAGCCACACGGTGTCGTTGGGTGAGAAATCGGCCTGCTGTCGAGATCCGTCGTTCAGCTGTACACAAACAAGCACATTGCTCAGCGTTCGCCGCTTTTCTGATTGCTCCATCTCCAGGACACAGTTGTTGGGCAGTCCGCTGAACCGGAACTGCTGCGTCAGTCCGACTACTTTGTTATGGAACTTGAGGCAGTGCTCCTCCGCATCATAACCGTGCTTGGAGCACGCCGTCTCCAATATCTCCAGCAGCGTCATGTTAGCCGTCACGTTCACATTCTGTCGGCGCCCGTTTGGCAACAGAACTGTGACGCGCTTGTCCATCGGAATGGTATCTAACCAGAAAGGATTTGGGTCAGTGTGAAATCAACAGAGCAGTGTAAACTGGCAGACTCACCTTTATTGACGCTTTGAGTAGGGACTACTTTTCGGAATATTGCCGGCTGTAATTGGGATTCTGATAGTGGCTGTTGATTCTATCGATATTCCCGCAAATTGTTTACTGCACTGCGTGACTGTCGCTTTTTACAATATAAATTAAGATGACCGCGTGAGGTATATATCGGTTAGGAGCATTGATGGAAACTACTTGTGAAGTTTTAAGTCTCAGACTTTTTAAACGGTTTTTAGAAAAACTTCAAAAACTCATTGAAAAAAACCCACGATTTTAGTAATATAAAAATATCCATTAAAAAGTAAACAAATAACTTTACATTTCTGTAGCAATTATATCTAGTCATTAAAAATTAAATTTACGTTCATATTAATCTCACGTAAGCTTAAAAAATTTCGGAAGCCACATATCGATTTACTTTAGCCAAACTTCTTTATCTATCGATAGCAGCTGTCTGTGTATCGAAGTATTATTGATTGCAGTAAAAAGAAGAAGCAGGAAAAGCAAAAGAAAGGCGCAGCTCGTAAAATCAAAACTGTTCAAAACAGAATTTTTCGAAGAATTATACTGAAATTTAGTTAACTAATTATCAGAGGACATGCTCTAAGTTCCGGGGAAGACCCCATTCATTGAGTTTTAGTATTTTGAGTGACGCTTAGCGAGTATACGCTTTAGGATTGCCTAGACCGAAAATTCGCCGATCCAACCAAAGATACTTCCAGAAGTCCGTTCAGCCGTATAGCCATCATGACCAACCTGGAAAAGCAGCATGAGATGGTAAAGCGCAGCTTGGTGCAGTTCATCAGTGGCCACATCCCAGGGGCCGACTTTAGCGTTGTGGACGAGATCGTCTTGTCGTACATCATCTCGATATTGGAAGAGGCCTCCCAAGATCCATGTTTTGATGTCGAAGGCTTCGTTGAGATGATGGGCGCCTACTTCGAGGAGTTCCCCACTATTGACCAGGGCATCATCTGCGACTGGATATACAAGTTGGCCAACGAGCTTACGGAGATGGAGAAAAACCAGGGAAGCCATGACACCGTGAGCCTGTCTCTTAAGTGGGTTTTGAGTTGTATATCCTCTCCAAAAAACTGTTACATTTAAGCTATAATATTTCTGCAGCTCTCTAAGTTTATCAAGTATTATTCCGGAGTCCAGGCTGCGTGCCCGCAACTCATCCACTTCTGAAAAGGACGAGCTCTCATCGAACAGCAGCAGCAGTGGTGGCGGTGGAAACAAGCGTTCGCAGCACCTGTCGGAGACCAGCGATGGAGGTTCCACCGACAGCTCCAGCTCAACTTGCGACTACTTCCTGGATGAGACCGAAGTGCTCCAGGAAATGTTTCCGGATTCGGCGATTGCTGAGGTAAATATAAAGTTATAGTTATGGAATTTGCATTTTCAAAATATTCTATTTTATCTTATCCAGATCAAGCATTGCATCGCTATTTCCAAGGGTGACATCGATAGCGCCACCCAGATTCTCTTGCATCGCCAGGAGACCAACCAGTCCATTACTGACAAGTCGCACACTACTTACATCAAAAAGAATGTTGTCGTCGACGATAATGAACTTAAGAACCGTATTATCGCTAGGTAAGTGAGCATATTAAACTGAAAGAAAACAATTGGCAAAAACAATATTATTAGGTAATTCAAAAAAAACTAAAAATGGTTAAACTTAGCTCTTATGTTTACAAATATATATATGTATATATAATATTTTCGTAACGACAAATTCAACTAGGTACTCCTATGTAGACAAGAACGCCACCCAGCGCGAGTACAAGCCGGTGGTACCAAAGATGGAGCCGCGCAAGCTCGTCCGCTATCGGGACAACAAGATCGTATCTCTTAAGGGCGAGCGATACACCGAGATCAAGCGTGACGAAGATGCTGAGTTAAAAAAACCCAAGAAGCAGATTCAACCGTAACTAAAGAGGAACAAAACCCTCTTCAAGTATTTTATCAAGAAGCAAATTAATCCACACCCCAGTAACTTATCCGCACCCACGACTCCGATCTTCGCCAGCAGCAGTAGCTGCGGTTTCACCGGCAGCACCTGCCAATTCGTATCCGAGCACAATTTATGCAATCAGATGCATATTGTTTGGCTGTCCGCCGCCAAAAGCCATGCCAGCACCTTCCCCAGCTCCATACCAGTGATTCCCGCCAAGCTTAGCCAACGTTTAGATGCTTCCCAAAACGACGACGATGAGCCAAGAGAGTTCAGAGACAAAGACGAGCCACCGAGCACAGCGAATCGGTTCCCATATGCGAGTGAGTTTGGTCAGGAGTTTGTCGCATCGGCAGGCATGCTTGTGATACTGTTGCTAATTGGCCATTATCATTGGACCTCGAAATCTCATCACGCCCATCCTCATGACAAAGACAGAAAGACTTTACATACCAAATTAGTTGATAGTTATGCTTTAGGACTACTCGCTTATGAAAATTTTAAGAGCCCATCCGCCGCGGTGGCTGCCTATTTATGAGTCCCGTTTCTGGGAGCAGGCGGTCCGGACGGATCTGGACGTGTACTTGTATTCGTTGCCAGTCGTCGATTATGACGACTGGGGTCGCGCCTGCGCTGTGACTTCTCCTTAGTTCCTTACGCAAGCGAATTCAAATCGAACCGTATCTGTGAAAATCGTGAATCTCAAATTCTTAAAAGTCCTCGAACAGTATTGTTAAACCTCCATCGTACCCAAAGATCAGACGCAGGTGCGACATCCAACCCGAATTTGGCGCTCAAATAGACTTATTTAGACGTTTTTAGGTACTCGAATTGATGAATTTTTTTGGCCGTGTGCGTGTTTTAAAAACGCAGCTGCATAAGAAACTTGCCATATCTGTTTAAGATTTGTTAAACCATTTTGTATCCAGTAACTCGTTTTGTTTTCCTCTGGTCCAAGCAAACTAGCAACAGTAATCTAGCAACAATGCCACCAAAGCCACATGCAACACAAACTAGTCCTCACCGCCCACTGAGATATCTGGAACCCATAACAATTCGGCTACTGCTCGGTGTAAGACAGCAATACTAACAATAATCTAAACGTATTCAACATATACACATGTATGAACTAATCGAATAATCAACTATTTATATAGCGTAGCCTAACCCCAAATCCTTCCCAATGATTGTAACGATTGTAACCTACAATATCACGGCAGTCCCACGCCCGATTCATGTTAGATTTAAGCAACCGGAATATTGTTTGGCAGTTTTTTAAATTGTAACTTTTTGTTTGAGACAAAAAACTATCAGTTATTTCAATAATAATTTTATTTCCTTTAAGTTAAAAGTTAAATCTAATTATTTACCTTAAGTTTTAAGTCTCGACCACCGCTTATGATTACGTAACAAGTTGCATTTTTAGCACCTCGAGTTCTCTGATTTCAGTTCAGCACTATACGATCGGTGCTTCAATCATCATATATATTTGAATTTGCGTTTATCTGGTTTTGGTTTGATATTAACATTTTATATTTTTAAATTTTATATATTATTTTTGTGATATTAGCGTAAAAACCAACTTAAAGAAAAGGCGAAAATCTCGATTTAAACTTTTAAAATTATTAAATAAACTACTATCAATATTTAACTCAAAACATTCATATTTTTTAATGCAAAATGGGCAATAGAAATATTTAATTGTTATATTCCAGAATGCTAACCAAAACATTTATAATTTTCTATTTTGTAATAAAATAAACCATATTATTTTAAAATTTTTTGGAACATATCGGTAAGTAGTTTTACATAGAATTAATGGTGTACGAAAATGTATCTTTAATATATAATTAGATACAAAATACAAGAGATTCAAAAAGAATAGCTAGAATATGACTAGGAATAAAAGTGCTCATAAGAACTAGTTCGTTGGCGGTATACATACGAATTCCCTACCGAGCAATATGGCGTTGTTACTGCGTCTGGTCACACTGCTGGCATAGGTTTTTTCGCACAACTCATTTTTGTCGAGAAAATCCACGTTTTGGGCCAAAATGACCACAATCGCGGATTTATTCACAAAGTATAATTGCACAAATTGTCAGGACGATATTCAGGGCATTCGGGTGCATTGTGCGGAGTGCGAAAATTTTGATTTGTGTTTGCAAGTAAGTAACTCACACATACAGGCAATCAAGCGACGCACGTACTTAAGTATGTATGTGTACGGTAGGGTGGGTCGGGTTTTCAGGGTTCTAGAAAAAATTTGGGTAAATCAAAAGTTCTTTAAACAAATCTCTAGACGAAATATATATGTAATGTAGTCTGTTACTCTGAATAAATAGAAACAGTATTGCATGTTTTATTGACGAAGATAAAAAAAATAGTTGAGATATGTTTTTTTTTAATTTTTTCCATAAAAATAGGTAAAAATAAATCAATTTTTTTAAAAAATAAAATGTTTGGTCGGAATTTTTATTAGGGTGAATGAAAATGTAAAAAGTATTGTTTCTTCAACATATCGACTATTTCTTGATGATCTTTTATCATCCCATATTTTTTTGTCAACAAACCCGACCCACCCTGTTGCACCCATACTTGAACAGTCTAGAGATGCGTCGCCAATCTGGAACCGAAAAACTGACTCATCTGGAAATACATATATATACAATCACACAACCGGCAATTTCACCATGTTGATTAAAAAACAGCTGACTAGGTATTTACGTTCTATTGTTTACCTTTTGCGCAGTGCTTTGCCGCAGGGGCGGAGATCGGCGCCCATCACAACAACCATGCCTACCAGTTCATGGACACTGGGACGTCCATATTGAGTGTTTTCCGTGGGAAGGGGGCGTGGACGGCGCGGGAAGAGATCCGATTGCTGGACGCTATCGAACAGTACGGTTTTGGAAACTGGGAGGACATAAGCAAGCACATCGAAACCAAGTCGGCAGAGGACGCAAAGGAGGAGTATGTGAACAAGTTTGTGAATGGCACGATTGGAAGGGCCACTTGGACCCCGGCCCAGAGTCAAAGACCCCGCCTAATTGATCACACGGGAGACGACGATGTCGGTCCCTTGGGTACAAATGCCCTTTCCACCTTGCCTCCACTCGACATCAACTCCGATGAGGCCATGCAGCTGGGCTACATGCCCAACAGAGACAGCTTTGAACGAGAGTACGATCCGACTGCAGAACAACTGATCTCCAACATCTCGCTGAGTTCTGAGGACACAGAGGTGGATGTGATGCTCAAGCTAGCCCATGTCGATATGTATACCCGCAGACTTAGAGAGCGAGCTCGCAGAAAACGGATGGTAAGGGACTACCAGTTGGTTTCGAACTTCTTTCGAAACCGAAATTACGCCTTGCATCAAGGACTAACCAAGGAGCAGCGCGAGTTCCGTGACAGATTCAGGGTTTACGCTCAGTTTTATACTTGCAACGAGTACGAGCGACTTTTGGGATCATTGGAGCGGGAGAAAGAGCTGCGCATTCGGCAGTCCGAGTTGTACAGGTACCGGTACAACGGCCTGACTAAGATCGCGGACTGCACCCACTTCGAGCAGCATGCGGCTACCGCGACGCACCGCTCATCAGGACCGTATGGCCACGGAAAGACCGTAAGTGTAAGGCTCTTCTGTGGGGGTATCGAAATCAAACTATCAAAACTTATTGAAACTGTCAAATTTCTGTTTATTAATAACTGATAAAATATCTTATATTGATATATAATCAATTTGGCCTAACGAAAGACACTGCCTATATTGCCTAGTTTCGATTTCAATACCCTTGAAGTGAGCTTTCCCCATGAGAATGCATGACGAGTTGAATATCGTGTGTTCTGCCTTGCTTTTACCGACCTGACCTGACCCAACTCTTACAATCACTTTTCGTCTTGTCTCACGATATTCAGCTCCACTGCATTATAAACGCGCCAAACAACGAGCGTTCGAATGGTTCTATAAGACAATGTTTAACCACAGGACCACACGCAACCCTCCAATGGAAGTCATCGGCCGCCAAGCTCTTCCTTGCACTCCCCACAACCGAATCTCAGAAAGGCGTAAGTATTTTCTTAAGTAGTAATTTATTAAATAAATGTATAATATATTGTTCTTGTTTTCAGAGAAATGTCAAGCGGCGTCGAGGCAAGTTCAAGTTCAATCGCACCAAGAAACACGCTCCACACCGCCGACCAGACCTGCTCCGGCGCATTATTGCCCAGCAGAAACTACTTGGATAGCTGTCGGGGATCGTCGGCAGCTACGATGCTGCAGACGACGGGAATGGGGATGGGGATAACAGTAGACTCGGGAGCGACGACGGGAGCGATTTCCACGGCTACGACGATGGCGAATCTACCCACGAACTCGGCGAAGGGAAGCCAACAACATCTACAGCCGCTGCAGCAGCATCCTCAGCTCCTGGAAAGCGGCAACCACAAAATGCAAAGCGAGGTCGGCGGCGGAGGCAGTGAGCAAGCACCCAGTATGAGCCTTAAGTTGCGCACTCAGCTGGAGGAACTGAAGCACCTACCCCAACCATTGGGCAGCGATCTCCTCAGCCACAACGAGCTGGATCTATGCAAGAAGCACAATATAACGCCGACCACCTATCTTTCGGTGAAGACTGTCTGCCTAAGCGGAGCACCATCGCTTGGCAGTCCCATGGAGACTTCGCTGCGCAAGTTCTTCATCAAGTGCGGCTGGCTGAGCCACTGAGGATACCACTTCCACTTCCCGCGCCCTTTCGATTAAGAGTAAAATGCATTTCTCGATATAAGAACTTCACTTTATTTTATTATCGTTAGCATAAGTTAAAGACATTTTTATACTGTTCAACTTTCGTTGCCATTTTCTTCGAGGTTAAAACTACTGAAAACAGAAAACCAATTTACTTGTATCAAGTCAAGCTCAATTAGATAAAGTTTTGTTCCTTTGTGTGAGATGTCAGGGTTCAGATATTCTGTATTAACTAAGCTTAAGTAGGTCACCCAACCAATTGAATTTGTATGATATGAAGTGTAAATGAAGTAATAAATGTAGTAGCGAATGTGCAACATACGTGGAATTGTCTCGGAACTCATAGCTGCCAGGGAAACCGCTCGGGACTAAAGCCAACTAGGATACTCTTCAGAGATGTATAATTTTGAGCAAATCGCTATATAGTAAGCCTCTGAAAGCGATACTGTGTCGTTGAGTATTTATATTTATTTAATAATCATGGTTGTATGTAGATTTGTGGGCAACGAACTAGAGCGGCATAAATAACACTAAAAACAACTGAAGACTTAAGTTTATTATTATATAAATAACTTCATAAACAAAGTAGTAGACTTAAACAATGCCATTATTTAAAAAAGAACTTTTTTTAAACTAATTGGTTTGTTTTTAATTGTTTTTTTTTTGTTTTAATAAAGTAATTCTACCCAATCAGTCCTTTAAATCTAGCATTTAAATGATGTATCCTAGCTTACGTTCGTCTAGAGCGGCGCCTGTAAACTAACTATCTGTAACCGCATACCTACAAAAATATATCATATATATAAAAGGATTTATTCACTTTTTCCTTACAACTAGAAATTGTGTGATGCTTGGATGCACTGCATCACTTATTCCGCAGAAAGTAGCGATACAACGTGTTCTTCTGACCTCCGCTAGCGGTTGTGGCAGTGGTTGGAGCTCCGCTTGCAATGGCTGCATTTGTGCTGGCAGCTGTTCCATTAGTTTGTTCCACTGCCGCCACAAGAGAACTGCGCCATGATGTGATTAACTCGGTTTGCAACTCCACAGGTAGCTCCTTAAAAACTTCGGCATCCACCCCCGCTGGACAAGCGATATTAGTGAGGGCATCAGTCGAAGTCGTGGAGGACGTGGTGGGTACCATTGTTGTTGTAATGGGTGAGGCAAAGGTCATCGTTGGTGTGCTGGGTGCGCTCATTGCCGTTGAGTCGTCCATTGGCGAAGGAAGTGGCGATGATGCAGTGGAGCTGGCATTTGAGCTCAAGCGACTAGCCGTGCGCGTGGTCACGAAGCGAAGGCTGCCGTCGATCCGCTGCAACAGCGTGTTCGGTGGCTGGACGGTCCGAAAGCGAGAAGCGGGTGCGGACGTTGAAGTGGAGGGCGTGGTGCTCATAGGGAAGTCCTTCTCGCTATCCCGCGAGTTCAGACGCAAATCACAGACGCGCAGTTTGCTGGGCGAAGCTACCTCCGCGGCGGAATCACCCACATCCGCCGCTAATCGGCTGCGCTTGGACACTAGCAACCGGCCCACTCGGCTCTTTTTGGGAGACGGTTCAACTTCCGTCTCGGAAAAGTCGCTGAAGTCCGAATTGGTGGCCGCCGATTCAGAACCATTATCAAGCAACATGGGTACTGGAGATGCAGTAGTGGCCCTTCTCCTATAAAACTGATCACTCGGCTTGAATGTTGTTGGCGAGGAGCGAAAGGCGCTTTCATCCGATGTGGGGCTTTCCGCTGAGGGACTTGTGAGACTCGTATTTGTCAGAGAGGTAATCGATTGTACCTCCAGATCCGCTTTCTTAATTAAGAAATTAGCTATTGATGAGGACCCTACCTTGCGCTCCTGGAATTTGGAGAAGGCTAAGCCGAGTAAAGTGATATTAAATGGCTTGCTCATATCCACGATTCGCTCAAAAAGACGCATCACAATTTTGAGAAGTTTTTCCTGCGCTCCTTCTGTCAATTGTACCTTGCTCACGCCGGTCTCTCCAGGGCACACGGATGTCTTAAATAGGGAGGGTAGGATGTTGGCTTGTTTCGTCTCACGGTGGCTACTCTTTTTCTGGGTATCGAATTTTCGCAACACCACCTTGATGGCGATGGGTACGCGTCCATCTTCTGCAACCTAGGGTGTTCAAAATGGAAAACAAAGGGTTGACCAACTAAATAAATGACTACTGAAATGTTAGCCCCTTTTATGCTTACCTGCTCCACCAACCGCTTAAGCAGCATGCGAAACCTTTCTTCTACATCAGTTCGTACGGAAATTGGCTTGCAGGCATCCTCCATACCAATGGACTTGGGTTTTCCGGTAGGACGGACAGAACTTGTGTCGCGACCAAAGGCCAGATCCCGCAGCCGAGTGGCCGTCTCAAATCCAAATTTTTTGCGCATCACGTCCATATCGCATTGCTGCAACTGCTCAACAGATGACATACCTGCCTCAAGAAGCAGACACTGCGTCTTCTGCCCAATACCAGTGATTCGTTTTAGGTCGCCAAGTTCCCTCATAAACTGTTCTGCATAAGTGGAAACAAGAACTGTTTGTTGATTGGGTTTGTGGCTGCTGCCGACGAGCTTTGCTAGCAGTTTGTTGTAGGCAATTCCGGCGCAGCAGGTGATGCCGAGTCGAAGTTTCAGTTCCTCCCTAATTTCCTGGGCGATCCGAGTGCCAATGGCCAGGCGCTGGGCACAGCCGCAGTCGCAGGCGGACAAGGAAGTGCCATCGTCTGGATAGGTGTGACCCACTGGTGGTTTTAACTGTGCTTCGGCGGCATGAGCCTGTCGCAATTCTACTAGCGCAGTCACATCCATGAAATTTTCATCAAAACCTAGCTTCTCCACAAGAGGAGTGTAGTTAAGCAGGAGGTCAAAGATTCTTTGCGACATCTGGCGATAAGGGGCGAGATCCTCTCCATTCACCAAAACCAAATCCGGACAAATGCGCTGTGCTTCTGGAATAAGCATCAATTTCGCCACTCCCTTTGCTCTCGCTACATAGTTGCAGGTGACCACAATGTTTTTCTGCTGTATTCCCAGAGCCTTCGAACGTAGCGATGGGTCCCGAATCTCCTCCACCTGAGCGTAGAAGTAGTCCATGTCCAGGTGAACGATAGTGCGTTGATGAGCCTCGCTTTTACCGAGCACGCTGGAGAAGTCCATGACGGTTCCGAGCGCCTGTAATTGCGAAAGGTCATGAAATATAAGATATTCAACTGGTTAAAAGGCTATAGTCGTCAGGCAGAGACCAGGTTCTGGTTATGCTGCTCTATTACGTTCACACAATAATAAATACGGAAACCAAGCAAGATTTTAATCTGGTTGCATTGTTTATGATTTCATCAGTCATACTACTCAGTCAAAGGAATTATTTATATGACTGATGCACATATAAACAGTATTCGCCTGGAATTGTGAAAATGGAAATTTTAGATTTCTCAAAAATTTGTTATTTTTTTATGCCTTGAACGCTGTAAAGACCTAAAGGCCTGTAAAGTGCTAAGCTAGAATACTAGCATACACATTGCTACACGGTATTCTGATGCAAGTAGGGTGGCTGGCAGTGAAACAAAGCAAGAGAGTTTGGGTGCTCCGATGGATGTGAAATCTGATTTCTGTTGCTCGCTGTTTCTGCTTCCTCTTCCACAGGCGCCGCAGACTTTCTAATCAAATATTGCGAACATCATTCGAGCCAAACGCCAACGCACACACACACAACCCAGAAACGAGTGCCGGCTAAACATTTACAGCGGGCCACAACAAAATATTGCGCAAAGTTGTCTGTTCGACGATGACGCATTAGTTTGTGACCGAGAAAACATTGAATTTCGTACACGACCTCCAGCTTTATAATCCCCTCATGTAAGTCTTTCCACAACTCACAGTTGTTTTTTAATTATACGATTTTAGGCATAAATGCACGCACCTGCAGTAAATTATTACTTTTAATTGCGGTTTATATTTACCTTAAAAACTAGTTGTGGACTTACACCGATGGCACTACCAAAGATTCGATTTTTATGTAATCGATAAAAAGAACACGACATTATAGGAATGACGGAATCAACTCTGGGTTCTGAACCTGAACAAACCGCTGGTTTGTATGACTTCTATATATAGCAGGGGCCATTACCTTAGTTCAACCGCTAATGACTATCTGAGACTCGCTTCCTTGGAGTTGCCACCTTGGCAGATACGCAAGTACGTCACAGTTGACCAATTAAATACCGTTGCAGCTTGAAATTTACAATTTTAAAGTTGATAAATTTTTTGTAAAGTCAATTTAAAGCTCATTAAAATGTGATTTTAAAAATATATCCAAAATATGTATCAAAATATCGAATCTAAATAAAATGCAGATTGTATATATATACGCAATATTCTTTACAAGTAAAGTCAACAAAATATAGTATAACGTATTATTTTTATTATTTATCATAATTATGTGCATTCATTTCATTGATAATAAAGTTGTCTTGGCAGTAATAATATTTTATAGGTCTGGATAATACATTATAGAAATATATCGCAGCAATCTAGTAACTTAGAAACCAGTCCGGATCTGATTTTAGGGTATAAATAGGAGGATTTAACTCCAGAGAACATCACAAAATACGACAATGAAGATCTTTGCATTCTGCGCTTTCCTGCTTCTAGCCTTGGCATCCGTCCTGGGTGATCCCAATCCCAAGCCTATTTCAAGCAAAGTAGCCAAGAGCATCCAAGGAAAATAAAAGAGACTTGGTTTTATAATAAAGACGACGTTTTTAGATATGTTTTTAGATTAGTTGCATTAAATGTGACATTTAGTTATAAAACCATCTAAGCAAAATGTTGCCTTCTTATTATTGGGATTAAAACGGCAAAATTATTCTTGGAAAATGGAAACGCCTTTTCAAAGAGTTTGAAGAATAAACGATTTGATGTTTTAAAAAAGACGACATTTTTGAACCATATCGTGATTTGAATTGCAAATAATATAATTCTAAAATATGTATTTTAATTATAGGTGTTAAATTTGCTAATTTGAAAACCAGTAATGGCGAAATTAAAAATCAAGTCTGGTTGATTTTTGGCTTATAAAAAGGCGGATTTTGTTTTAGAATGCAAACCAAAAATTCGCAATGAAGATCTTCGCTCTCTGTGCTTTCCTGCTCCTCGCAGTGGCTGCAGTCCTGGCAAGCCCGGAGCCCCAGCCCATAAACGAAAAAATTATAAAAAGTACACAAGGATAATAAAAAACTTCGTTGGAAGAGCAACCTTAACGAAATAAAGCGGTCCAATTATTTGTTGCTAATAAAATTATAAAATTATAATCAATATACATTTTATAATTTTGTAGATACGTTAAGGGTTATTTAATTTTAAGTCGCATAAATTTATAAATATAAATATTTATAAATAACTTTTTCGACAAGAATAGCATCTGACTAGTTTTCAGTAAACAAAAATATATTTAATATATGTAAATTCTAAATGAAAAAAGATATTGCTAAATTTGGTATAAAATGGAAGTACATTATTCAGCAAAGTCAAAACCGAGCAAAATGAAGATCTTCGCTTTGTGTGCTTTTCTTCTTCTCGCTCTGTCTGGGGTCCATGCAAATCCTGAGCCTTTGAACCCAAAGACTATAAAAGTTGTCCAGTGATCGATACTTAAAAATTAAAAAAATGAAATTTAATAATTATATTTAAAGTACCATAATAACCGAAAATAAATTCAAACAACTTTTGAAAGAAAAAAGAAATGCAAATTGATTGCAGTTATACTGAAATAATAAACTAACCTGTTTTTGTTATTATTAGTTGACTGACGCAAAACGACATCATTTAGCTGCCTAATGAAATTAGAAAACAAGTCCAGACTGATTGTTTTCAAAAGCCGGTATGAAATTGCGATGTGTTGCCTCAGACTGATTTTCAAGTCTCTAGAATAAAGTTCTAGTCTTCGCACGGGTTTATAAAATTGTAAAATTACGCAAGACGGATATAAATTATTAAATTATTGAATATTTGTGATTATAATCTTGCAAATGGTAGACTGTTGGAGTGAATAATTGTACATAATATAAATTATTTTTTAGTTTCATTTAAGAGTGTTCATATATTAAATCATTTTGGAATTCTTATTCCCATCGTATTTTAACAAATTATCATTTTTAAGATGTGAACATCGCATGTCAGCGCATTGGTTGTTATTACAATAATTTTACGACTAGCCAGCCGTGATTTTTAATGATATTCATGAGTTTTATATTGGCGCAGTCTTCGGCAAGATAAAGGCGCGTACCAAAAAAAAAAAAAATATATATAAAATAATAAAATAAAAGAACCACCCCAGGTGGGTGGAGATGGAGTGGGGGTTGTGGGGCGTGGACTTGATGGTGTGGTCACGCGCTTTCATGCCCGCCAAGAATGTGGGGCAGCACAGCTTTATGGCTCTCGTTTGTGGTATTGCCTGTGGTGTCGTATGAAATGCGCTCGGAATTCGCCAGCAGAAGTGAAGAAAAAAGAAGTAAAAAATATATATATGTATATCGGACAGACCTTCGCCTTGTTGTCCACTCCTCCGTACTCCTTCCTCGCTCCAGATCCCTGCATCGTCCTGCGCCTGTGATAATCGCCCCGCTGGCTGCCTGACAGGCAAACAATGCTGTGAATTTGATTAAAATCAGCCAGCGTGTGCGTCTCCACTTGGCTGCTCCTTCTTGGGGAGGTGTACCTTCTGCTGCCTCGGACTTTTGTCGTTATTGGAGCACTCCCAGGAACATATAGAATACTAAGCCCTCTCCGCCCGACTCATGACCATCTCGTTTGTTGCCCCACTCAGCTGCAGGCGGTGCTGCGGTGGTTCCACTAATTGCGAATCGCCAAATTTGGCCTGGGAAAGTGCCTCCCCGTGCCTTGAAAATATTGCCACTTTAAAATAGCTCTGACTGAATTCGGATTGCTATGTATAACCATCCATAATGATGGTGGAAAGATGCTAGGCTTGGGCCAGGAAAATGCATTTCTTTATGCTTTGCAGTGGCTGCTAATGAGCTGCAGCTGCCAGGACGACACTTGTGCCTCTTTTTCTGACTCTTCATTGAGAAAAATAATAATATTTTATGTAATTTAAGTATAAGGAAAAAGCGTATTGTTGAATTTGATCAGCTTTTAAATCTTGTTTTAATTTAGTTTATTATCAACCACTAAGTTTAGGTATGGTAAATATTATTTAAAATTATGGTTTTTCTTTTCGAAAATATTTCTGATTTCCAGTTAGTTTTGGTTCAGTGGTCTTCCGTTGGCTTCTTGCGAATTTGCAATGAGGCTAAAAGCTAATTAGTAGCCAGGATTCCTGCCCAACCTCCTCTGCTAGCCCCATCGTCCTTTCCACCCAGTTCCAGTGGAGCGTTAATTTTTCCTCCGGATTGCACACAAGGGGCCTCTTCAGATGAATGGCTGGATGGTGTGCTCTTTTTTTTTTTTGGGCGGAGGAGGAAGAGTTTCCACCAGGATCATCCACACGGCGAAGCGAAACGGATGTTCTCGCGCAGCGTTGGCTCCGGTTCTGATTTCCCCCCTTAGTCCACCCGTTTTCCCACACCCACTGCCAGGTCATCCTGAATCTCGCTTTTTCCTGTCAGGGTGGGTGGGTGTATGAGTGAGTGTGTGTGTCTGTATGTGAAAGCGAGATGGCGAGGGGGCAGCAAAATGTTAATAAATCTTATTTTTATCATTTGGCTATAAATACTGAATTTTTAGCTCCGGCCATGCTCAATTTATGGCCATTATTTATGTCGGAAAAGCGAAAACCTCAAACATGTTGCCACACTTTTTGCCCCTGCCGCTGCCGCTGCCACGGCTCCAGGATCCTTTTTGGCCTGCATTGTGCATCCATTTTATTTGCCATTTCGGCCAAGAGAAAGAAAGATACACAAGCCATATTATTGCAATTTTCCAGTTGCTCCGCCCACGCCGCAGTTTCAAGGAAGCGAAGCGAAAGGCAAGAAACCGAACGAAACCCGAATGAAATATGAAAAATTGCATTACACCTTAATAAACACCTCACCTGGCGAGCAACTGGGAGAGTGGGTGTGGGATCGGTGCTGGTGCTGGAGCTGGAACTGTATCTGGAGGTATGGCCTGGGACTGTATCTCTCCAATCGCAAGCGCAGCTCCAGCTTATTGCAGCTGTGTGCGCCCCGGAGTTGGGCTATAATGAAGATTGTCCGAGGCTTAAGTGGACGCACGTTGCTCAGCCGCTGGATAGCCATGTATCCAGATGGATGGCAACACATCCACAGACGATGGGCACTTAGAAAAATAAAAATTAGAAATCTTAAGTCTTAAGTTTAAAACCTATAATACAAATATAACATTTATCCTTTTTTCTTAATATAGATTTTAAGGATTTTATTGAAGGACTCGAATGTTTAAGGACTTTCTGGTACTATTATTTTTTTGAGTGCCCATGAATCTGTACATCGTTGGTCATGGGAAGCAGGTCCTTTTCCCGATCGAAGGAAGGGAACCCCGAGGGGTAAGGCCGCGATCGCGATCACTTAGGCGCTCATCTGGCATAAAATTGTTAGAAACGCCCCGTGTGTGTGCGCCCCTGGGTAAATGGCCTCCTTCCTCTCCTGCTCCTCCTTGATTTCTGGCCATAACGTTTTTGCCATTAAATTAATAAATTAATGCGATCGTGCAACAGTCGATCATGTGGCCAGTTGCCAGTTGCCAGTTCACCTTATCCCCTCACCGCCCATCTGTACTGCGATCCTCACTCGGCTTGTCAGAATTTCCAAAATCTCAATACAACAGTTTATTCGATGCTGCTGCCATCAGCCAAGGAGTTCGTCGGTAATCACAAATTTCTGAGTTCTTCTCAAAAGGAAACAGTGTTTGTTGGATGATCAAAAACTAAAGTTGAACTTTGTAAGTCCTGGAAAAGCCCAGCTTAGAAGTTTTTAGGTTCACAATTAGTTTTACTATAATATATATTAAAGGAAAGTGTCAGTCCTAAGGTCTCAATTTCAACAACT